TCTGAATTTCGAGTTTTGAGTTTTGAGACTCGAATCACTGAGTCCCAAGTCCCGAGTCCTGAACATCGAAACCCGACACCCGAAACTTGAAAGTCATACCAATATCTGAGTTTCAAGTCTCAATTTATATACCATGTCTGACATTCACCAAGTACCGAAACCTGACACCCAAAACCCAAAACTCGAACATCGAAATTTGAAACTCTTCACCATGCCAAGTACCAAATGCTGACACCCGAAGTTGCATGTTGGGTGGGTCCAGGTAGTTGTTATCATATACACAGGTGGGCCCAGGTAAATAGCGCAATAAACATAACTGGGCTGAGATAGTTGGATAACATAGGAATCAGTGTGCTGATGTAGGCACCAGAGAATCAAGCACATGGAGTACATACCCATGATATGAGTGCATATACCTACCATCAACTACCACAGCCCAAAGCCTGAAACCCTGAATACACCATGTCTGACATTCACTGATCACTGATCACCGAGTACCGAAGCCTGAAAACCAAAACCCAGTGTGCAACACATTCATTTTTCATTCACCATAAATCACCGAGTCTTGAAACCCAAACACCTGAAACTCCACACTTGAATCTCACAAAAATGTATACAACATGTAAAAAATTTATTCCATTACACAAATCACTGAGTGTCGAGTGCCAAAACCCAAAACCCGAGGCCCAAAACCCAAAACCCCAAACTCGAGACTTGAAACCTGAGATGTGAAAACCAAAAACTGAAAACCAAAAACCAAACACCAAATCTTGAAAAAATGTATATAACATGAAATTATTTTATTCCATTACACAAATCACTGAGTGTGGAGTGCTGAAACCTGAAACCTGAACCCCGAAACTCGAGACTTGACACCCAAAATTCAAAAACCAAAAACCAAACACCAAATCTCAAAGAAATGCATATAACATGAATTTTTTTTATTTCATTGCACAATTCACTGTGTTGAGTGCCGAAACCCGAGGCCCGAGGCCTGAAACCCGAAGCCCAAAACTCAAGACTTGAAACCTGAGATGTGAAAACCAAAAACCAAACACCAAATCTTGAAAAAATGCATATAACATGAATTTTTTTTATTTCATTGCACAATTCACTGAGTGTTGAGTGCCAAACCCCGAACCCTGAAACTTGAGACTTGAGACTTGACACCCAAAATTTGACAACCAACAACTGTTAAGGTCGTGTGCTCAAGGGGGTTGGATCACAAGGGCTTGGCCTCAGCTCGTATGCTGTGCCCCTTTCCCAATTATGTGCCCTTAATTTCCAGGGGCTAGAACAGTCATCCAGAGTTTCCGGGATTTGACTAGGGCGGATAACGGATGTCCGGATCTGAAATGTGAGATAAATCTGACGGACGGCTGGATGTTACCTGGGCAAGCAGATAAGACTAATCTGGACGAAGTCCAGACTAGAAACTAACAGAGGATGGACTACCTTAAGGTAGAGTCGGAAATGTAGTCTAGGATGCAATCCTAAGACTCGGAATATGACATGAGACTTATCTTGAGTCCAGAGGACACAGGAATGAGCAGGAACTAAGATGATATTTGAACTGGAGTATTTCTGAGAGTTACAGGAGGTTTATATACTGTAGGTATCATATAGGAATCAGTCAGCAAACATAAAGGCTATGTATGAAGCATATGCAGAGTCTATTAGTAAGTAGGACGGATCACAAATAATGAACACCGGAAATGAAATGTATGTAACAGATCAATAATCAAAAGGGAAACATGGTTAACCAGAGTCCGGAGACAGGGGCAGTCTAAATGGAGTTGGGCGCTGATATAGGGTTTGGATTCCGGAAGGGGGATAAAGATGGATCAGATCATTTGAGATCTGGATCTCAGATCTGGATATCCAGAGAAGCGGATTTAGAGTTGAGAGTCCGGAATGGCATATGACATATATACATTTTTTTGAGATTCAGTTTGAGTCTTGAGATTTGGTTTGTGGTGTTTAGTTTTTGAGTTTTGGGTGTCAAGTCTCAGGTTTTGGGCTTCAGCACTCAACACTCAGTAAATTGTGTAATGAAATAAAAAAAATTCATGTTATATGCATTTTTTCAAGATTTGGTGTTTGGTTTTTGGTTTTCAGTTTTTGGTTTTTGGTTTTTGAATTTCAGGTGTCAAGTCTCGAGTTTCGAGCTTCGGGCTTCAGGTTTCGGGCCTCGGGTTTCGGGTTTCGGCACTTGACACTCAGTGAATTGTGCAATGAAATCAAAAAAATTCATGTAATATGCATTTTTTTAAGATTTGGTGTTTGGTTTTCAGTTCTTGGTTTTTGGTTTTCAAATTTCAGGTGTCAAGTCTCGAGTTTCGGGGTTCAGGGTTCGGGTTTCAGCACTTGACACAGTGAATTGTGCAATGAAATAAAAAAAAATTCATGTTATATGCATTTCTTCAAGATTTGGTGTTCGGGTTTTGGTTTTCAAATTTCAGGTGTCAAGTCTCGAGTTTTGGGCTTCAGGCCTTGGGTTTTGGGTTTTGGCACTTGACACTCAGTGAATTGTGCAATGAAATCAAAAAAAGTCATGTTATATGCATTTCTTTGAGATTTAGTTTTTGGTTTTGGTTCTTGAGTTTCAGGTTTTGAGTCTCAGCACTTGATACTTGGTGATTTGTATAGTGAAAAATTCACACATTGCATACTGTCATATCCTGTATGCTGGACCTAGATCCCATGGTATTCCCATGCCTTCCAGGCCTATTTCTGGACCCCACATCCAACTCATGCCCAGATCCCCTTCCACTGTGTGCTCCACACCTCAGCAGGATTAGCCCCACTATGGATTTACCCCTGAGCTCCGGACCTCCAGATCTTCACTACTAGCCTGATCTGTACAACCCCATCCTGTCCACCATATGCACATTCTGTCCAGCAAGACATCCAGACTTTACCTCTTCTCAGATTCCAGACTACATCCACCACCTCACATATCTCAGTCCTGTTTCCGCTTTGCCTTCCAGATCTCCAGACCTATTCCCACCCTCTGTCTGAGATCCTGCATGTAACCCTATTTAGGCATATCCCCCCTTCCGGTTCTCAGCTACCTCTGTTTCTGTCTTGCTGATTGACCTTTGTACTAGTTTCATCTCCGAGTTCATTTACTTATGTTCTGTCTCACTTACTAATATGTTTCCACATGCTTGTACATAGCCTTACTCCATTGCTTACTGATCCTCTCAGATATCCTCTAGTATATAACCACTGTACAACTCTTGTAGAGTCCTCAGTCTGAATATCAACTTAGACTTGCCCAATCTTCTCCTGGACTTTGGTCCACCTAAGTTCTGTCCTATCCATCAGGCCTAGGGATTGATTCCCTAGGCCAGAGCCTTGCCTTTCCGGCAATTACCCTCTTTCCAGAATTAGGTCCAATTCCTGTCTCTCCAACTCTACCTTAGGGTAGTCTACCTCTGTTTGTTTCTACATTGAATTTCATCCAATGTAGCCCCTATTCCTTCCAGACCTCCAGACATCCTGTTCCTCGTACCTCCAGACATCTTGTCCTCCAGATGTTCAGTCCTCCTGTCCTCCAGACCTCCTATTCTTTCATCCTGTTTCCTGTGGAGATATTACCTTGGGGTCTCTCCACTTCCTGTGCAGTGGGACCTCCTCTGAGTATTTCCTGTACTCCTCTGGAACTCTCCCATGCTCCGACTTTGAATTATTACCTCCTTTGATATTGATGATATACAACTACCTAAGCTCTGTCATGTCTACAATTATCATTCACCTGGGCCCACCCATCTATATTATATACCACCCTTGGCCCACCTGTCTAATATAATATATTGTTGCCCTCAGCCCACCTGTCTAATATAATATATTATATCACACCCTTGGCCCACCCATCTAATATCATATATTGTTGCCCTCGGCCCACCCATCTAATATAATATACATCTGGGCCCACCCATGTATGTGATAACAAGTACCCTTGGCATACCTGTCTATCTGATACACATCTACATTGGTACACCCATCTACATAATATCCAACTACCTTGGCCCATCTGTCTATAGAATATTCATGTCCATCAGCCCACTCATCTACTGTACATATCCCCCACATGGGCCTACCCGCCTCCATCGGGAATAATATCCCTCCTGGCCCATCTGTCATAGTCGGGGATATTTTTACCTTCAGCCCATGGTCCACTGGCCTGTATCATACAGGATATTATGCACATCCATTCACTCATATAATACAGAGATAGGTCACTGCAATATGTGGGTCACGAGGGTCATGAGGATGAAGCTGCTCAAACAGGAACCTCCTGATGAGTTCTTGTAAGTGTGGGACAGATAGCTCAATAGCAAGTGCTGGCACGGTTTGGGCATGTTTGTGTTCTGTCATTGTGATGAGTTATATTAGAGTGAAAATATGGATCTAGGACATACAGCATGCTTGTGCAAGCTGCACCTGAGCCTCAATCTCAGTTGCCCCATCATCAATTTCACCATCATCTAAGTCAGCACCAGATTCAATCTGAACATTGGGAATAACATTATTCAGACATTCATCAGGTTGGTTATTGATACTGCCTGTGTTATCAATGTAAAATCAGCAAGACATAGCATAACATTAAATGTGAGTCACTAACCTTTGGCATTTAGGGCATCTGTAAGACAAGTACCGTTAAGCATACCGTGTTTGGTAAAGTCCACGCGCAAGGCAGCAAGTTTGTTGAGTCATTGATTCATCATGAGCATTTGCCCAAGTGCATTGTACCTGTTTGAATGATGCCAGGGTTGCTTCATGGCCTTGATATGTTTGTTCTCTGTCATAGACAAACAGAGACCATTTGGTGCTCCAAAAAGACAGATAAGGTCAGGGTAGTGCTTCATTGAATGCTGACGTGGAAGTGAGAATGTAGGAATGACACTGAACTGGTGAAATATTTGACAGTAGTGGTGGAACCAGTGAATTGCATCTTCTATTTGCAAGATCATGTCCTCCATGATAACATTCTTTCAGACCAGGTAATAGAATTCCAAAAAGGCACAAAATGTGCAGATGATGTCAGTCGGTAAATGGCCTTCTATTGCAGGCAGATATATCTATGATACTCGATCAGTCGAGTCTTATTTGAATTAGAATACATATACATACCTTCATGAGTGCCTTCAAGTCATCCCCAGTCCACTGCTTGAATCCACAGCCCTGTGGGAAACGCTGCAAGCCAGTGAACAGAACAGCAGCAGCCAGATGTTGGTCAATATCATCCATAATGCGCTCTGCCTCGTGTTTTCCATGAATATGATGGAGGTACTTCTCCACCCATGCAACTAGATGGTCCTTGAAGCAGCCTTTGATGATCTGGTGAAGGAGATCTGGTGCAATAAGTTGATGGATATCAGCACAAGGGAAGTCATTCATAAAAGTGTCATATGCCATTCCAGACTCTCAACTCTAAATCCGCTTCTCCGGATATCCAGATCCAAGATCCAGATCTCAAATGATCTGATCTATCTTTATCTCCCTTCCAGAATCCAAACCCTATATCAGCGCCCAACTCCATTTAGACTGCCCCTGTCTCCGGACTCTGGTTAACCATGTTTCCCTTTTGATTATTGATCTGTTACATACATTTCATTTCCGGTGTTCATTATTTGTGATCCGTCCTACTTACTAATAGACTCTGCATATGCTTCATACATAGCCTTTATGTTTGCTGACTGATTCCTATATGATACCTACAGTATATAAACCTCCTGTAACTCTCGGAAATACTCCAGTTCAAATATCATCTTAGTTCCTGCTCATTCCTGTGTCCTCCGGACTCAAGATAAGTCTCGTGTCATATTCCAAGTCTTAGGATTGCATCCTAGATTACATTTCCGACTCTACCTTAAAGGTAGTCCATCCTCTGTTAGTTTCTAGTCCAGACTTCGTCTGGATTAGTCTTATCCGCTTGCCCAGGTAACATCTGGATGTCTGTCAGATTTATCTCACATTTCAGATCCAGATGTCCATTGTCTGCCCTAGTCAAATCCTGGAAACTCTGGACGACTGTTCTAGCCCCTGGAAATTAAGGGCACATACTTGGGAAAGGGGCACAGCGTATGAGCTGAGGCCAAGCCCTTGTGATCCGACCCCCTTGAGCATGCGACCTTAACAAAAAGGCTACACATAGGTCAGCCCTGTGAGCACTTCTGGTAACTGAATGAAGCCTACCACAACTTCACCAACAATACCAAAATCACTCCGCAGCACACTACTGAATATATCCTCTTCAAAGAGGGCTTCTCTGTGTGCCTCACATCAGCAAAGGGCATCATCATCTAGGCTTCGACATGGAGCAAGACACCTGCAAAGGCATCAGACATTGGGAGAGCAGGGAAAGAACTAGTAAAATGAACCTTGGACACCATCTCCTCATGATAGACATAAGTAACACCTGCTCCTCATAGTCCACAATATATGGACCTAATCCATATACAACACATTGATAATGGCCATCACTGAAACATGGAATCTCAGGCTTTGACATGGCATCTTTGAGTGTGTTGAGTACCTTTGCCAGTGCAGAATGGAAGATCTGGCACCAGAAATTGCGAAATTCTTCTGTCTCTGCATGTTCCTTGGTTGCTACAGGACAGAGTCAAGTTACAGTATGAAGCGACTTGAAAAAACTTACTCTTCAGTAGGGCAAGAAAGCCAACAAGACAGAGGGCATTTCAGTGTGCTCGGCGCACATTGTTGCACACATTGCTGATGGACAGATACAACAGATAGTACTTGTTGTTTCCAGTGCCAACTGACATGGTGGTCTTGTCACTTCCAAGTATTATCGGCACAAATGTAGCTCCAAGATTACTGGGATCAGTGGCGATGATATCCTGAAAGGAATGGTTATGACCAGGAGGCTGATTTTGGATAGTAGGGATGTACTGCTTGCTGCCAGGCCCAATCAGCTGACATGAAGTCCTGGAAGTGACATTCATCTTTGTCAACTGAAAATTCGTGGAATGGGCGATAATTGAACTCATTGACATAATCAGGGTTAGCCAGGATGTTCTGTGCAACTTCATGGGGGTCGTGATACCAAACATCAAACCACTCACTCATCCACAGAGGCACATCAGGCTCAGCAGGTTTATCTCCGGAGTACTGGATGTTGAAAGACTGCCAGTTGACGCCACCAATCAGGATGTTATCAATAGTCTTGTAGAGATCCTTATGATCTGCAAAAGGTGGGTGATCATGGTGTTTGAGTAGCAATGTGGCCCAGAGATCAAGGAGAGTGTTAATGTTGGGTGCAGACATTTGTCTGTGACTGAACAAAAACTCGGCTGTCTCGAATTCCATGCGATTGTGAAATGGTGCCCAGTCATTGGGTGACTGTTTTGCGAGAGGGCATGGTGGAGTACCAAGGGGCAAAAAATCGCCACTTTCATCACATGGTCAAGCTGGGGCTTCATTAGCATCAGATACACTACAAGATTAAGGTACAATCACCATTTAAACCAGTGTGATAATTGCAATACATTTTTTTGCCTGGGCCATAGAAGTCAGAGTCCACTTCCAGAGCAAAAGAAGAGTTAGAAACAAGGCACAGATATTCAGACTGCTGGGACTCACTATTAACGTTGGCATCTAATTCTGGTGCTGGTGGTGGAGATGAGTGGTGCAGGTCAGTATCTGCTGATGGAAGAGATGGTAAGTGAGTTGGAACATAATCTTCAGATGTCAAGGGATGTGGTAACTACTGAGTGGGACAGATGCCAAACAGACTCACCATTCATACCAGTATCAACGTCCATGTCCTGATTGTCTGAAGATCCTGACTTGGGTCGATTTGCATCCACTCAACTTCAAATTGGGTGCATTGCAGTGCAGTGTCTTGTTCATCCACTGAGAGATTTGAAGTGCTGGTTGCATCAAGGATAACCACAAGGGAATTGATATGGAATGTGGTTCCTTCGAGAGTGCTGAGGAGCAGGGTGGGGCACCATGGTGTACTAGAATGCAGGTGAGAGGATCAAGGAGCAAAACAGAAATGCAGATGCGAACCTTGGCAGACAGTAACTTAATCAGGACTAGACACACTAGGGTAGCAATGTTGAAATTGACCTGTTGCCCAACTAGATGTACTGAACATAAAAGAAATGTGAGCATGTGTTTGTCTCAATTGATGGGGCCAGTACCATGCAATTTTCATCCCCAAGCTCTTCGCTCTATTTCATCCACCCTCCCATTATCTCCAGCAGTCAGGCATGGCACCCAAAGCTTCACAAGAAGTGTCCACATGTCGGACTCATCCATCGAACACAAATGCTCATCCTGGCAGGCCTGTTTTGGAGGCCAAAGCTGAGGAGCACCTCCGGAATGCAAAGAGAAAACTTCATACCAAGAAATCAAAGGTCACCAATGACCCACATGCAAATGAAAGCCCTGAGGAGAAGAGTGCGCAAATCCAGAAGGCTGCTGAACAAATTGCAGGAATTGAAGACAATATGGTGACTCTCAAGGCGAAAGCACTTGGAAACAAGCTGAAACCTGTTCACCCCCACCCCCACCCTCGCACTAAAGGCAAAAGCCAGCAAGTGCCTACTAAGGATGCTGCCAGTGGTATGAGCCTGACATCAAGGGTAGTAACAGAGCTTGACACTTACACCAGATACGCCAACTGTCAATGATGGGCCAGAGGACATGCTACTGAGTGCTAGTGAGGCTGATGTGGTTGCTGAGAAACCTGGGAAGAAACAGACAGCAGAGAAGACAAAGACATTACTAAAGGAAGCCATCAGAAATGCCCAGAATTCTGAGATCAAAACTGATAGCAATAATAACTCAGATATCAATACACGTGTCAGTGACAAGAAAGGCAACAATGCAGCTTTGTCGTGAGTCAACACACTCATTCAAAACAATGTTTTTACTCACCAAATCAACATTATCCTTTCTTGACTGTGCGGTTTCAAGTACAACCAAAAAGCTGTCACTTGGTGGTTATATCAAAAACTGGGCCAATGATGTCCTGGAGAAAGCTTACCTGAAGTCCAACATACTAAGTTCCAGATCTGAATCGCACACTCCTACTCCACCCCAATCAATCTTGTCCACTGCTACTACTAGTACCAGCACTAGTTCCAAGGCCACATCTGCGAGCATCAACAAGGAGAAGGCAACCAAACCTGACATTCATGAATCCGATGATGTCCTGATGGTTAGTGATGTCGATAGTCTCAATGACTGTCCCAATAGTCTTGAACAGCATCCAGCTGCACTGCACTGGAAAGGGAAAAAGGCAGTTAGAGTAAGTCTTTTTTTTTCATCATTGATTCACTTCACATATTACCTTGAATTCAAGAAGTCTACTACTATAATTGTTCCTGCTAGCAAGAGTGACTCCAAGCCTGAGCAGACGACTTATGTCACTGAGTCTGGTGGTGTGAAGTGGAAGGCTGCTAGCAATGACATTCAGGATTTTGTTGATGAGACTGGATCTGAGGCCTCATCTGAGGCCACAGATAATTCTGACATTCTGATAGATGATTCACAGGAAATGACAGGCTTCATGCCTGAGGTTACCACAATTCCCACCACCAAGAAGAAGGAATATGCTCCTTGCAAGACTACATCAGTGTGTGTATTTTTTCTCTCACTCGTAACTGACACAATTCATGTATTTTAGGTGTCTACCATTGTATCTCAGAATGCTGCCCCTCCACCACCAAAGAAGTTGAAGAAAGAAAGCTCAGAGTCTACTAATGACGACAATCTCATGCCTCCCCCCTCCACCCAAGTTCCAGCAGGCTATTATGACGATACCATGCCTCCCCCCAGCACCCAAGTCCCACCAGGCCACTGGACAACTGCTGCACAGGAGATGATCAAGCTGCGTGGTCAATACTGTAACACTGACCTTCCCATACCTGCCAACTCAAAGTGGGTGAAGGCCTTTTTGTCCACAGCAGTTCTTTGGGCTGGAAGTCAGCCTAATCCATGGGAGATGTCTGAGTCCATGATGGTAGACACACTGCAGGACATTTTTGAAGTAGTCTACCCTGGCGTCAAATACAAGGTGAATCTGAACAGCACTGTATTCACTGTGGTAAGTTCATTTTAAATATTTCTGTGTGGGTCTCTCATACTGTTTCTAGATGCAACAGTGGCTCTCAGAGTGGAGGAGCAACATTGGCTCTGCGGCACTTGCTATCATTGTAGATTTTTGCTCTCGCATCAAAGATGCACCAAACACCGAAGTTGCCAAGCATCTCCTCAAAAAATGTGTTTATTTATGAAGACTCGGACAATATATCATGGGAGACAGCCTACCTGTCAGTGTTCATACTCCAATTGATGGCAACCAATCATCTCATTGTGATTGCCAACCACATTGATGTTCCCACACTGAATACTGATGAGCTTTCCTTGGAAGGCATGGATGGTGCCATTGTGCTCTGCATTGTCACAGTGAGATTCATGTTTTATCCAAAAATTGCTGTTCTGATTTTTTCCAGCTTGAACACATGCTCAAGTTTGTTTGAGACAACATCATCAAGGTCGAAGAGGTTCTCACGTCTATGGCAACTGGCAAGTTTGCTGTCAAGCTCCCAATGGTACTCAACAAGGCAACAGGCAAGATGTTGAGTGGATGTTACAAGTTCTCATTTGCCAACTGCCATGAGGAGACAGAATCATACATGAAGTCAATCAGCAGCAGGAGCAATGAATCAAAGGCCGCCATCATTGTGCATTCGTGAAAGCTTATGAAGAAGTCTCCAATGAAGGCTGAATGTTCTGATGATGGTGATGAGGAGAGCATCAATGAGCATGCCCTCATTTGTAATGTTTTTTCTCCCCTGGCCGGCAATATTACTGACATTTTGTTAACATCTCAACAGAATCATTCTATCTCATTGCCCACCTGTCATATCTGCATATCCAGATCTCAGATCCGACCCTTATCTCATCTCAGATCCACATCTTATCTCCGATCCTATCCACATCTTATCTCCCTCCAACATCTCGTCATTCAATCTGTCCACTCGTCCAGTCCAGTCCACAATTCATCCAAATCCACAACCAGCGCTTATCTCCTTTCAGTAACCCCCTAACTCTGGTATTTCGGTTATCTGTATATCCGTCCTGCTCCCTGATCCGCTACCTATGTTTCATTTCCATTTCATGATTTGTGATCTGTTTCTACTTACCAATAGACTATCCATATGCTTCATACATAGCCTCGGACTCTGCTGATTGATCATTCCATTAGATACCTATAGTATATAACCTCCTGTAACTTTCTGTAGTACCTCAGTTCGAATATCATCTTAGTTCTACTCATTCCCATCCTCCGGACTTGAGTATCTCTACTCTCGTCACCTTCCAAGACTTGGGATTGATTCCTATAGTCTATCCGTATCCACCTCTGTCTCCGACAGTCCATTACCATTAGTTTCTAGTCTGGACTCGTCCAGATTAGCCCTACAATACTTATCCCTCATCTGGAAGTCGTCCGGATCTGCTATGCTACTCATCTGACCTTCCGGACGCATTAGTCTTGCCTTCCTGAAATAAGGGGCAATACTTGGGTAAGGGGCACAGTGCATGAGCTGAGGCCGAAGCCCTTTGGATCCAGTTATCCCTTGAGTACAACCTTAACACCACCCCTTATGCCACCAATTTCCCTGCTGCCTTTGTACTATTGGTCCCCATCACATATTCACTCATTCATAATTTCTACCACATCATCTGACTATACTACCATTTGCTGGCTCTGATGAATTGACTATTTCATTACTTTGCTTATCCTACTGTTTGGGCACAATGATTGCTTTTTCCACTTACTGCCAGAGGGATAAGTGAAATTCAGATGAAAATCAGAGATTGACTGGTCTGAAAAAGTGACTTTTTGCTTGTCCAGCACAGTTCAGTGCTCCTGCTTATTTGTGCTGATTAAGTCATAAAAGTACATAAAAGTACATAAAGCAGATCCAAGATTTTCCTGATGTGTATTAAATGTGTCCCATCACTGCAAGCTAACTAACATTCACCGATAGCAGCTGCTAAACTCATCTCATCTTCATTGAAGTGGGTGTCTGAAACAGCCAGCAGGAATGGTGGACTGACAGGGGCACACCTCCTCAGGGCATTTGCGACTTCAGAGATCAGAAGGCCCTGAGCCTGACTGGCCCACTGGTTGCTTTTTCACTTTTTGTCCCTTAATGTTTGGTAAATGAAAATCAGAACATTGCTTTTGGATTTAATAGACTGGCCTGGATCAGAGTTTGGAGCCATCAAAAACTATTACTACTAGGTAATCATTCCGAGATGGGAAATGCACAATTTTCATTTATTGCTGAATATCATCACAACAACAACACATATTCATATCAGATCTACTTTAGTGCATACCTTAGGTCTCTGCACATTGAGCACAACAAGAATTCTTTATTTTGTTGCGAGCTTGTTGCAACAGCAGCAGTAGTGGAAGTTGAGGTGTCGAAAACAATAGAAATGCACAATTTCGTCGCGCTATGTCTAGTGTAGCTATAGAGGGTAGAAAGGAATTGGCCCCATGGCAATTGGCAGAATATTAAATGGCAGAAGTCAGCAAAAAGTACTGTGAGTGTTTTTGGCTCTTTTTTAATCCACTATGTTTCTACTATGGCAAAAATAGATTTGACCACTACACCTGAGGCTACACCTTCTGGCATCAAAGGTGCATTGATCAACTAATATCATTCCACCCTGATGCACTCTCTGAGACTCTATTAAGATCAATCTCTTCAACAAAACCAGCTGGCATGATACTTTTGTCAACCCCCTCTAGCTCACACAAGTCAATGATGTCGCCATCCTGCATTTCCATGTACATTGTGTCTAGTGCCATGTCTGTGCCTGCTATGAAATGTACATTTTAGTGAAGACACATCAGAGTCTACAGAGGTATGTATAAAATCCACAATAGTTCAGGACTAATTTTGGTTTTGCCAATCACTGGCATTTCTTGTGTCACCTATCGGTGTAGGCCAACAGGTTGGGATTGCACATTACTGGTGTTTCCTAGTGTTCTTCTGCCAGGGGAATGTTGGAAACAGAGCAAGTCGAGTCAGAAAGTCTGCTGGCAATACAAATGTTGTATGTTTGAAGAGGTATTCAAGTGGACAGATTCTGAACACCATTCAGCACATGAAAGTAAGCTGTCCTCCCACCATTCCATCGAGCTTGATATTTGGGACCCCATATCACATCTCATAAATAATGTGTCTCTCTTTCATTCTCACCTTTGTTACTGCTTTGACCTTGACAGTGTCTATACCTGTCAGTGTTGATGAATGCCCCTTCTACTGCAACTTCCTTGATTGCTGCCCTGACATTGAATGCAAAGCAGTGGAAGATGAGAATCATGTAAGGATAAGTAGTTTTCATCTAACCCCATGACTCACCAACGTGGTAGGATATACTCATGTCTGTGTGCTATTGGGTGCCCCGCTGAACTACAGTAATTCGCACCTCTGCTTTCGCAAAACCGTATTGGTGCAGTACGGTTGACAGCATGACACATAAGTAGTTCGTTGCTGCCAGTGAGCACTGAGTGTTCGGTTTGTGAACATACCTTGCCACTGCTAGCAACATCTCAAACACTTCAACAGTGCATAAAATATGGCTGAAGTACTTATGACGTATTACTTTTCATCTCGTCATAGGCTTGCAGAATATAATCTATAAAGGCCCCACACAACCGTCGGGATGGACCGTTGACTGTTGCGTCCCCATCGTGAACCATGATAAATTCGCACCATAAGATCATATTATTTGATATTAACACTGTGTATATGAATGGTTCTGGGCAGGTGCAAATAGCGAGGACCATCAAGTGCTTCATGTTCGACCACATCTGATGTGACATTGGAGTAGGGACCCCCAGGCAGGAGGTTAGGCAGAGGAGGCCCGGGGATTTGACGGTGTTTGAAGTGGAGATAGCTGGGAGACGGAAGCAGAGCGTCGGAAGTACTAGAGAGCCAGTTCTCATCAGCAGCATTAAATTCTTCGCATAGAGCGATCCAGCCTAGCTCATCCAACATGCAGCATTGATGAATGATGATTGGAGTATGAGAGAGGAAAGAGAACACACTTTGAACGCCTGAACGCTGGCTTGCAGGATGTGCCTAATATAATGGGCCCATCATTGACTGAAGCAATTAGTAGGGCATGCGACTCTGTAATATGTCACGCTTGAGGAACTAGCAGTTGAGCGCCTTCGAGGGTGACCACCCATCTGCAGACCATTAGAAAGAAGTCAAGTGATCATAGTATGACATGCCAGGTTGTCTGGTATAACTTATAGGGTGGTCAGTGCCACAAAACCTAAAGGCCGATCATTATCAGGGAGACTTGCCTCCATTCTATAGTGACAGAGATAGAAACCCTCTTTGTTCTTCTCTCTGCACACCTTTGAAGACGAAGCATCAGTGCTTATGGATGGACGTAGATATCAGAAATGATATCACAGCCTTGACAGTCACCCAACCTATCATATTGATAGCTGTAAATAGGTAAAATCTGGACTTGAGTCTATTGCCCTGGACATATGATATGGGTCTTTGCTGCCGACCCCAACTGAAGTTAGATCGAAGTAATATAGATATGGCCTTGAAGTTTGTGAGCAAGGTTCTTGAACTAGCCTTGGGCACCACAGTCAATTGGTTAACCACAATATGTCAAGTTGCCCACCATGATAACTAATATAATGACTGCCCTGGCCATCTGTTGTGTCCTAGCCTTCAGTACCTCCGTTCATTGAGTATATGTCACATGGATCCTCATGGCTGTAGCTAGTGTGCCCTGATGCCCATTGGGGGTACAGTTCTAATATGACATCGGCAAACTCATAATTATACAAGTCATATCATTTGTTTATCGGCACAGGAAGTATGTATGTAGTGTTGCATATACATCAAATCAAGATATGGTTAGTAATAGCAAAGCGAAAGCATTGAGGTCTATGGGTACTGGTTTGACAACCTATCACATAGAAAGTAGTACCAGTAAACAGACGTTCCAAATGATGATTCTAAAAGCAAACGGAATACAATAGGTAGTTTGCAACCATGACTCGCTCCGAGCGACGAGGTGGATAGGGTATATGGGGAGCCTGAGTCATTGAGGTCCTCGTCTTTTCACTCTTCATCATCACTGTCGCGCGCCAGTTGGTGAAGGAGTTTGCGCCTCATATATCTCGCACTGGTATGGATCGATGGATCATCTTCGAACAAGGCATTGCGCTTACGGGAGGTTGATGTCCCTGAGGGCAAGACGACAGTGTCTGATGTGGCTACGGAGGCGGGGGATGACTGTGATGGCTCAATGTCATAGCCGACCTGTGAACGCCGAGGTAAAGGTGGTTGGCCTGGAATTCTCTTTTGACATTTGGTTAGTCTGATCAAAAATCGATCATAGCTAAAGCTAGAGAAACTTGCCTCCAACTTGTAGCGACAGATATAAAAACGACCGGCTCCATCCTTCTTTCTGCACGCCTTTGAAGATAAAATATTAGCGGCCACTCATGTCTATAGTTATGGAAATGATTATACATGTGTGACGGTGTACAAGCCATCATACCGATAGCCATTGAAAGGCGCAAAATTAGAAACAAACTTCGAGCTCCGGACGACACGCACGGGCTTGCCTGTGCCATAAGATATCTATTGTACTGTCATTTCCCAACCTCACATTCATCAGAGATAGAACTCACAAGAAGTGCTTCATTTCCCCAGCCTGTCCATTCCTGATCAGAGACCTGCGGGCCTGGACGTTTCTTGGGGAATTTGATGGAAGGTCATGCTATAGGAAGAAGAAAGCAACTCACAGGCCAGCCCTCAGTATCGGAGGGGCCACCCCCTAACGGTACTACGTTGGCATACAATTTTGCAGCCAATATTGCGAACACCCACCTACGCCTACATAGAAGCTATACACGCAGGTCAGACTATCGAACGAACTCGAAAATAAGCGCCGCAGTGCTTACATCGTGTCGCCCAAATCCTTGTCATCATCGTATTGACCCGAAACGACGATCGAGCAAGCGCCCGATATCTTACTACCTTGTATTCCAGCCTGCATTTGGCGGTGTACGCCAGCAGCATAACAATTTTTGCTGGGAACACACAGGCAGATGATATTAGTGACATTGTCAAACGAGAGTTGAGAATACGTACCGAGTCATCCAAGTGGTGCCAATAGGTACTCCGGGAATCTCACCAAAGCGCCGCCTGCAAAGATTGTGCTTGAGCAGTGATTGAGGGGAAATTTCTGAGAAGCATTACTGACAACATCCTGGCATGACTGACCCTGACCTCCTTGGACACTTTGCGGGCGATTTTTTTTGGTTCTTCTTCTATCTCCTCGTCCCTTACGCTAGCAATTATTTCTGGATTTTCCTCCATCTCCTTGTCCTCTTTGTTGGCGATTTCGTCCTGATCTTCCTCCATCTCCATCTCTACTCTGCTGGTGATCTCGTCTTGACTTGCCTCTATCTCCTCTCCTGGGCTACTGTAAAGGTCTTCGACTGCGGGTCGTTCTACAGCGCTAACGTAGTCCATTATGTCGTCGGTGATCGTCAAGACGATGGAGATAATTACACGAGGCCAACATGAGGCTCGTATACATAGAATGCTGTTGCGTGACGCGTCGGGGTTCGAAAGACGTGATCATCGAAAGGCCAGACTTAGGTCAAGCTACCCCTTCTAAGAAAGATCTGACTCCACCGGCGACTAGATAAGACAAGGCGGCGGCGGCGACGGCAGCTGATGAAACTAGGCCTCCGGACTGGAGAATGACACCCAAGGATCCATGACACGTCGGCAGTGCAGTTGATTGCAGCCAATATCGACCCGCATCTGCTGCCTCGAAAAGAAGCAAGCTGGATTATGGTGTCAACTCACTCCCATGTGAACTCTGATGGTCTGCATGCATTTCTGAATTGCGAAGGTTTGAGGATCTACAGATACAGGCTTGATGGCATATTGCACCTAGGTACCAGAGTAATATCAGCTAACAGATATTGCCGATGATCCTAAACTTCAAAGCATGAAAGTAGGAAAACCGGGATATTTTACAGTTATGGCTGATCCGCTCTAATTGATGAGGTAAATGAGGATGATAAAATCGACAGACCATAACTTCAAACACATGCAAGTGCTAGCCAGGGTAGCTCGTCAATTTGACCCAGAAGCATGTGTTAAAATTTAATGCATACGGCCTCGGGTTGTTCACGCGTCCACCCAAAGCAGTCCACGCTGACAATTGATGTGAGGTGAAGGGTCAATGGTACAATACTCCTCTAATATTCGGAAAGGTCATGTGCAAAAGAGCATGCAGAGGACAACTGTGACGATGCATTGCTAGCGATGATGCCAGGTGGTGAGACAAGTTCAGTTGGAATAGCAAGATAGATTACCTTTTAACAGAAGTCGCGCTTTCCTCCAGGAAGTCTGAAGCAGAATATCATGGTTCAAGCATTCATGACACTCTTATTCATCATCATGATGTTTTAATAGGGCTGGCAGAAGCGTTGGAAGCGGAGTAGAAAGAACTTGAAGGAAGGATAGCGGCGAGTGATGAATATTAATCTGCAAGCAGAACGCGGATGAGATGGAAATCATACGTGCATGAATAAACTGTACTCACTGTCTGACATAGGGTGTATTACCCCAATATTAATTGGAATCAATTGAAAAAAACTTCACTCAGTTCTCTAATCAGCCGATTTGCACCAAGGGAAGCTTCCGAACAAGGAAACTCTTGGAAGCCTTTGGACAACAAACCAAAACAGCAGGTACTGGACTCTCCCATGCGCTAGCTCCTGCTGCTGTCTAGGACAACGTAGCGCTCCAGCGATGCAAACTCGCGTCATGCATGTATGCCTTTGACAAAGTTGTGATAACCGAAGTGACGTGGATCGTTGACATGGCTACCTCAAGTTAATATGTGATGTATCTTGATTTTCCTCATAGACAGTAGAGCTGTTGATATCTGGTACAGAGCGTGATGAAGGTATTGCGAGCTGCGTGCTTTCTGTGACAAGATTTGCTAGTTAGCTCGTAGTATCCTCAATGTCAAAGCATGATTTCCATCTGAAAAAGTATTGTGGTACTTTGAGCTGCTATATGATGTCATGCTCTTCCATTCTCATGTCAAAGGGAAGGACTACGTTGGGTCTGATGATACATGGACATCGAAGGTAATTACAGTGTTTTTGCGCGTTTACAAATTAAAATTATGACTGATCTCACGTATACTAGGCCTCTGTGATGCTACCCACCTTCATATAGCTATTTCTCTACTGCGCAACTTTCCATTATGCTGCCAGCTTATGCTCGAGGGCGCTTGCTGCTGTCCCAAACGGGTACCGCTACCAAAGCTTACAGTCGTGCTGTGACTACACCGCCAGAATGTCATCATTGCAATCCTCAGAACCTTATCGGAGTTGTACTGCTGCACACGTAATGTCATATTATCTAGTGAAGACACGCTAGTGCTCACATTATAGTCAGTCTATGTATACAAAGGGTGAGCGATGTACTGTGGAACTTCAGAAGATTTGCGTCCTGTGGATTGATACGCAAGGTGCTTCAAAGCAGTGGATTTCACATGGAGGCCATAGCTGCGTTTCCAATGGTGGATACTTCAGGCCCTTGCCTTTTTGCGACATGATGTCGGGGCACGATGCGCGTCCGCAGACATACTTTGCCTAGCGCTTCTCCGCTCGTTGTGAGGTTCAAAAGCTCTCTCCTTCCCTCTCTCGTGTTTCACTTTATTTTCTCATCTTAGCCACTTCACATTATTTTTTCGATTCATCAATATGACTCTGTAAGTCTACTCACATGTCGATTTAGTATCTTCATATACTAACAATACCTTTCGCATTCAGTCCCTCATGTTCCAAACCTTGGATAGGTTGGTGTTCAATCTCGATTTGAATGACGCAGTTAGATTTTATTAGTGGGGCTATCCCTACATCAAATAACTCCAAGGACCTCCTGGAAATGTCCAATCTGGATGTATCGCATGATCAGCCCGAAGCTGATTGGTTGTAAGTCTACTCACATGTCAACTCGGCATCTTCATATGTCAATGATCCCTTTCGCGTTCAGTCTCTTGTATGATAGTATCCAGGTGTTATTGGATATGTTAGTGTATGCAATCTCGAGTTGGATGATACAGTTCACCTCCTATTTTTCTACTTAGCCTACCTGAGCACGACCAACCACAGATCCAACCATCATGAATTACAGTGCTGCAACATGGGTACGTGCCACGCAAACGGCGTCCCCACCATAGCTTATTTGTTTCTCTAGGGCTTCAGCGTGTTTACAAGATGTCCAATATATTCGGGCATCGTCTCCAACGTTGATGAAATTCACCGCTCTGGTAGTTGGTCTCCCCCAGTTACCTCCCATAGATCTGAGTCAATACGACCCTCCGCAGCCCTCTCAAGAACCGCTGCAAGGCCACGCATGGTCCTCGAACGGATATCCTGCTGGTTGCTGCACCCATGGTTCCAATATCCCAGGTCCCTACTACAGTCGACACCGCAATCCTAGGCAACGGGTTCGCCTGGTGCGTATCCTTCGTGGCCCTCTGCGGTCATTCAAGCATTGCTGCAAGATCATACATCCCAGCATGGATATCATGCTGGCCTGCCAGGCGCGTATTACCCCAACACGACATCCCCCCAAGGGCACGATATTCAGTTGCAGACGGGATTTAGTGGGAACACCAAATCGGAGCCATCTTCCTCTGCACTCGACAGGACAGCGCCTGCTAATTCTCACAAGCACAAAGCCCGCCAGCCTGTTAAAGTCGAGATTGGTAGTTCGAATTCGTCTCTCCCACACAAGCGCAGGCGCCCGAAGGACGAGGAAATCGGAAACGGGAAGTTTGGTCAGTACACGCTAACGGATGCCAGTGCTTGTACATGACCCAAAGCCGGTAGACATCAGCGGCTGCAGAACTCACGATGCCTACGGTAATGTTCTTCAAACGAGGAGATAGCATTGCTCGGAAACTGAGCCAATGGTGAATTTGGGCCGTCATATTGAAAGCAACCATTATACTACATCCTACCAATACCCCTATTGCAAGAAGAGGTGGTCTAGGACCGATTTTTTGGGTCGGCATCAGAAGAAGTGCACACCTATGCTTGAGAGCAGGGCCCACGCTGAGCGTGAAGGTTACGATTTCTGTCTCCAAGACCCGAAGAGGTTGGTTTATGGGTATATTGTACCTGCCCGCAACACGACATACTCCAGTGTTCGACTTTGTACGTCCCCCTTGTCCTGTGTCTGTCACTGCTGCTAACTTCCTATTGCCGTACTCTAGTATTATCTCCAAATCTTGAAACCTTTTTTGATCAACGCTAACGACACTCGTTTTACTTATGACCGACACTCCTTTTGAACATTCGCTCTTCTTAGCATATTTTCCTCTCTTCGTTATCGCTTGGTTTATCTTCCATATGATTGTTAGATTATCTTTATTGTGCGCTAGACGTAGCTATGGTATCTCATCGCATGGCTCGGTGTATCTTCTATCGACAATAGTTAGATTTTATGAAATATTATACAAGGACACCCCTTTGGTCGGCTCTTCGACGACATATTAGTTACAGGTTCCGCAGCGAAAGGGGTAGAAGATGGTACATTTTTCTGGAGATGGGTGTTTCATGCTCCATAGGGAAGATACCCGTGCTTCAAGTAAAACTCGATGCTATTTGAACGAACAGGTATAGGCGGTTGGCCTCTTTCATACTGGTCAGTGTGACAAAAGTCCAATCATTATCAGGGGGGTTTACCTCCATCCTATAGCGATAGAGATAGAAACCTTCTTTGTTCTTCTCTCTCCACACATTTGAAAACGAAGTATCAGTGCACACGCATGAATGAAATATCAGAAACGATGTTACGGCTTTAACAGTGTACAAGCCATCATATCGATAGCTGTTAATGGGTGCAAATTCGGACTCGAGCTCGTAGCTCCGGACGACGCGCACGGGTTTGCCTGTGCGTTGAGGTGTCTGTCGTACCGTCATTTTCTGGCTTCACATTCGAAGATGGAGAAACTGACACGAGGTGCTTCATTTCCCTGACCTGTCCAGTCTTGATCGCAAATCTGTCGCCTCTGGGGGAAGTTGATCGATGATCATGCTACAAGAGCAAAAGGGCAACTTACACCTCTCCTGGACCGGTGACGACCCCCTGACAAGAATATGTTGGCATACAATATTGTAGCTCAGTCTGAACACGCACCTGCACCTGTATATATGCTATATACAGAGGTCAGAATGTCGGTCTCACTCAAAGTGCCGCGATAGGTGCTTACAGCGTGCCGCCAGAATCCTCGTGTGCATAGCGGCCTGAAACAACAATTGCCAAGGCGCCTCTTGTCTGACTGCCCTGAATACCAGCCCTCATGTGGCGCTGCACGCCATCATAATAACAATCTTGGCTGTGAACATGTAGACAAACAAGTTAACTGATATCATCAAACAAGAGGTAAGAATACACACCGAGTACTCCATGTGGTCCCGACAGGTACTCCGGGAATTTCCCTGAAGTGCTGCCTGCAAAAAAAGTGCGTGAGTAGCGTGGTTTAAGAGAGAAATGCGAAGAAGCACTACTAAAGAAAACCTGGCACGAGTGGCCCTGAGCTCCTTAACCTCTTTTCTGTATACTCCTCTGGACCTTCCTCTTTATCTGCTCGCTCGAGCTACTGTGGAGATCTTCGACTTCGGGTTGTTCTAGAGCGCTAACGTATTCCATTATGTCGCTGGTGACTGTCAAGATGATGGGGATAATTACATGAGGCTAACATGAGGCTCATATGCATAGAATACTGTTTGACGCATCGGAGTTCAAAAGATGTGAGCATCGAAAGGTCATGCCTGGGCCGAGCTGCCCCTCCTAAGATTCAATTCCACCGGCAACTAGATAAGACAAGGCGGCAGTTACTGATGAAACCAGGCTTCCAGACTGTGGAGAATGATAGCCATGGATCCATGACGCGTCGGCAGTGCAATTGATGGCAGCTAATATCGACTCGCATCTACTGCCGCATAAAGAGGTAGGTTGGATTATGGTGTCAACTCACTCCCATGCGAGCTCTGACAGTCTGCGTCCATTTAGGCTTGGAGATACAGGTCTGATAACATATTGCACAGATAGACCTAAGAAGCAGAGTAATATCAGCTGACAGACATTACCGACGATCCTAAAAGCAAGAAAGTAAGAAAACCGGGAGATTTTACAGTCATAGCTGAGCCGCTCCAAGGGATGAGGTAAACAAGAATGATAAAATTGACAAACCATACCTTCAAATGCATACGAGTATTAGCCAGGGTAGCTCGTCAATTTGACCCAGAAGCATGTGTTGAAATTTGATGCATACGCCCTCGTGTTGTCCACGCGTCCACCCCAGGCTGCGCTGATAGTTGATGTAAGATGAAGGGTCAATGGCGCCATATTCGTGGTATTCAGAAAGGGCATACATAAAAGAGCATGCAGAGGACAACTGTGACGATATATTGCTAACGATGATGGACCTGGTGGTGAGACTAGTTTGGTTGGAATAGTACGATAGATTATCTTTTAACAGAAGTCGCGCTTTCCTCCAGGAAGTGTGAAGCAGAGGTGCATGGTTCAAGCATTCATGATATTCCTATTCGTTATCACGGTGTTTTAATTAGGGCTCCGTGAAAAACTACCGAGTTTTTGACAGGTTTTGAACGTGTTTTTAACGAGTCGATAACTCGGGGTTGATATTGGGGTGTCAAAAACTCGTCAAAAACTAAAATATATATGTACATGATCCCGGGAATATAGCCTATCGAATTCTCCACCTCCGCCGATGTATACGAGTTTTGGCTAGCAGTCCAGGCTGCATTTGAAGATCTCGCGGTACTATGCAATTGGTGTGCAACCCCGTCATTGATAGACCACATGGATTCTATCACACTGCGAAATCTGGAGAATTGCATCGCTGCAGCGAGATGGATGGCTTCATCGGGGCTGGACTCATCACCAACAGTAGTGTGGCAAGCCGATAAGAATGCGAACTCCAGGTTCTGCCAATGGGATCGGATGATCTTACCAAGTGGGACGTGGATGGAATCTTGGGCACTTGTGATGAACAAGGCATCACAGCTGTATTTGCTTGCATTGAGGATAACGACAGGACCACCTTTTGCCGCCTTCTGGAGGTCAGAAAATAGCGGAGGTAGGAGAAACCGGTGAAAATCAGGTAGCAGGCGGATGGGTGAGACCACATCGTCCCATTGAATGGTTAGTTGACGGATTTGTGGGGACTTGTCTTTAGTAGACTCATCGAACGCGTGACGAAGGCGGAAGCCAAGCTGCTCTGCCGCCAATGTCATGCCGGCGTTACCTGACGTGAAAAGTTCATCCAGTGGTGTGCTGAAGCGTGCAAACTGGGTCCAGAATACTGCATGGCCTTGCTCCACCAGTTTCACAGCAGCCGGGAAAGAGCCACGACGAACACCACATGAGAACACATCCATTGCAAAAGATGATGTAGCGTCCTTCACCGCATCGAAATGGCGGAAGGAGGGCGATAGAGTAGTAACGTGCTGATCGAGCAATCTTAGGGTGATTTGATAGGCCATCAATGCAGAGCCATGGTGGAGCTTGACTTGGCAGCACACTATAAGGGCCCGTACAGTGGGCATTTGCATTACCGTAGCGAAAAAATGTCAAAATGACCTGAAAAAACACATTTTTTGAGTGTGTCAAAAACTGGTCAAAAACCCCTCGAAGGTGGAGGTGAGTTAAAAACTCGTCGTTAACTCCGTGGGTAGTTTTTCACGGAGCCCTAGGTTTAATAGGGCTAGCAGAGACGTTGGGAGCGGAGTAGGAAGGAAGTTGGAAGACAGACGGCGAGAAATGAGCGTGAAATAGGATAGACAGCATCTCAGTACCAGGGTCGCATGGATGAATAACTTCACGAAGTTCTCCGGTTAGTCAATGTGCAGTGTGCACCATATAGCTGCCTGAATAGAGTATAATTAGACTTGCCGTTGTGGTTCTGCCACCTATAAAGCTTGAACTACGACTGCTCCCAAGTTGAAATACGTAAAAGAAAGGAGACAGTCTCAAGTCATCATCGCAAGTCGACAAGCAGGATGCGCGCTTCAGTGCAGTAAGAATTTCTAAGGCGGTCACCCCGATTTGGCCACCGTTTGTTTGTTTTTCTCTTGCTCAACGAGTCAACGTCCACTGTGGGCCGATCAGTTTTGCCAATATTCCTTGACTATCATGAACTCGCCCTGGAAAGGCAAAGCAAAAGCCACGAACCAAGATTATGATGACTTGCGACCAACCATAACTTACAGGCACCTTCTATCCAATAACCTCGGCGTTAGAGATCCCCTACGCGTCGTCGCCTTATGCGACAGTGACGCCTTCTATGCTGCCTGCGAACGCATTCGACTTGAGCTCGACCCGAGCGTACCAATCGTTGTACAACAATGGGAGAGTCTCATAGCAGTGAGCTACCCTGCACGTGAATTTGGCATATCCCGCATGGATAAGATCAAGGACGCCAAGAAAAAATGCCCTAATCTACTTGCTGTGCATGTAGCGACCTACAAGGAGGGCGAGAAGGAGCCCGGCTACTGGACAGATATCGATACGCGCACTCATAAGGTGCGTTTTGCATACTCTAACGCTCCGAACGCGACAGAAATGGACCTTTTGTTGCATATTCAAAAGGTATCCTTGGATCTATATCGACGTGAAAGTAACAAGATCATTTCTATGTTTAAGGAGGCTCTTCCAACCGGTGAAGTTGGTGAGACGCGCAATATACTTGTTTATTATGGTCAACTGATGTCAAAGCAAGAGAAAGCCTCCATTGATGAAGCATTCATAGACTTTACTCGTCCTGTGAGAGAACAGTTACTTGAACGATATCCATACATTGCCCAAGTTCCTGTTGATGCCCCAAATGGGATAGACAGTCCGCTGCCACCACCTCCTCCAATAAAGTGGGATGATTTGGGGACAGTCATACTACCAGAAGAAATTGATAGTGCTGGCGAACAATCTAACATTGAAGTTGATGGAGATGCAACATGGCACGATGTAGCGTTGTCAATTGCCGCAGAGCTGATGCGAAAGATTCGTGAAGACATACATTCAAAGCTAGGCTATACAACTTCTGCTGTAAGCGTCACCTCGTCCTTGTCAGCGAGCTCGTAATCATCTTACGCATAATCAATAATACAGGGTATTGCTCGTAATAAGTTTCTTGCGAAGGTTGGTGTTCCTCTTCCCTCGATCGATTGCACTCAATCTCTCGCTCGTAGCTTTGTGCCTCTTACAAGAAACCTAACAGTCAAGTCAGTCTTCTAAGTTCCATGTTGGCATCGATAACCGAATAAACATGCATAGACTATTCTCCGGAATCGGGCCATTCCAGATTACCTCCATCCATTGCCCTTTCAAAAAGTATGTCTCTAATCTTAACGCTTATTGACTGCCTTGACCGCAAGACGCATTAGATCCGCTTCCTCGGTGGAAAGCTCGGTGATGCCCTAGCGAAAGAATATGATGTTTCAACTGTGGGTGACTTGTTGTGAGTAATGGGCGGTTCTTTTCGATTTCTACCATCGCTCACCCTATTAAAGAACGGTTTCACTAGGTACTGGATATTGTTTTCATCCATCTCACTTTCTTATACATGACAGACGAAATACAAAGCAAGTTCGGTGAGAATGCGCTATGGGTATATGAATTCCTTCGGTAAGATATTCATTTTTTGTCTCCGGCGAACGTTTATCCATTATGCAACACCAGTGGCATTGACCGCACTGAAGGTATTTCAATGTGACCTGGCCAAACCTTTCGCATTTATAACTAGTTCGTAGTCAAAGAAAAGTCTGCGCTGTTCAAGAGCATGTTAGCGTCAAAGAACCTTCCGAAGCCGATAATCCAGCCCTCGGATGGACACCAATGGATCCGAATCCTTGCTGCAGAACTGGCGTTACGACTCAATGATGCGAGAGTGTCAATGCCGACGCTTTGGCCCAAGTCTATTGTGCTTCATGCTCGCAAAGGTGATTTGATCTTACAGCACCGAGTTCTATTTGTTGAGCTGGGGGCACGTCAGGGTACGAAACATCGCGATCCAAACAAGCCACTTTCCCTTTCGTCCGCAATGTGACAGTAGACGTGATCGCGACAGCTGCCGATAAGCTTTGGAAAGACCTTACTGACGACGCAAAGACCGTCAATATCACATCGGTCCAACTAGCATTTACTGGCCTGGAGAAGACCGAGATGGGCCAGAAAAGCATCGAAGGGTTCTTCACAACTCGAGATGTCCAGCAAACATCTCTCAAACGTTCGCGCGAAGATGATGAGCCTCTGGTCTCGCCTGAGAAGACTCTGCCCACATCTAGCTATGTCGAGGCTGTTTCATTCAAGTGTACCCGATGTCGTAAGACGATCGCCCTTCGAGAAGACCAAGCGACAGGTGGTCCCAACGAAGTAGCACAGCGATTGGCAACGTTACGATCGGAACATGGCGACTTTCATTTTGCACAGGACTTGGCACACAGCACTGACGGGTCGGTGCCTGTACCTCGCGGTTCATCGTCGAAACGGAAGAAAGTGGAATCAGAAGGAATTGCGAAGTTTTTCATCAAGAAGTAGGCAGCTTAGTGGCATGATGCAATCGGGGAAAGCCATGATGATATATGTATGATAATCACGCCTCTGCGAGAAAATGAGTTAGATCAGTGGTATGCGCATATGGAGTGCATAGGTTTTCACACAGGTATGTAGTATGTTTCTGAGGCAGTGTAGAATGTGGCAGTTTTGATTGATCGTCACTATTGCATTGGCTAGCTATTCAGAGCGTGGTCATCTCGCACCATCAAAATCTCAATTGCCGAGTTCCGACACAGTCATATGAGGAGAGAAATGATGTTTTGATCGAAACGCTGTCGTTCGTTCGTTCGTTCGCGCGTTCGTCATCTTTCGAAATTCTTTCTGCGGACTGTGTCCCACCTTTCGACCTCTGAGAGGCACGTTTCCGCGGCTAGTCCGTCATTCTTCGTTCATTTCCCCCTGTCTGGGACAGCTGGTCGTTTAGTCTTTTACATTTCAAGAACCCTCAAGGCATACGTCATTCACTATCATGTTCTCGAATTCCCATTTCACGTCCTTCTCTACTGCTCAGGCAAATGGATTGATCGTGAGTCATTAGCACGAATTATCGCAAATAGTCTAATGATCATAAACAGGTCGTTTCCGTGTTCGCCTTGTTATCTGCGTTAGCGCTCGCTTTCATAGTTTTCAGGAGTATCCGTCTTGTGGTTATCCCCTTATTCCAGCGTAATGGGTCTGCGTGCAGAGCTCCGGAGAACCTATTCTTCCGTACTCAGCTGGGCCATTATGCTGCCTCCCTTGTTTTAAGCAATGTTTTCCTCACCGCAGCTGGGCTTATGGAGTTTTTCTGGGTCAAACAATCTGGGATCCATCAAGGTAGCGCTTTCGGTATTCAAACCACTTACTGTTGTACTGACGACTATCAGGCTCCATGTGCACTTTTCAAGGTATTTTAAGCTGATAGCGCTATGATCAAACACTGAGTAATCTTGTGACCAGCTGTCCTCATGCAGATTGGTACCTGGTCCACCTGTTTCTTCTCTGTTGCTATCGGTATCCACACGTGCAACTCCCTGGTGTTTCGTCTCTACCAAATTAGTTATCTGAGCGTCGTGGTTATCGCGTTTGGATGGATCATGTCGCTCGTGATTGGTAAGTGGCGCTATAACAGCAACCGAATTGATATCATCTCATGTTCATCTATATCTGTAGCACTAGCACCTGTCAGCCAAGCTGGTGTCTATGGGCCAGTCACCGTTTCCTGTGGCGTCACAACGGCATATCCCAGCAAGATATTTGGGCTTGAAGCTTTTCCAGTACGGTTTATTCCAGTCTGACCTGATAGGGTCTAAATAATTGCGAACAGATCATTCTCGTCTCTGTGCTTTCGGTCATTATTTACTCCCCGATATTCCTTGTTCTCCGGGGTATTCTGCATGTCAAAGGTGGCATCAAATTGACTTTCAAGGCCCAGGGACGATGGTGTGCTGTGACCGACTCGGAGGAATACCACCGCTTCATGGTAGCTGTCGCGAAGACGATGTTTTGGTGAGTTCCTGTTCGTTTATGCTTATCCAGGTCATTCATCTGTTTGATGCAGGTACCCTATCGGTTCGTGTTCTCGCGTATGAACGAGTTCTTCCGTCTTGACTTCCTATCTAGCATTCGTCTCCCTCTTGTTGCCGATCGTGGTTGCAAATATGGCACAATTCTCTGGTCATGCCATCCCATTCGGAGCAGATGTGTTTGCGCATGTATGCTGCTCTATGCTTGGTTGGTGATCCGGGTTTCAGCATGCGTCGTGATAATTTATTGGTATTCTAGGGCTTGTCAATGTCGGTCTTCTGTACAACACCTTCCGCGTGCTCAGTCCAGTTTTCCATGGTTCAACACTGCCCAAGATTCAGGTCGATACAGAGAAGACTTTTGGAAACGACGCGTTCGACGAATCGCCTATTCTCCCCTCAGTTGCTTACATGCCCAAAGGATCGCTTTTGCCTCTGTACGATGATGCCTCTAAGGCAATATCCCCAGTTTCGCTGTCAGATTTCCCCCAGTGAAATACCACTCTCGCAACTCGTCCACCGCAAGTATTGATTCCGCGACCCAATTGTTGCGCATCAAAAGGACACCCTCGAGGTTTCACAAGATGAGGGTCAGGCAGAGCGGGTCGTTACTGCCTCTGCCTCGTACCATTCTCACTCCTGCGGAGCTCAACCGCCAGCTCGATGCTGCGTCTGATACGGAGAATTTCAAGGGTCGCAACCTTCGCCTTGATTTGCCTCAGATGGCTGAGGTCAACACATCCAGAATGGCCGTTGTAACTGTCAGCCTATCGCCTGCACCTCGTTCCGCTGCTGCATCGGTGGTCACTGCCTCTCCAATTGTGCCTACGCCTGTCCAATCCACCAATGCTCCTCCCATCATGAGGCAGTTCACCGCGGCCTTTGGGAGGCCGAGCCGCAAGTTGTCCATGTTTGGGCCACGGTCAAAAGGCAGTGGTAAATTGCCCCTCACTCTTCTTGTTGGGCGGCCGCTTTCGCCTATCCTGCCTCCCCGTCTGTCAAGAGTTCATTGAAGAAGTCTGTCTCCCGGCTGCGCGTATCTTCTACAAAACGCAGACCTACTCCATTGGATCTCGATGATGTCACTCCTATACCTGTCATTCGGCCCCTACCTGCCATTACTACAGAGGCTGAGGCTCTTCAGAAGGTTGACAAAGGTAAAGGCAGAGCTCCGCCATCGCCTACAACTCTTCTGGTGGAAAAGGGTGTCATGTCCCGTTCCCGCGCTGCCGTCAGACCACTACCTCAATTCCCTCGCAATAGTGCAGCATCCTCGTCCTCTAGTGAACGCACTCGCCCCGAACCTACTCCATCCGCTACCTCCCATGAACGTCGCAGTTCAATATCGTCGCGGTTATCCATATCCTCTCTATCTTCCTTACCGGACAGTCCTGACAGCACCTATTCAACAAGTTCAGTTGACAGAGGAAGTGAGAAAGTCTTGCCGAGCATTCCACTGACACGCGGTAATACCATTGAAAGCATCGACTCCGAGTCGTCATCGTCCCCTTATTTCGAGAAACGCAAGCGGACCTCTAAAAGTGAGAGATTGAGCTGGACGACGGTCTGGTCGCAGGATAGTGCTGTTACCTCACTTGTCCCTGGCGCGAGCGTCATCGAGGGTGATCAAACGAGCGTAGAGAATGTTCCGAACAGACAGGAAGTTCCTCCTATATCTCGCGCTCCGATACCATCTGCACTTCGGCCAGGCAATTTGGCAGCAAAGCTGTCGGGTATCCCGCCTCGGATGCGGACATGATTCAAAGGACTGCACCCGCGATACTGTACCGTGACAATCTAGACACTGCTTGAGATTGTACGATTTACATACTGGTTATTACAATGTTCACATTTACATTCCACTATTAATATTAAGCATCCCACTCTTTATCATTGAATGGACTTCAATTGTGTACCTCAATCGACTGTATGTTCAAGAAATGTAACGTGTAATACAATTGGACTATGCCCAAGATGGTAGACTCGATTCGATGACGCATATTTAAAAAGTCCTTCTCTTCTTCTTGCTATCACATCCCGGTGCAAGCCACCAACGCTGCACCAACCATGGCATTATCCAACTGGGCAGCATATCTGAACAGGTCAACAAAGCTGCTTAGAGACAGCAGCACCAAAAGCACGCCTGTTTAAACGTCGCATCATAACCACAAAACTGACAACGCTATATACATAGTACTCCGTATGGAAGGCGCAGACGGGCCTTCAAGAGCACCTTTGACGCTCTTCAGGTTAAACTCCAAACAGGTCATCGAACAGTTCGCGACTGGGTGCGATGCAGATATTGGTGGCACGTCTGCTGTCCATTTAGAGCTTGACGAGTCCCGGAGCGTAACAAGGGCAGTGGGAGCACAGCTACAAGTCGGTTTTGGGGTGAGATGAGACTGGATGTCAGACAGGAACTGCAAGGGCGAATCAGAGGTGGATATGCTGGTTTTCGGTCCAAGGTAAATGATATTTCCGAGCTTGAGTATCACACCCGCTTAACTCGGTGTCCATACCAGCCCCGTCCGACACTCTTCGGTGAAATGGTGGACGATGTTTCAAATCACCAGTTCCTTGCCCTGAGGCTACGTCTCGGTGGTGATCCCCGGTTGCGCAACTCGTATTTTGTGAACTTACAAACTGACGGGCCGATCACGACGGACCTGTGGCAGCACCGGCTATACTTTCAACGAAATGATGGTGGCTGGGAAGATATATTTGTGTGTTCAATCCATACTGATATTTGTACAGGCGCTAACTGATCGCAATGCTTTCAAGATACCGTTTGAGAACTTTATACTGACGAATACGGGTGAATTAGTGCAGCATCAAATTGTGATGATGCGCGAGCGGATACGAACGGTTGGGATATCGCTGCTTGGGGGGAACAGCGGTGTTTCGGGTTCGTATGACCTCGGCATTGACTCCATACGGGCGGTGAATGAGGAAGATGTGACGCGGCCCCCATGTAAGTAGTTCTCGCTGGAATCTGAGAGCTGAAGACTCAAAGAAAATAGCGATAGAAAAGGATCCATCTCGTGGCATTTGAATACTACTACGTACACTCCACCACGTTGGACTTGGACTAAAACAACTTGCATGAGCATCTAACGGTCTCGGTCCATAACCATAAACTATATATACAAATGCCTATACAACGGCAACCTTTCGTAACCGACGGGCCTAAGTGATAAAACCGCATAAGATTGTACAAAGGTCGACAAGAAGCCCATGAGTCAGCCAGCAGGGAGCGCTAGAAGTAGAAAAGTGTGTCCGGAAAGAAAGGAAGGGTAGGTACATGCATGCTCTCATACGACCACACAACCACCGCAGCATCCGCCATGATCACCTTCATGAGCGTCACCTTTGCCACTGTAGACGCCAGGTCCGCCGCCACCGGAGTTGGCCATGACGGGTCTGCCTGTTTGTTGCTCCTGCGAGAATAAATTGCATGAATGAATTATCAGGAATGAGAAGAGATTCGTACCTTGTTGTACTTTCTTATCTCACGGACGAGGTTGCTGAATGCCTCGTCGACGTTGATGCGCTGCTTAGCCGATGTCTCGATGAACTTGCATCCAAAGTGCTTTGCAAGATCACGGCCCTCTGTTTATTATTAGGACATAGTATATTGAAGAATCGGTCATGACTTGCCATTCATTCCAACTTGTCGCTCATACTCAAGATCGCACTTGTTAGCCACGACGATGACAGGGAACGAATCTTGATCCTTCACACGAAGAATCTGTTGATGGAACGTGCTAATTTCCTCGAAAGAATCACGGGAGGTGATAGAGTAAACGAGGAGGAAGCCTTCGCCAGTGCGCATGTATTGCTCGCGCATAGCTCTGTGGGAAGTGAGCGGCAAGGACTATGGGCAGCAGAATATCATTCACCCATATTCCTCCTGACCAGCGGTGTCGAGGACGTCAAGCAATGCGACCTCTTCGTCAATGACGCATTGTTTGCGGTACGAGTCTATGTCACTATTGCTCAGTAAGGACTCGAATGGGAGAGAAGCCGTCATACCCTCGATGGTTGGGTCGTATTCGTCGACGAAGTGACTTTGAATGAATTGGATGGTGAGAGCAGATTTACCGACACCTGGTTGGAACAAGTGTATGAGACGTGGTTCGTCACATTTCTGCAGCTTGGTGCTCACCACCGCCACCGACAACTACCAGCTTGTATTCCCTCAAGAACTGCGCCTGTAAATACAATAATGCTGTGAGCTCTTGTTGGTGATTGCAGTTACGGATAGAAAAGCACATACCCTCGACATAGTTCGTCAAGTAAATAAGAGAGATTTTTACGACCTGAAAAGAACTTGCCTAATCACAAGGGAGACTAGTTTTGTGATACCAGATGGAATGATGAGCGCAACTTACACACGGGCAATTATAATGCTGATATTGGCCACGCGAGAACCAAATAATACCAATTCTAGATTTGTGGACCGACCGTGTGGCACTGAGGCGCATCTTCAAATGCTGTGAATCCTCTTGATAACCTTCCTGTGCATTGTCCCACTGATCTTTTCACAAAAGCAGCCAGCCGACTCCCAGACCCAGTCTTTCCATCATCGTGGACTCATGCTGAAGATCAGGGTCTGTGACTGTAAAAAATCTACTTCCATCGTCATCGCATTGTTCATTCAAGTTTCTTGAAATTGCACTGCAAATTACCCCGGCTTCGTATACATGTCAGCGATTGCTCCTGGTATGATTTTCTATTTTTGAAGTGCCACGGCCCCTGAGGCCTGAAGCATGAGATCTGATGATGCAATAATTGTGGTGCGGTGCCCTACTACAGCAACTTCATTGTACGGTCCGGGTCGCTTTTACCTATGCATCTCAAGTGAACACGCCGCATCATGGGAAGGTCTGTCTTGTGATATTATTCCTTCAACTCACTGCCTGTGGATCTTTTATATAGATCTACCAGCCCTCTGCAGCACGTAGTATATCCCTCGCCAAACCTCACATATCAGCGAAAGTGTTCATAAACAATGCATAGCATTCGGAATAACTCCCATACACTCTCCTGAGTTGTCCAAGTGACCCTCGAAGTTCTAAATCCGAAAGGGATCCATAGGTGTGTTGATCATTTGGTCTGCCTCGGCTATAATACAGCCTGCATGTACTGTCTCCAGGGCGCCCCGAGGATTTGACCTGTGCAAACAGCAATTTTTAGGATGTCACTCAGCGCTTTTGAAGTGGCTGCCATTGCCAAAGAGAGGCGCGCTCTCCAAATTTATGTTATACGCTAACGTCGTAGCCTGAGGAACGTGTTGATGCTCAAAGCCTATCTCTGATCACTGGGAAACCTCTGGTTGGTTGGAGGGGCTCGCTCGCGGACTGGATATGACGCGTCCTTTGCACTATTTTAAATTCGAGATCGCTCCACAAAGTCAAAAAGTGATTCAAGTTTCAGATTTGAAGGTAGCCGCCGGCCCCCGGGCAGCGCAAGCAGCGCATTGTACCTATACGAGCTCCAGTAGGCTCCGGTTTCATGAAGAACTTCGTCTGTGAGTTTATTGACTCGTGTTTCACAAACTCAATGTCAACTCCTAGTTGTCTGAGACATCCCATTCTGGTAGACTGATATAGTTCAAAAGTGTTGGAGCCACAATCATGATCATTGTTGAGACAAGACGCTGAACCAACGCTGAACGGGATAAGTATTCACGTAAACCAGCTGCGTATGGCACGTTTTATTACTCATGTGTCATCATCATAGCATACAACGTGGTTCATGCGCAATCTTAATTTCAAGTTATGATGCAATGATCAGACAGGGTAATACACGCGTCAGGGGAACGGGATCGCTTTGTTCACGAGATCGGTACGTATGACTTTTTGGATCCTTTTGTCCATACATATGATCATGACAGATCACAGCGGATCACCGATCTGAGTGTCAGAGAGTATTTGAATCACGCAAGATCATGCACATGCACTGACTTGCCATCAATGAAGTGCTTTTATTGGTTGTACTTGTCGCGTTTTCTGCGCTATTTTTGCAGGTCTAGATTCTGCAGTGGAAGCCTGAATGCATCAATTGGGTGCTTTATTTTCAGCCAAGGAACCTGACTGATGGACTCATGTGAATATTCACGGATCCATCAGACCAACCCTGACCTAGGTCTCTCCGCATTGGGAACAAAGAGTTCGAGACGTAATCGTGACTTACATTCGATCGCGTCCGGCTATTTATAAAGTTATCGAGCGAGCTTGTCATCCCAAACTACGAGGAGCTATACAGTCACCTGTGAACCACCCCGTGGTGATTACAACAATTATACGTTTTGTGTGGGCACGAAGCACCCAATTTCGACGATGTTGACACAGGGCTGTGATAATGCTGCCGGATTACAAGCGCCTTTAAAGTGTCTTACAAGGCATCGAAAGACTACAAATTTGGTGCCGCGGCGGGCTACATTCAACCAAAAGAGCCATCAAAAGATTCTCGTACGCCACTAAAACAACAAAAGGTATTACATGGTATCGTAAGGCCGGAAACTTTTTTCCGACATTTATTCTTGGCAGCTTAATTTCCAGGGGCGCTGGAGTAGGCTCTACATAGTTTAATGGAGTACGAAGACGGGGTGCACAAGACTGTTCAGTTTGCCCCCTTGTCGCGGTCGGTGGCTGAGTACGAAGCAATACACATCACAACGAAGTTCGTCGTACTCCTGCCTTACATCGCGCCTCGAGCCTTGAAGGAAAGTATGGTAACTCGCGGGATGTCTTTGCGGGAGATAGTAATCACACCCAAATGCGAACGCGATGATCATCGAAATGTTCAACGAGTAGTGCATTTGGGGCTTCGTAAACTTTGACTGGGGTGTCTAGCGCAAAACTTTCTAGCTCGTTAAGCGAGCCTGAGCTTTACTCACTCGGGTAAATCAAAGTCCGCTCGACGAGCACTTGATGAGTGGTTTCAAGTTTTACATTCAGATGGCACTAGGGTAGCCGCATCATGCTCTGACACAAGTACACCTGCGGTCGACACACACTCGAGATTAATAACCACGAGGGCTCTGTTACGTGACTACGTCCCACTAGCGGACGCCCCATAATGACCTCATTCTCCATTTTACGACTAACTCGATATACGATGAGCGGGACGCCACCGGTTTGATCCACATAAAAAGAAATTCAGGTGTCACAACCGACTATACTATGATCAGCCAGAGCGTTTCTCCATTTGACATAATACGTGATGTTTGGATACGTATAAAAACTAGTTGCCCAGCCGTACCTGGAGGCTGGCAAGGTTTTCACCTTTTCGTGTCCTTCTGTGACAATGGCTTCCACTTGCACGTACCAGTTCGATACTGCCGTTTACAAGGGCGCCGTTGCATTCCCTACTCAACTGTTCATCAATGGTGAATTTGTTGACCCCGTCAATAAGGGGACGATCGAGTGAGTGTCCATGATTAGTACAAGTGGTCAACGATTCTGACAAATTCCTTCAGTTTGATTAATCCGGGTATGACTCCCTGAGCACACAGCTTTTCGTCATTTTGATACTAAGGTTGAACTAGCTACTTGCAAGGCTATTGCCCGAGTTTCAGCCGGAGACCGTGAAGATATCGAGGCTGCAGCACTAGCAGCAAGAACAGCATTAAAGGAACACTGGGGTTTAAAGGTGTCCGGGGAAGCTAGAAGCAAACTGCTTCACAAGCTCGCTGATCTTGTCGATGCCAACACTGATCAAATTGCTGCTCTCGAGGCCCTTAACGTCGGTTAGTCAGGCACCCCTTATCAATCGGATCACACTGATTCGCTTCTACTAGGCAAGGCCTTCCACGCGGCCAAGGCAATGGATTTGCCAATTATAGTATCTCTTCTACGCTACTACGCTGGTTGGGCTGACAAAATACAGGGGAAGAGCATTCAGGTATGCCTATGATACGAGAATTCCAACACAAAACCCCCTTTCTGACGAATTTTAGACAACCCCTGACAAGATTGGTTTTACTCGTCACGAGCCTATTGGGGTAGTCGTGAGTAATTATCTCATTACGTTGTAAATTGGGCGTTCACGAGCATATGGCAGGGCGCAATCGTTCCGTGGAATTTTCCCCGTCAGTATCCAAGCTTATGAGGCTATTCTTTACTCACCTCGTGTCTTCTAGTGAGCACGCTTATCATGAAACTCGCCCCCGCACTCGCGTGCGGAAATACTATCGTAGCGAAACCTTCTGAGTTCACACCTCTCTCCGCACTGTACTTATGCACATTGATCCGAGAAGCTGGTTTCCCACCTGGAGTAGTCAACATCGTGCCCGGCTACGGTGACACCGCGGGTCAAGCGGTCAGCGAAAGCATGATAATCGACAAGGTTGCATTTACTGGGAGTACTCTCACGGGGCGAAAGATCATGGAAGCAGCTGCAAGAAGCAACCTGAAGAAAATCAGCCTCGAGCTGGGCGGAAAGAGTCCGAGCATCATTTTTGATGATACGGACGTTGATCAGGCTGTCAAGTGGGCTATTAATGGGATTTTGTGCGTTTTCCGGTTCTTTTCCTCTCATATCTTGTTCCTGAAGGTCATGAAGCATGAACCAAGGCGAGCTCTGTGTTGCAGGGTCCCGGATTTACGTGCAAGAAGGCATTTATGATGACTTCTTGCAAAAGTTCACAGAGAGTACCCAGTGTCTTTCTGTGGGTGATCCATTTTCCCCGGACACGTTCCAGGGGCCTCAGATATCTGAGAGACAATTCAAAGTGAGTGCGCAGCTGAACAGCCTATAACAAATACCGATATCCAACGTAAGCGTGTCATGGACTATATCACATCCGGCCAAGCAGAAGGTGCGACTCTTCGCCTTGGTGGCAAACGGCATGGCACAGAAGGTTATTTCATACAACCTACGATCTTCACGGACTGCACGCCCAACATGAAGATTGTGCAAGAGGAAATATTCGGCCCAGTAGCAGCAATTATGAAATTCTCCGCAGAGGAAGGTTCGCTTATATTTCATGTTCCCGTTAGCAACTCATTTCACGGCGTCAAAGAGGTGATTGAACAAGCAAACAATACCACGTATGGACTCGCGTGTTCGGTTTATACGAAGGACATTGATAGAGCAATGCGTGTTGCAAGCAACATCGAGGCAGGCACCGCGTGGGTTAGTGTGAGATAGTTCTCGCAACGTTCAGGTCAGCTGATCACCAGGTCCGGGTTCATAGGTGAACTTCACTAATTGGCCAGACCTTGGATTGCCACTTGGTGGGTTCAAGCAATCTGGTATTGGCAAAGACCTAGGCGAAGATGCTCTTGAGAAGTAAGTTAATTTCTTATCTGATCGACACCCGATGATCTTACCCAGCCTACAGCTACACCAATGTCAAGGCAGTGCACATTAACATTGGGATTAAGATCTAATCCAGTAAACTCAGGCAGTGTGCTCCAATACCACACCCTGACCGCACGACCCCCGGACCGTCGTAGATTAGCGAAGCAGTGAACGAAGGAAATGTTACTAGCCAATAAAGATCATTGCTTGAGCACACTGTCTCCATTCCGAATTGGAGCTTCTGTTGATGTAATGTGCGTGTCCTTGCCCCGAGGATCAATTGGTGCTGGTTCTACTACGTAAAAGCCCGGGTTCGTGTGCCTTCAATTACCCCAGTGCTTCTCAGACACTTAGATATATGGTCGCCTGAGGGCTGGAAGAAAGCCATTCACAAAATGCCCATCCGCACTTACATCTTTAAAGTTGATCTCCTTGAGTCTCGAGACCCACAAATCTCGAGGACCTTTTCTATACCCGCGTCATGGACGTTTCAAAAGCTTCACGCCGCGATCCAGCACGTCTTCCTCTGGCAGAACGAGCATCTCCACGTGTTTACGTTTCAAATTCCAATTGGAGGGGGCATAAACAAAGTTGTATCGATACAAGATACAGATATGATGGGGCGGGACTGATGAAGAGGGGCCTAACGATATTGTCCTGGATGAGAAAACCGTCAAGCTCAAGGACATATGGGACGACAGTGGGAGGTATCGCGGGGATGTCACCAACAACGGAACCCTAGGGGGCTGCTTCTATGAATATGACTTTGGTGTAAGTGATACCACATTGTGGAATGTTCCGAAATTGATCAAACCAATTTAATAGGATGCTTGGGAACACGAAATTACTTTGTTGGCCGTTGGCACGTCCTATGTCAAGGAAGTCTCAGTTCTCGAGGTATCTGGTTGCGCACCCCTCGAGAACAGTCACGGAGTCCTGGGATGGGAGGGCCTCAAAAGAGCCTTCGCAGATCCACACCCAGATGACTTGTCTCTTGAAGCGAGGAGGTTGTCATGGCTTGTTTCGCCTCTCGGTGGTGCATTCCACCCCGCTGTAGCACCGACTATAGAGCAGCTCAATGCACCCGGGCTATTCGATAAGCGCTTTAGGCAGATTCGCAAGGGCATTCTATGATTAACGGCGAGGCCTTGTTTCAGAGGCCTTTAGTTGTTACGGTATTATCGGATTGCGCTCGTATTGTGCTCCGATTCCACACTACGGCTTTATGTATAACATGAGGACGGAACTCACCATCCACGTTAATTACAACGTACTTAAAGGCATGTAGAATAGCCAGAGCAGCAGCGTACTTATTTGCTCCTGGCACTGCTATGTAGTACTAGAGGGATACCCCATCCTAACGGCCACGGTAGATTCGCTAATTCTAGATCTTGAGATCCGGGAGCTTCGCAGTGCGAGCCTTTGTATTCATATAACATATCGGACCATATGATGTGATCATCGGCGAGTAGAAGAGACTCATAGCTGAGAGTTGACACAGGAAACTACACGATGTTGGTGGCTGGTGAGTGGTGCCCGCATAGAGTCCGCATAGGATCCGACGCGAGAGGCCCCCTGTATAACCGAATTAGGCAAGCTCAACATCTTGTCATGAATTTACGTCTATCATTTCACGTCCACATCGTGACCCAAGTATTTCACTCTCAGGATGTCTGATCACACTCTTCTGGATCACATAGTTTCACAGACCAGGCAGAATGTCGAGCTGTTAATGTCTCATAACAGGATATCTCCATCGGATGGTCGCGATATTCTACTCAAGCTTCCTAGCACTGGGGTGGCAGGATCAATGATAGCAATCACACAGCAAACACAGCGCCTTTCAATCTCTCCGGCGCCCGTTCAGAGCGTGATCAACAACAATGCTGGCTTGCATGTGTCGCCAAAGTTAGAAGCTCGTGCGATCTGGGACTGGGAAAGCGAAGTGCATATCACATCTGCATTTAGGTGCTGCGGATTTGCTAAAGCCATGCCAGGATCCCAATGATCTATCATTCCGTACAGGAGATATCATAGAAATCGTGAAAGAGACCAACGCAGATTGGTGGACAGGCCGAAGCAAGTCGGGGAAGCAGGGCCTATTTCCTGCCACATATGTGGAGAAACTGGCTCCGCGATCTGTCCGGGTCTCTACACCACCGTCTTTCCCTGAATTTCCAAAGACAAAGACATCGCCGGATTCAAAGTATGGTTTGGTTTCGGAGCCCAAGTACATGTCCCCAGGTCTCCCGGGCCCTCCACAGTATTCTTCACCACAGCCTGTGCAACAGCAATACCCGCCGCCACCTGGTCCACCACCTGGTCCTCCTCCTGCAGGAGGATACCTGCCTCCTTCAGGACCTCTCGGGCCTCCTTATAATCCTTATTCGGAAAATCCTCCAGTGGCTCAGCCAGTTCCTCAGCAGCCCCCAAAGAAGGGTCGTTTCGGCAATCTTGGCACTATGGTAGATCTACCGCACAGAAACTATCTATAAATATTTATCAATATAATTTCCAGATGGCACAGTCAGCTGCTGGTGGTCTTGGGTTCGGTGCAGGTTCGTTTGCTTCATTTTTACGTCTTCGATACTCCTAATCATTCATATCCAGGTGCTGCCATCGGTGGTGATATCGTGAACTCAATTTTCTAGACTTCTACTCTCTTCCTGCGTTGCTCAGTTTACACAATTGTCTATGCTACGTCTTTCTTGACTGGACTGGAGAATGAGTATGTTAAGTGTGTTGGTTCTAGTATTAGATGCAAAATTCCAACTCCGCGGCTATCTGTCGCATTTACGTTTATGCTTCTCCGGTCCATCTGCAGCACAAGCAAGCGCTCAAGCCCCGCATAGACTGGACAACTAGTACTGGAACCGTATCGCAACGCACCCAAAATGCCTGTTCGTATCTACACGTTCAAAGTCGAGCTCATCGGTTCTCGTAACCCTGTCATTTCTCGGACATTCTCTATTCCGGCCTCCTGGACCTTCCAACGGTTGCATGCAGCAATCCAGTATGCATTCAGCTGGCAAAACTGCCACCTCCATCAGTTCACGTTCGAACCCACGCGTCGTCCTCCGACACGTGAGGAGCGCCGTTTCATCTCGATGGATTATAGGGAAAAACTTGTTGTTATTCATATGGGAACACCGGAAGATGAAGATAATGACTGGGCCACATCGGCACGCGCGAGGTTCAGTGAGAAGGACGTCAAATTGAACGATTTCTTTGAGGACACCGGAAAGTATCGAAAGATGGCATTGAAAGATGGGGTCATCGGGAAATGCTACTACTTGTATGATTTTGGGGTACGTATCTGCCAGCTTTAATATGATCTAGGTCTCACCTTGTTCAAGGACAACTGGGAACATCAAATAACACTGATTTCTGCGGAGACGTCCGCGTCTGGCGTCAAGGAACTGAAAGTCATCGAAGCCGCTGGTTGTGCTCCGCTCGAGGACGCTGGTGGCATATACGGCTGGGATGAACTCAAGCGAGCTTTTGCAACCACGAATCCAAATAGCGAAATGCGCGACCGGAAACGTTGGGGTCGTGAAGTTTCGCCGCTAGGCCAGGCCTTCAATCCTGCTGTGCAACCTCCCACCGAAGAGTTCAATCAACCCGGAGAGTTCCTGAAGTTTCTTCGTGACGTCGAACAAGCCGCTGGTGATGGTCATAATCTTGCCGACGATCCGGATGATGAAGATCGGTAAGTTGGAGAAAAATGATGTATTTGCAACGGCTGAGGTTTGGTGGCGTCAGATTCGATATAGAGTCGCTTCCGGCTATGCCTATGGAAGCATTGAAGTTTGGCAACTACGGCCCACCAATCAATGCGACTGCTGCGCAACGACGGTTCGTCGTGCATGAGGGTACTCATCCCTTGGATCTATTTGTACCTGCCATCAATGCGTGCACTGTTCGTCAGCCACGGTTCATTCACACTGACGTCACCCGCCAGGACTCCGTTTTACTTTTTGTAGACGGTGCAGCTGTGAACGAAAACACTCCAAATGTGAGGGCGGGGTGTGGCGTGTACGTTCAACCCGGGACGGAGGGGTTTTCCGTACCGTTGGAAAATGTTCCAGGCCACGCGCGCACAAGAAACCGGGCTGAGCTGCGGGCTGCGATTGTGGCTCTGAGGGCACGGGTATGGCCCGGCGAAGGGTTCATGCGCATTGTCATCAGTACTCACGCAGAATACGTCGTCAACGGCGTGTGCAAGTGGGTACCTTCATGGAAACAGAGAGGGTGGAAGACAAGTCGTGGGGAGGCGGTCAAGAATCGTGACCTGTGGGAAATGTTACTCACGGACATTGAAAAATGGGAGGCAATGGGGATAAGAGTGCAGTTCTATCTGCTGAAAAAGGAGTGGAATACTAAAGCGAGTGAGTGTGCGAGACGGGGAGCGGTACGTCTGGCTATGTCATCTTACCTATAAATTACATGCTGACTGTGCACCTTATAGGAGGTGTTTCAAGTTCCAACTTCGTTTTCAGATACGGTGTATATTCCTGTGGTGTAGGTTTTTCTCCTGTTTTTGGGCTTTTTAGCCTTTGAAATGATAAAAATTGAACGGGACCCACGGTTCTTCTTTGATGGTGGCTGCGAACTACTAGTGCTAAATGACTAATAGGAAGTAACACATGTTTACTTCTGGAGAGTTGGGCAAGCAAGACAAGATTTGGGCCTTGCGTGTGCCCTTGAGAAAGCCCGAGACGATAAACTGGTCAGCATTAGTGTTGAACTATTCGATAGTTTCTGTGCTGCGGGGAGGTGAATTTCAAATTGCGTAGTGTCACGTGTGTGTCACAAGCTGATTGCTTACTGATCAGTGTCACGCTGAGTATTGCTAATGGATTAGATTTCCCGCCAATGAAATGTGGCTTGCTTGTACTAGCTCCTCAGCTTACTCACTTTTCAGCATCTGTGCTGTCCGCAACACCCGGCTTTCTCACCTTCCCTCCCGCTTTTTAACCCGAACAATTTGACGCTGGCGGAGGACCCGTATCCTTCACCTGTAATATCTACTACTTCAGTCATATCCACTGTGCCCTCGTTCCCAATCGTGCCGCTTCGAATAGCAAGTCCAAGAGTGGACCATTAATCCTTCTATCACAAGGATGTCCGATTCAGACTCTACCCTATCCCCTGAACCTCAGCGCACTATTAAAATCATCTTCATCTCGGATTATGTACGTCTACCTTCTTGTTCTCTTTGCATATTCCATTTTTCCCATTTCTTATCATTCTCCGACACTTGACAGCTCTGCGCCTTTTGCTACATCGGGAATAAGTCGCTCAAAGACGCTATTGCCGGGTGTCGTGACCTGGATGTACGTTTCGACGTGGAATTCCGGCCATTTACCCTCCTCTGCCAATCATCCGTACCCGAGACCCCCAAAGTGAAAGGTGAAAAGGCGCCAAATCGCTGGAATTATCTCGTTCGGAAGTTGGGTAAAGAGCAAGCGGAAAGCAAGTGGAAAATGATCGAAGAATTGGCAGAGAAAGCTGGCTTACCGATGTGAGCATTTTTAGCATGCAGCCAGCGTTGTTTCTGATATAGTGGCTCAATAGTACGCAAGACGGAATTGTGGCCCGTTCTACTCTCGCCCACAGACTGTCTGTGAAAGCATATAAAGTTGGCGGGCAAGCCATGCAAGGCCGCCTCAACGATATTTTATTTAAGGCCGTTTTCACCGACTGCCAGGACGTCAGTGACGTCGAGTTTCTTGCCGATGCAGCAGAGAAAGTTGGCTTGATGAACAAGACAGAGGTGTGGTTCAATATTAAACTCAATCAGCAGTCACGATGACACATAATTGCTGTACCGTGCAGGCTACTACATTCTTGCAAGATACTGATTGCAAGAACTGCGTCAATCAAATGATTGAAGCTGCTCGGGCGAGCGGTGTGAATGGCGTGCCCTCCATCATTATTGATGGAAAATGGGCTTTGAATGGCGTACAATCTACAGAGTGTTACCTTCAGGTGAGCAAGACTCGTTCATTTTAAACTCTCCATATATACCCTATTAGTAAGCTCGTCCGGGTGCGGTATCGCTGATTCTGTTTGCTTGTAGATCTTGCGGAAAATTGCACAATCATCGTCAATGACGGAATGTGCATCAGTCGTCTCAGTGGAATCATAACGGATTTTACGCAGTTTCCTTTCATTCTTTTCCGCCCATACCGTGTTTCATGACCTCAATTCCTGCGTGCAGGTTGCGGTCCTCGCTTTGGATTAATTATATATGGACCACTCGCGCAACCTCGCGTAGGAAATTTAGTCTGGAAGGGCCTGTTGCATTTCTTACTTTTTTCTTTGCTTTTTGTCCCATTTTCTGTGTCGTATCGCTGTCTTTATCAGCGAGCGTGTGTTTGTATCTTTCTTCTATGCTATGCTATCTACTCCTTTACCTTGTTAGTCGCGCTTTTATGACAGCCACCATGAGGGAGAGATAGGGTATATAACGTTTACCTTTGTTTCATTTCACACAGGGCTAACCCCTTTAACGTCACTATCCTTCGTCATCTCGCGAAGTTCGACAGTCGGTCCACCGATCTGGTCGAGCTTTCCATACCCTGTACCAATTAGACTTGTTATCGTCAACATAGTCACCTTATTCAGCCTTATTTCTGGTGGGTAACCGTCTGTAACCGTGCACAGTGGAGTCTGTCAGAAGATAACAGACTTCTCGTTCGAGGCTTCCGATTGGCTGATTTAAGTGTCAATGCGAGCACTGGAACCGGAAGGAGGCATCACCAGGCAGGCGCCAGTTGGAGAACGTTACCTCCTTCCGGTTTCATACTGGAATGGGGTTAGATTGTTTCCTACTAGGAACCTATCGGTAGATTCCAGGAGATGAAACATCGTGACATGGTTGGTCAATAATAAATGATTTGGATCCGTAAACTATGATCGCACGTTGAAGATAAACCGGTCCCGTTACCCATGTGCTCTACGTCCCGCACGGTAGAGCGTCAGGTACATAGGTGCAGTCAGGCTGTTGCCCTGATGACTTGGGCAAGGTGAATAACCTAGACTAGCTCGCGATGGCCTTGAGGTGTTGCGATTCCACAGATAAGTTCCAGATCCACGGACTAACTATACCAGTTAGGCTAACTGGCCTGCAGGTCGCATTAATATTCGTCATCTTTAAAAGTACGGGGATTGTGCTATTCAGAGACTTCATAAGTAGTATCTGTGTGAAAAGCAACCCACAAATTGTTTGAAATGGATACGTCACTGAACCATTTGATAACGAACTGAATTGCAGAAGTCTTGGCTCAGAGATGAAAGATCCGGGCTGCGCAAACACAGGCCCAAACTATCTTGGCAGAGTATCCGAGAGGTTCTCGAGGAGCCAACGAGGAGCTACATCGGGGGTTTGCTCGATACAGTCCGAGAGGCTACAAAAATCTGCACAGAAGCAGCCTCGTGTTGCCTTTGGGTGTTCAGAAACGTATACATGTACTAGTACAACGTGTATGAAACAGACAACGATTACTTGTTGAAATATCTTGAGCATGGTTTGGAAAGTGCACGAGAAACATACCACAATGTATGGGACCATGGTGGAGATTAATCCCGGTCATTCTATCCAATCGTTCAGGATATCCTCCAGCTCGTTCCGAACGCCATCGCGTGATACGTTGCTGCCAATATGATTGGAAACTTTAAACCTCTCGAGAGCGGCGAGCACCCAGTTCTGACAATTCCAGTTTTCTCTGCCTCGATAAACAGTTACTTGTTGAAGCAACGTGTCTATCTCCTTTTCCGAAAATACACCAATCTCTCCGACCACCAGGCAACCACGATAGCCCTCGGCAAGAATTTCCATGCATTCATCTTCAATGCAAGAATAGGTAAGGGTGTCGATGTTGCCAACTGCTTGGTAACAAGTCCCCCAGTGATCTACTTGATCTGAATGCTCTTTTCCAGAGCTGCTGGCTTTGATTGAATCGGGATTTGCGTTGGAGATTGCAAAGAGTGCCCAGTGAAGTGGCATCCTGTTACCATTTGAATCGTGTCTGCGCCAATATTGTGCAACACACAGAGTCCTTTTCTCAGACAGATCATTGTCTTCGCCCATGACAGTAGAAGGAAAGTTGTGTGGCTGGCATAATGCATTACGATAACTGTATTAGGTTCCCGCGCCACCGCTTGGCTGACGCCAGGATAACCTGGTTTGGGAACATCCCCCTTGGTTGACGTTTTTCAATCGAACATATCACACCTCTGTTCCTCACCATCACATCGGCAACAGGAGTATGACCCTCTTCGTTCCATTGGAGGCGAGTTCGCCTCCTCCTCCGACACCATCATTTCTGGTGCATTCAGAAACCCCAAACTTGCACCTGCGAAAAGCTATCAAGGCCATCCTGAAGGCCAAACGGTTGGTTGTCGTGTGTGGTGCGTTTTCCGACCGTCGGAAAATTCAGATACCGTCGTCTCAGTCAAACTAACATTGTATCAGGTGCTGGTATATCTGTTTCTGCTGGAATTCCAGACTTTCGCTCAGAGTCGGGTCTCTTTCAAACATTGAAGCGAGACAACCCGAAAGAAGCATTGTCTTCGGGAAGAGACTTGTTTGATGCGTCAGTATTCAACGTGAGTTATCGTTTGTTCATGTTCGATTTTCCTAGATTTCGCGTGGAAAATCCCTATTGCCTCAACCACCACGCGTGCTTACTACTCATGGATGGCGACGGGCTTACACACGTTTAATAGAACGAACACACGACATCAATGTTTTGCCAAATGATAGCTCAATTGTCCGAGCTCTCGCAAGCAGCCAACCCCACGCCTTTTCATCAGGCATTGCGATCGCTGGATGACAGGGGCAGGCTCCTGCGTGTCTACACCCAAAACATCGATGCTATCGAGTTGAAATCTGGTCTTTCCTTTGGTGTCCCGGAGTTCGATAAGAGACGAGCAAAACCGAGATCTAAGCCGAAATCGACTGGTCCTCCCATCGCTGATCAGCCTGCGATATCTACTAGCGCTCATTGTTCGCAAGATAGCCCACCGATGACACCGGGATCAAGATATATGTCTCCTGCTGTTGAAGTCCCTCGTTGCATCCCCCTACATGGAACGCTGCAGACGCTGCATTGTCAAACATGCATGCACACGTTCCCACTCGAGAATTACGTGTCTTCCCTGACGTCAGGAACACCCCCATATTGCCCCGAGTGCACCCAAATGGAAGAGACGCGTCAACTTGTCGGAAAGCGAGCCCGAGGTGTGGGAAAGTTGCGACCCAGTGTGGTCCTTTATAACGAACTGCATAAAGATGGGGAGGGGGTGGGCGAAGTTGCGAGGAGAGATCTTGTTGGATGTTCCAAAGGCAAGGGGCGGAGCGGTGTGGATACTTTGCTTGTGGTTGGCACGAGTTTAAAGGTTCCAGGCACCAAACGCATGGTTCGTGAATTCTCGAAGGCGGCACGCGCCCGAGGATGTACTGCGTCGAGGGATACAACATCTGCATCTACAGGTCTTGCGACACCCGCACCTTCTCCCGGCAGGGGATCAGCTACATCGGCGGATGACTCTCCCATCAAATCTATTTATTTGAACTTTGATTTTCCAGGGCCGACACGAGAATGGGAGGGCGTCTTTGATGTGTGGTTACAAGGAGACGCTCAAGTTTTGCGGAGCTCTTGAAGGAAGAAATTGCAAAAGAGGCTGCCGAAAAGGAGGCTGCATTAGAGAGGAAACGGAAACGGGAGGAGGAAGTCGCCTACTTAGAAGGTTCAGAAGAAGCAGGTCTTCCGAAGAAGAAGAAAGCAAAGACAGAAAACCAGAACCCTGAAAAGCCTACTTCAAAGCGGACACCTAAAGACTCGCAGACTCCTGTTCGTCCTCGGAAGCCCAAGAGCAAACATCGAGAAGACATGAACATCAGTGCACCATCCGCCCCGAAGATAACGCTTAGCAAGTCGAAACTTACCATACGAATTCCACCCCTGAAGAGCCGTTACATTCCCGAGGTATGCATCACCACTCCTGTACCGCGGGGGCTCAAAGCAGTGCAATTTCCTTGTACTCCCCCTGCAACCCACATTAAACATCGGGTGACATCTTTGTCGTCTCATTCGGACTACCCACCTTCCGACACCACGGAGATAGGATATGACGAAAGCGATCTCTCCGAGTTATCTACTGATGAGGTGGCAGACGAACTTCCTAGAACTGCCATACGGACTGCACAATATGGACTTCGGGTCACAGGGGGATAATAATATCTTGTACTATCTTTATTGTATTTATGTATCGTATGCTACTACGCCTCGTTAACTCCTGGACATTCACGACTAGTTAACCGCTGTTGCCCATGGGACTGCTTGTGGGATTTCAGTAGTCCAATTGTGGCGTATGACAGGTCATATTTTGTCATATTATGCAGTGGGTACAGTTTATTATCAAGCTGACAGCAAATACCCCTTACTAACACCTGTCATCATGAATAATCCACGATGCTTTCTTGCTCATCAAGAAGTTTCAATTCATTATATATGGGTAGCACTTGACGTTGAAAGACATCAAACCATCGTAACTCTACCCACCACATGTCTCCTCAACAGAAAGCTCTTCTTCTTTCTAAAAAGCACGGTGACTTTGAGCTTGGCTCCCGCAGCATCCCCAGTCCTGGCACTGGGGAGGTTCTGGTCAAGGTTCAATCTGTTGCTCTGAACCCGGTTGACTACAAGATCAGAGAAACAGGGTATTTCGTGACTGATTACCCTGCCGTTCTGGGCGTGGATATTGCTGGCGTCGTCGAAGAACTAGGGGAGGGCGTCGAGAATTTCCGCAAGGCGATAGAGTGTAAGATAACTCTTTTCTTTGGGTCCGCCCCTGTATGCATAGGCTGAACCTTGGTTTACAGATTGGCGCATGGCAATTTCACCAATGACTTTGGTGCATTTCAGCACTATACGTTGACGGATGCGCACTTCACAGCAAAGGTAAGTTATGAGAAGCTTCATTGACCACATCGTCATCCACATCCCATTCTAGATTCCTCCAAGCCAATCTTTCGACAGCGCAGCCACTGTTCCCCTGGGGCTAGATACTGCGCTTGTGGGGTTATACGGAAATCATTTTGGAGCTGGGTTGACCCCTCCTTGGACGACAAATGTTGTCGAATCAAAAACACCTATTGCCATCCTCGGTGGTTCTTCCTCTGTGGGTTCATACGGTAAGCGTAGTGAGACTCGCCTATTCGAACGCATGCTGACAGTATCGCAGCTATCCAACTCGCTCGTCTGTCAGGATTTTATCCTATCATCGCTACAGCCTCTCCGAGCAATGAAGAACTTGTCAAGGACTACGGCGCAACCCACTTTTTTGATCGGAACCTTTCCGGCAAACAACTGAAGGCCGCCATCAACAAAATTACTGACAGCCCTATCGGAATTATTTATGACGCTATCTCGTTGCCAGAAACACAGTCTGTTGCATGGGAATTGCTTGCAGACAATGGCATCCTCGTATTGACCCTTCCTGCATCAGTCAAGGAAGATGAAGGGAGGGGGCGTAAGACTATCTCAACCTTCGGGGGCCCACACGCCCCCCAGAATGAAGAGCTCTGCACCAGCTCCTGGGCTGTGGTCGAAAAGTGGCTTTCAGAGGGCGCTATACAGGTTTGTTCTGCGACCATTGTTGTGGATCTATGTCTCACATTTATGTAGCCGAACAAGTATGAGGTTCTGCCGAATGGGCTTGAGGGTATCATTGGAGGACTGGAAAGGCTGAAGTCGGGACAGGTGTCTGGAACGAAGTTGGTTGCTCACCCTCAGGAAACACAGTGAATGCAGGGTTGTCGACGTATTCCGGGAAGTCGAGTATCACCTTGTTTGCATCTGGGGTAATGACACGACATGATTGTACAATACAAAAGGTATCAAAATTACTAGTATGTACTGGGCGATTGGAAGTTCCAACATGTAAAGGCAAGGGGGAGCAACGTCGACGTGGTTGCTCTGCTTGTGGTTGAATTTAAAGGTTCAAGGCACCGAACGCACAGTTCGTGAAGTCGAGTGAGAGAAGATATCGGAAAGATCCAGAGAAGCTGACGACTTGTAGGGAAGCCGGCAATACTCAGATTGGAGCTAGTGGGGGACCCCCTAGTACTAGTAGGCAAAAGCGGTAGCTTAGTCAGGCACTCAGTACTCAGGTTCAACATTGAGGCATTGTTTGGGCTACATAGTCGTAATTTGGTACTGTCACAGGCCCTGCAATTGAAGGTCACTAGCACTTCTGAACCGCCGCCAACACGAACTCAACGCATCTCATACGCATTGCATATGGCGTTATCCGCAAGGCAGAGCTTGTTATTACAGCTGTGTGCGTATATAATGGCACTGGCATGTTGTGGGAAAATCATAATTGAGGATTTGGGACTTTGAAAATTTTCACCGTTTTGAGACTTAGAGAAAAATTCAAACAATTGCACCACGTCGGACAACAATACACCTAGTATGGTCAACCGAAAGATCTCATCCGACGTCAAACTCGCTGCCATTCGCCTGTATGAGCAAGATATCCTTAGTCTTCGTGAAATCCTTGATTGCGTCGGCTTCTCGAGACGCACATTCTTCCGCATCCGAAAGCTCTATCAGCACACCGGCGATGTAGTCAAACCACGGAGTGAATTCACAGGTCGTCCGAGGAAGCTGAATCTTGAGGATGTTCAGTACCTCGTGGAACTGGTCCACCACCGGCCAGATTGGTTTCTCGACGAGATCACTCGACTCATGTTATGCAACCGCTTCATTGCACTCCACTACACCACCATCCACCGTGAGCTCCATCGTGCGGGCGTTTCCCTCAAAAAGCTCCGTAAAATCACCAAAGAACAAAATAAAGATCTCCGTGTGACGCGGCATTATGTAACACAGAATGGTAAAAAAAAACTCAGTCCCAAATCTCAATCATGATTTTCCCACAACACGCCAGTGCCATTAGTTTCGCAAACTGCTGTAAGCTGATGCTAGGCTACAGGAAGTACTTACTAACAAATTGCCGGCCGTGATCATGACTAACCCGAACCTATGATGCTGAAAGTTCTTGCTCACATCAAGAAGTTTCAATTTATTATATATAGGTAGCACTTAACGTTGGAAGGTCTCCAACCATCGTGACTCTACCCATCACATATCTTTCATGTCTTCCCAACAGAAAGCTCTTTTTCTTTCCAGAAAGCAGGGCAACTTTGAGCTTGGCTCCCGCAGCATCCCCAGTCCGGAGACTGGGCAGCTTCTGGTCAAGATTCAATCTGCTGCTCTGAACCCAGTTGACTACAAGATCAAGGACACAGGGACAATCGTGACCGATTACCCTGCCGTTCTTGGCATAGATATTGCTGGCGTTGTCGAGGAAGTAGGGGAAGGTGTCGAGAATTTCTGCAAAGGCGATAGAGTGTTAGATAATTCTTTTCTTTGGGTTCGCCCCTTTATGCATAGGCTCAACCTTGGTTTACAGATTGGCACATGGAAAATTTACTGATGACTTTGCTGCGTTTCAGCAGTATGCCTTGACGGATGTGCGCTTCACAGCAAAGGTAAGTGATGAGGAGGTTCATTGACTACATCGTCATCCACATCCCATTCTAGATTCCTCCAAGCCAATCTTTCGATAGCGCAGCTACTGTTCCTCTAGGGTTAGATACTGCAGTGGTGGGGTTGTACGGAAATGATTTTGGAGCTGGGGTAACCCCTCCTTGGACGACAAGCGCCGGCGGTCACGAATCAAAGAAACCCATTGTCATCCTTGGCGGTTCTTCCTCTGTGGGCTCATATGGTAAGCGTAGTGGGACTCACCTATGCGGCCGCATGCTGACAGTATTGCAGCTATCCAACTTGCTCGTTTGTCAGGATTTTGTCCTATCATCGCTACAGCCTCTTCGAGCAATGAAGAACTTGTCAGGGACTACGGCGCAACCCACTTTTTCGATCGCAACCTTTCCGGCAAACAGCTGAAGGCCGCCATTAGCAAAGTTACTGATAGCCCTATCGGAATTGTTTATGACGCTATCTCGTTGCCAGAAACACAGTCTGTTGCATGGGAATTGCTTGCGAACAATGGCACTCTCGTATTAACCCTTCCTGCATCAGTCAAGGAGGATGAAGGCAAGGGGCGCAAGGCCATCCCGACCTTCGGGTACCCACACGCCCCCCAAAATCAGAGCTGTGTGGCAGCTCCTGGGCTGTGGTCGAAAAGTGGCTTTCAGAGGGTACTATACAGGTTTGTTGTGCGATCACTCATTTTGGATTTATGTCTCACATTATGTAGCCGAACAAGTATGAAGTCCTCCCGAACGGGCTTGAAGGTATTATTGGAGGACTGGAAAGGCTGAAGTTGGGACAGGTGTCTGGAACGAAGTTGGTTGCTCACCCTCAGGAAACATTGTAAATGCAGGGCTGTCGACTTATTCCGGGATGCCGATTATCACCTTGTTTGCATCTGGCGTAATGACACAATATAATTGTACGATACAAGAGGTGTCACAATTACTGGTATGTACTGGGCGATTGGAAGTTCCAACATGTAAACGCAAGGGGGAGCGACGTTGACGTGGTTGCTCTGCTTGTGGTTAGCTTTAAAGGTTCCAGGCACCGAACGCATGGTTCGTGAAGTTGAGTGAAGGGAGACATTGCTAGAGAAGCTTTGTTTGGGCTTTGTCGTAGCCTATAGTGTAGTGCTCTTCAATGCTTTACCACCTCTTGCCTTGTTCGCGACACGCGGGCACACAGTTACGGATACACTACTCCAACATAAAATAGCGGATGGTATCTTTGTTGTCTCATTCGAACTACCCACCTTCAAGCTTCAGATGTTAGAGATAGGATATGACGAAATTGATTTCTCCGAGGTGTCTGCAGGTGATGAGCTAATAGTAGATGAACTTCATGGACTGCAATACGGACTGTACACACCGCTCTATACTTTGTGACGATATTCCAGGAGCAACAGCATGTGCCATCCTTCCTCCAAATGCAGGTACGGAGCTCGTTCTTTTTGGTCGGGATTGATCGTCTCGTGGACCTTGTCCGGTCCGAGTGAGAAACAGGTGCGAGATGGTGTGTTTGAAGCTGTACGAAGGCTATGATAGTGCACGTCACTTAGTCACTAGCACCGAGAGATTTCATTTTCGAGGCTGCACTAACTTCTTCATATCTTCTCTGTCTCTGTCTTTGTAGCCACTCCAGAATATGATCTGTGTTTACAGCGAACCAATCATTGCCTGAACAGTATGAGCCGACAAGGATCACGATGACGTTGCAAGAATCTCTACATTATGAGTGAAAGTGAAAGTGATGACACGAGAAGTGAAATCGAAGCGATGAGAGAGAACATGAATGTATAAGATTGAGACGGTGTTCGGTGCTCACATTGCTCTGTCCCGACTTCTGACTGTGTTGACCCAGCGCTTCTAGTCGTGCGGCGAGGTAGCGCGACCAGAGACTTGTGGAGGTGCAACTCGCTCCCTCATGCTCTGTCAGGACAGCCAAATCCGTGATTTGCCATGCTTTGCGATTTGATGATAGGTAGCCTTGACGAATGGGACTACAAATATATACCGTTGTCGGGTCGCTGCCGCAGGTCGCAGTCAGTGATAAGCCTTCTTCCAGATATGCGGAGACATAGGCTGGATTGGAAGACCTGTGAGAATGCTAATGTCAAGGGATCCACGATAGATGGGCGAGCACGCGAGCGGGATAAAAACACCTGAAATGGATGGTGGAAGAGACGGAGCCCGAAATCAGCACTCCTTTCGAGATGGCGTCATGGCGGGCAGCGATGAGGACGATGGAGATGATGAGCACTGAATAGGAGTGTGGTATTACAACTCCGCCACTGTCACAGGTCTTGAAGGTCTGCAAACTTCGAAGAGACCAAGCGCATTCACTTTTAAACCGCCACAAACACGTGAGTCAACGCATCTCATGCGCATTGCATATGGCGTCACATCCAACAGGGCAGTGCTTGTTATCAAGCTGATGCTACAAGAAATACTTACTAACACATGTCATGTGCGACGTGATCATGAATAACTGGAACCCATAATGATGCTTTCTTGCTCATCAAGAAATTTCAATATTATATATAGGTAGCACTTAACGTTGGAAGACCTCCAACCATCTTGACTCTACCCACCACATATATCTCATGTCCCCCCAACAGAAAGCTCTTTTTCTTCCCAGAAAGCAGGGTAACTTTGAGCTTGGCTCCCGCAGCATCCCCAGTCCAGAGGCTGGGCAGCTTCTGGTCAAGATTCAATGTGCTGCTCTGAACCCAGTTGACTACAAGATCAAGGACGCAGGGATAATCGTGACCGATTACCCTGCCGTTCTTGGCACGGATATTGCTGGTATCGTGGAGGAAGTAGGGGAAGGTGTCGAGAATTTCCGCAAAGGCGATAGAGTGTTAGATAATTCTTTTCTTTGGGTTCGCCCCTGTATGCATAGGCTCAACCTTGGTTTACAGATTGGCACATGGCAAATTCGGCAATGACTTTACTGGGTTTCAGCAGTATACCTTGACCGACGCGCGCTTCACAGCAAAGGTAAGTTATGAGAAGCTTCATTGACCACATCGTCATCCACATCCCATTCTAGATTCCTCCAAGCGAATCTTTCGATAGCGCAGCTACTGTTCCTGTGGGGTTAGATACTGCAGTGGTGGGGTTATACGGAAATGATTTTGGAGCTGGGGTAACCCCTCCTTGGACGACAAGCGCCGGCGGTCACGAATCAAAGAAACCCATTGTCATCCTTGGCGGTTCTTCTTCTGTGGGTTCCTACGGTAAGTGTAGTGGGACTCGCCTGTTCGACTGCAAGCTAACAGTATTGCAGTTATCCAACTTGCTCATCTATCAGGATTTTATCCCATCATCGCTACAGCCTCTTCGAGCAATGAAGGGCTTGTCAGGGACTACGGCGCAACCCACTTTTTCGATCGCAACCTTTCCGGCAAACAGCTGAAGGCCGCCATCGGCAAAATTACTGATAGCCCTATCGGAATTGTTTATGACGCTATCTCGTTGCCAGAAACGCAGTCTGTTGCATGGGAATTGCTTGCGAACAATGGCACTCTCGTATTAACCCTTTTTGCATTAGTCAAGGAGGATGAAGGCAAGGGGCGCAAGGTCATCCTGACCTTTGGGGACGCACAAGCCCCCCAAAATCAAGAGCTGTGTGGCAGCTCCTGGGCTGTGGTCGAAAAGTGGCTTTCAGAGGGTACTATACAGGTTTGTTGTGCGATCACTCATTTGGATTTATGTCTCACATTTATGTAGCCAAACAAGTATGAGGTTCTCCCGAATGGGCTTGATGGTATTCTTGGAGGACTGGAAAGGCTGAAATTGGGACAGGTGTCCTGGAACGAAGTTGGTTGCTCACCCTCAGGAAACATTGTAAATGCGTAAGTCGCGGCCAGGTTGTTCGGCAATGCCTCTTGCTTGCATCGGGCGTGACAGGATCAAATTGTACATTAGATATTACAATTACAAGCTAAAATATGTACATACCAAGTCGGTGTAGGAAGTTGGAAGCAAAAGAATACCTGTACTCGTTCAAGACTAATTATTGTGACTTCGGATGGCTTACTGAAATCACTTTCCCACGATCATACCACTGACGCGGCCTAAGTACAAACGCGTCTCAACACTGAGCCTATCTGTTACCAGCATGTCTTCATCCTGCATCCTCATCAAAACCCGCAGACAAACAAACAGAGAAGTCCAAGGAGGAGGACAGTCAGCCTCACCTTGGGGTCCTTGAAGAAGACGACGAGTTCGAGGAGTTCGAAGTCGCAGGTGATCATCGAGTCGCTATTCCATGTCATCGATGTTTTCTGATCATCTCGTCTGGCAGACTGGGATGATTCTAGTACGGATCTGGCGCACTTGAAGGGCGCTGCACCTGGGGTCGCAAAATCAGCGGGGGATAAACTTTGGGAGGATAATTGGGACGATGACGACATCGAGGACGAGTTCAGTGTGCAGCTACGGTATGCAGTTCTCCCCGTCTCGATGATACGTTTGCCCAACTCACATATTGGCTAGGAATGAGCTTTCTAAGGCAGGGAAAGCAACTGGAGACCCGATGCAGCAATAATGACATCGTATATGCAGTTATTGCCAAGTGACTCGTCCAGTTACTGTAAAATATCCAATACATCTGAGCTCTTCAGATGCTTCATTATCTGCATTATTAAATTTTCAGTGTGTACTAAGTTGCTCACCGGAACTCTGGCTGTGATTGGCCACATTTTCGTTGAACAACTGTATCCACATTACTTAAACAAGACAAGGACAGCAGGATGTTGTGAAAGGTAGGCCACCTTCCGCAAGAAATATGGTTCCCTCACAACGCAGATACATGTCATCAGTGTAAATCTCCAGAGACTGCGTCCCAAGTTATTCAACAGGTATTCATACAACTGAGCAAGGAAATATCATGGTATGGAAACACAAACGTAAATTATCATCAAGATTGCTCGCCGAACAGCTAAACTTTCGTGGCTGAGTCAGTGTCCTTGACCGCTGAATCCGTCTCTTTCCCTTCCGTATATGACACGGTTTCAGCTTCGGGAAGACCCATGAGTGAGACATCGAAACCGTGCGCTTCAAGGTATTCCCGGAACTACGTGGCGAGGTGTGTAAACGTCATGGGCAATAGGAGGGACAATCGCGCACCTTGGCATCCTCCTTCTTCATACCATCGTGGTCCAAGGGTTTCACAAGGAAGTATACAACGATCGCGCTTAGGATGGCGAGACCACTGCCAACCCAGAAGGGGCCAGTGTTTCCTTTAGCTGAACTTGAGCCACCAAAATCCGTGATCATGACAGGGAACACTGGACGGACAAACAAAACACTCAGTTCACTTGTCATACGAAAACTGTATGTCACGTACCCCAAGTTCCAACAAATGCGCCTATTTTTCCAGTAGCAGCTGCAATACCATAATACTGGCCACGTACAGCAGTAGGCCCGGACTTTGCAGCCAATACACCAAGGCAGTTTCCGGGACCTAGGCCAAAAGAGTTCAAAAGACGGAGAATAATTGCGCAACCCCACGCACCAAACTCGCCGAAGCTCAGGAAGATGCCGTACACCACCTAATGAGCCACTCAGCATCAATTATCTGTGTGAGAAAGATGCATACAGCGAAAGCGGCAACGTGTTGTGACAACTGGGTATAAAGGCCACTCATGATGAATCCAATGACCGCTTGCGCGAGAAGGCCACTGATCTGGTAGAGAATTTAGAAAAAAGCGTTCCACAGGCGCCTGATATCACTTACCATGGTAACCTTGGGACCCATAAGATCAACGCAGAAGGCACCCACAACGGTGCCTGCGGACAAAATGTGAGCCCTGGAAATTAATTATTGTCCTGTAGACTGACCTGGAATGTAGAACAGGCTGTGAAACACATCTGAATAGGAGCATGAATCACGAACGAGTGGGAAGCTTACTTGATCACAACAGACCAACCAAAGACGATGGTGAGGGATGAACTGCCACCGGTAACACTGCCAAAACGACTAAGTTCTATGTCAAGAAAACAAATGCAAATCACCATACGCATTGGTGATTGTGGACGAATAAAGTCCGAACTACAGAAAAAATCAATGATAATGCATCACGTAAGGGCCTGAACATACTGGGTATCTGGAGGTATGTGAGCCACTAGTAAGAATGCACGGAAATGGTTTTTGGCATACGTGATGAAGTCATACATGAACCATGCCAGTGAAAGGCCAAGCAGGCTACGCCAGTATCTTTTAACGACTAGTCCGTATGGGATACGAACATGCTTCATTGAATCGCGCTTATAGCGATTGGGTTCCTCCATGCGCAGCCGCCAAAAGAAGACACCAACAGCAGGAACTACACCAAGCCCAAGCGAGAGCCGCCAGACGGCACGAAGGTGGTTGTCCCCGAATCTTAAACTAACTGTTAGACATGGATTGCAAGATGTGGAAGTGAATGGCGGCACGAACATCCAGTAAAGTACCAATGGTACGAATGCTCCAATAACGAAACCATTATCAATCATAGTGTCTGGGCAACGTGTTTTAGATTTATACTGGTGATGAAGACATTCCATCACGTCAGCTCACTCGTTGCGAGCACCAGCCATCGGTGTTGCGAGTTCTTAGCAATGCCCTCTTCCTCCGACTGTTCAGATGCAGACACAGAGCCGCAAGGGTATTCGGCGCCAACTCCAATCCCAAGAAGGAAGCTGTGTTAGATGATGAGCGACACAGATGATCTCGGACCGGCACAAATACTTACCGACATGCGATAAGCATAGCAAGCATGCCATGAAGGCTGTGATTAGCACCAGACGAAGCAGCCGAGAGACCAGAAAATAGTGCAACGATCCCAGTTGCGGACATCTGTTCAAAAAGCATGACTTACGAGTTGCTCGATCGGGGTTGACATCTACTTACCATACCGAATTTGCGCCCAACTTTGTCGGAGAGGTAGCCAAAGGTAAGCATACCCACCACGGTGCCTAGGACGATTTAATTGTAGATCAACGAAGGAGACTCGGGTACGCACCTGCGAAGGCGACACTAGAGAGTGTGGTGCTGTAATTCGTAGTGATGCCGTCGGAACCAGTGCCGTATATGCGTGTTAGAACTGTAATTCACGTTCAACCTTCAGTGAATTCCATGCCAAAAAGCGCTCACGAGTATTGACTGCAAGACAGTTGAATTTTTGGTCAAAGGGGGCTCATCAAGTTGAATACACTACCCACCAGAACCAATGACATTGTTGGCATAACCTGCGAACGGTTATCAAATTTACGTTAAAGGAGACGTATGTGCTTACCATCAGAGAACAGAGCCGTTCCACAGCTGAGAGAAAGGATTCGAGTATTGTCATCAGTTTGAAGATGAAACACGAACACAAAATAACATACGCAAAGATGAGAGAAACACTACTCAGGGCGACCTTCTTAGCCATGGCGTTGAGGGAGGCAGTAGTAGAGGACGTCGATAAAGAGCAGCTAAAGATTCTCTTGCATCAATTCCACCTATTAATATAGCATACCGGCTGATTGCAGGTGATCCGGGCCCTGGAGACCCACACGGTCAGCATTTTCTCTGCATGATTCTCAATGTTGATTGGTGGCATATCAGCGAACGTGTGCTCATTGACGCTTTCTACTTCGTACAAGTCACAGTAACTTGAGTTTAGCCTCTGCCGCCCAAGGTGTCCGTTACAGGCATTGCCGGAATTCAGTACATACCAAGATGCTTACCAGTTAGGACGCAGTCGCTTGTACCGCGCCGTGTTCCTGTGTGGCGAACTCCAATCAGCTTGTAGGCGTGTAAGCAGAATTTCCTTTCCTGTCTGATACTCGGCCAAAGCTTTAAATTACATAACGAAAACAACTCTTCAAGCTTCAAGTTGAGCCTGGTTCGATAAAAAGTAAGTAGTTGTTAAATATCTGCGAGCGCAATTCAGATCACCGTACATCTTTGTTTCTTCTAGTCAACCATCACAAGCATCAGGAGAAATGACACAAAGGCAAGGCAGTGCAAGCAAGTGACGCTGTCGGCGTTTTCCGAGTAAAACCTCTGGTGGAAGAACTACTTCGACTCCTAGCAATCGCTTCCCTCGCGGTCTCTCCAGTCCACATCCAAAGTATTGGTGGCAAGGAGCTTGCGCAATAAACCTTAAAGATATAGCGCGCCAACCTGGGTATCATTGAAGATGTCAACTTCTGAAGCTCACAGGACACTGAAGCGCTCCCGTCGTGATGATAATGAATCTACGTCAACGGGCGGGGCTTCCGGTATTCATCATAATGGCGCAAAGGTGAAGCGCGAACAAAGTCCGACGCCTCCGCCTCCACAACGGAAGTTGGTCATGTCCGGGACAAAGCGCTTTGCCCCCTTTCCCTCGAACTGTTTGCCTCCGAATCCTGGGTACAAGCAGCATCGAAGGACATGGTCCAAGAAGTGTCAAAGTGAAATTGAGGCTTTGAAGCTTCAAACGGAGAAGCTTCTCATCAGGTATGTCTTATTGCGTTGGATGATCTGTATTCTGATTCTTGGCAGAGATGATGGCGTAATAGTCGACTGGTGAGCCATATGTATCATGTGAAGCGATTGGCATTGGACATACTGTGATAGGAAGAGCCCGGTTCCAGTTTGGTCAGACACATTGCGACCAGTCGAGCTTGATCTTGCTGCTGCGATCACACTTGCGCATCAAGCAAATGCCCAACAGCGCAATGCTTCTCTTCACCACACACCCGAAACCCCCTCTCAGTCGGCAGTATCACTTCCGGTCACTGGTGTTGATGATGATGATGTTCTTATAGTATCCCCAGTCCGCACAAAAACTCCCCATCCCACCACGGCCACGGAGGAATGTAGTATCGCCATCTGTGTTATCCCCTCCCGCGGGAGGCTCTGAATCTCGGGCACCCCCTAAGCCCGATCCTCCATCTGCGGATGTTCCCGCTCCATCCAGGCCTCTGAACGACTTTCCGACGATCGTGATAGTACCCGATGAAGAGGAGAAAATGTCGAAAATGTCGATGGAATATCTTGAAAGGTGTGTTTCCATCTTATGTTCCTGGGATTTGCAACCGGAACTAGCTTAATCTCATCGTATTGCCGCTGGCCGATTTGAAAGATATTTCCAAACATTTGACTCGGATCGTGCCAGTCTTGCTTCTGCATATTCTAGCAACGCGTGCTTCTCGTATCGAGAAGTCAAGTGCTTCTCTCCTGGGTCGCCCCACTTGCAACCCTCGTTACCTCGTAAGTTTTTCGTTCCGGACATCTATCGTACCTTTCAATCGAACCCGCATATTCATTGGTACCTAAGCATCTGACTCTATCAAGTGTACTCGGCTCGACATAACCGCAAACCTCCTTTCCCTACCCCCTTTGCAGCTCTTGCCGTTGACTGGATTGGCAGCAGACATCGATTACGACATCATGTGGCTTGGTTCCCCCGTTGGAATGTTCGCCATCTGCGGGGGCATTCATCATGGGCACGCCTCAAAGCGGCCGGTGACACATAGTTTTTTGTTGCGCCAAAAAGAGGCATGCGAAGAAGATGCGAGGGCTGACGGCGTGTGGCCACTCGTTGCTGTGGCACATCAGATGATGGTATTTGATGGCCCGTAGATATAGTTCATCTTTTATCAGTGCTTGGTTGTGTACTCACTCCTGGTTTTGGTTAGAGATAGATCACGATTAAATGTAGGTATGCGAGTCTTCGATCAGACTATGACATAGTTGTGATATGATCATCGCCTCTTGTGGCTTATAGGGCCCTATCGAGAGCGGTAGTCCTCGGAGAACGACGCTAGCTTGGCATATAGATAAACCCATTACTCGGCACCTCTGCACAGTTGACGGTGAAGGATGATAGTTTTCCAGACTTACTGATACGGCTATTTGCATCCCACTTTCACAACCATGGAAAACATGAATATGCGGTAGCACATAAGATACTGCATTCTCCTAAAATATGGCCAGTTCGCACTTCACACGTGCCATAAAGACATGTATGTGACGTGTCCGCGAAAATGAATACCCTTGATTGCGCTTAAAAGGTCAATTGCGTGCAGGTCTAGGTGGGTCTAGAAAATTGGCACGTAAAGCAATCATCACGTTTGTTTGTGCCATATCAAGCTTTCGAATTCAAGGATAAGAAGTCACTGGATATGGCCTATGCCGCAAAACCTCCATGTACCGACGGCAAGGCTCTGAATCATCTTCTGAGATATCTGCACCACTTACTTTGACATCCCCTCGGAGTTCGCCATTATTGGCTGTGCTAAAAGACCATTTCAAACGACAAGCCTGTAAAAGAAACGACGGGATAGAGCGGAATATTTGCCTGGAATGATCAGGTATCTTGATCGAAGGAAACACAGGGACCCGGGAGGATAGACCGGGTAGATTAAAGAACGTATATGAGTCCTGAATGCTTCGCGGGAGCACTTTCAAAAGGAAGTCACGGGGCCGACACGTGGTTCGAAGAGGTGGAGCTCGATCTGCGAAGCTGACGGCACACTACGATACAGTATCTGAAACGCTCCCGGAAGCTGATGTGTACATAGTACATATGTAGTTCGTCTAGAAGCTAACGGGATTCAATGCTCACAAGGCTCTCCGCATTGCAGAAATGGTAAGTCAACGGCCAATGGTAGGCCGCGCGGTTGCTGTAACGTTCTGTTCATGGATTAGCTGATAAGTCAGGTGTCAAATGTACCCATAGTGAGGGTAAACAACATGCCAGAAGAAAATTTACCGCGTTCCATGACCTATGGATCTTGACGTCAATGGTCGAAACACCATCGATATCGCTGTGCATTGTGCACTGGACATTCATTGCAAGCCTGGAAAATGCTGTCATGAACTGGCTACCGTTGGCGCATAGCCCTTGGAGGCCTTTTATTGTAACAATTGCGTTGGTGAGTGCACATAGCACTGTTTAAAAAAATCGACATGCAGGATTGCACGAGATCTGATTAATAAAATCGTGTGATGAGTTTTATCCGAGCATCATAATATGGAACGAACTATAGCGTTCGCTTATTAGTCAAGAACGCAATGACAATGACCATTCTCGGCATATAATAAGAGTTCTAGCAGCTTGTTAGCTCAGATTGAGCTTGCAGCTGGCATCGTATAAGTAGTAAGGCAACGTGTTGACGATGATCTGGGTACCGAAACGCACCGGCGCTGTAAGAGAGGAACGTGTCGGCCGAGTACAAATAAGGCAATTCAAAGTCCGCCTAGTTGGTGTGCTTTCTCTCCATCCGCTCCTTGTCCCAAGCACACCAGTCCATCCTTTACCTTCCCACTGCGCTTCTGGACTGGTGGCCTTCAAAATTATTAACCTTTTATCCAGATGACGACCCCTCACGTTATAGCCTCGTCTTCGGGGCACCACTCTCAAACTGCCACTTCAAATGGTATCGTCGGAAACCACTTTCGTGTCGGCAAGAAGATTGGCGAAGGTTCATTCGGGGTTGTATTTGAAGGTGAGTGTCGTACACCCGATGTCTTCCTGCTTTTCTAGAACTTTTTTGGCTTGTGAGTTGCATGCACGATACCAACAGAGTCACTCGACCTTCTAAGCGCCCGTCTTACGGCCAGCCAATTTCATGCAGAAGGATACATTTCGGTCCTTGGGTCGCCGGTGGGCGATCATCATGGTCATGGTTACTTAGTAGCAATGGAACTAGATCAACTAAGCTCCGCGTATCCCGTCAGAACGGAAATTATTTACTTGCGACTTTGAGCAAAATTTTTGTTACCGGTGTTCTTTGCCATTTGTTCCTTTGACTCACCACAACTCTTCACAGGCACCAAGCTTCTTACAAGCCAACCCGTCGCCATCAAATTTGTACGTTCGCCGTGAGGTTCTTCTGATCGTGACTTGAGTTTGACGTATTACCCAGGAACCTCGAAAGTCCGATGCTCCTCAGTTACGGGATGAATTTCGATCATACAGAACACTGAATGGTACAGGTATGTGTTAATGTCAGTAATTTCTCTCGCCCAACTATAATATGCTATTATTATTAGTGGGGGTTCCTCAAGTACACCACTTTGGGCAGGAGGGACTCCACAATGTCCTAGTAATTGACCTTCTAGGCCCCAATTTAGAGGATCTCTTCGATATGTGTGGCCGGAAGTTTACCATTAAGACTGTATGTATGTCCGCAAAGCAGATGGTAAGTTGTACCCATGCATTGGACAGGTATTGTTTCATGTTGTTTAGTCATTCTCTCTTTGTCGATTCATTCCGTCGTTCCGTTGCAGTTGTTCATGTCTTTTTGTTTTTTTAGATATCTCGCATTCAGTCCGTCCACGACAAGTCGCTCATTTACCGTGATATCAAGCCTGACAATTTTCTCGTCGGAGTCCCCGGAACAAAAACCTCCAACACCATCCATATCATTGGTATGTCTTTTGCAAGTTGTTCATGTTCCTCTTTTACGTCCTACTCCCCCGATTGTACCCGTGTCCCTGAATTTGCGGAGATCCCCATCTATTGATTGACTCAAACCAAAAAACACACTGACTATCTTTGGTAGATTTTGGCATGGCGAAGCACTACCGAGATCCTAAGACGAAAGTCCACATTCCTTATCGTGAGCGCAAGTCCCTCTCAGGCACCGCCCGGTATATGTCGATCAACACGCATCTTGGCCGTGAGCAATCGCGCCGGGATGACCTGGAATCGCTAGGTCACGTATTCATGTACTTCTTGCGTGGCGGCCTTCCCTGGCAAGGTCTTAGGGCCGCAACCAATAAGCAGAAGTATGAGAAGATCGGTGAAAAGAAGCAGACTACACCGATTGCGGAGTTGTGCGAGGGTTTCCCCGGTAAGTTCTCTTTTAGTTCATCCAGTGGCGTCTATTTTCTTCGTTTGTCGATGTGCTGAAGTGACAATATGATTTACTGATCGGTCTCTACTGATTCAGAGGAGTTCGCGATCTACATGAACTACGTCCGCAAACTCGGGTTTGAGGAAACTCCCGACTACGATTTTCTCCGAGAACTCTTTACCAAAGTGTTGAAGAATATCGGCGAGCAGGACGATGGCATCTTTGACTGGATGTTGATCAACAATGGCAAAGGTTGGGAGGCCAGCAATGTATGCAATGTATTCTCATCATGGAAGTATATCGTAACTGAATATTTCCAGACACCCGCATCACTACTAGCACAGGCTCATGCTACTGTTAATGCACCTCATACTCCTCGTCATCGTGAGACCAGTCGTCGCCCGCGGGCACAACTTACAGATGGTTCAGCGCCTTCTACTCCTCTCGTCCTCGCGCCCACTCCCGCTCACATCAAGAACAGCACTAGACGTCCAGGCACACGAGAAGGACATGGTAGTCGAGACCCTGGCGCTCGTGCTGATATCAGTGTACAGCCCATCGCTCCTGTTAGCAGGCGCGCGAGTCAGACACCCCGAGAGAGTTCGGGACTCGCACCTCCTCACCCTTACGCCACAGCGCCTACTTCCTCGGGGTACCGGGCGAGTAACGGTTACGGCAGGCATTCACCAGTTACTCATGCTGCAAATGTGACCAACGGCAATAATCTCGTTGGGCGCAACGACGCTTCAGATTCGTTCCTCTATGGCGCGCAGGTCCACGCTGCCAAAAACCCGACCAACTCGCGAGAGGACACAACCGCAGGAACCCTGGCCCGCGATGCTGGGCAGATGCGTGGAATGACTGCGTTTGAGACCCAAAGGCATGGTGTTGATGATGTGGATGATGACAGACATCCTAAGCGGAAGGGCTTCTTCTCCGGCCTGTTTTGCTGCCGGGCATAGTAAGCACCACTGGATGGTGCAGCGCTGGTCGCTATCTGCGGCACTTCGGCTTCATTGGCAAGTTATTCGGACAGTCTGCTGATTTCCTGCTAATTCCCCAATTATAGGTATTAGAAACTCTGACGACAACACGCACGATCTATCAATCATGGCTATCGTACATACTTATCTATCTTGCTAGCTTCTCCTCGGGATTCCGTATTGCTTTCCTCTTTCCGCAGGCCGACCATATCACACCGCCATCATACCCCTCACGATCGTTTCGAATCATTCCGTCACAGTCTTCAAGTTTCCGCCTGATCCTGTGGCTGGTCTTGGGTGGTGGCTCTCAATATTTTCCTGTTTATCGATTCCATGTGTATTATCTACAGAACCCTTAGGATATTCATTAGCCCTACTTAGGCACGGGGCGGCTTTCTGTTACCAGGCCAAGTTGAGGGCAATAATAAATATTGACTGCTTTCGATCTGCACGGATCCAGCCTAGTGTTTCATAACGTCGAGTACGGTGTCTAGACTAGGTCTATCAGAAAGCATTTCGATACTACAGCACGTTCGATATCTGACCCAAATACGTTTATCTTCAAAGAAACTACAGCAAGAAGGCTATTCATATTCCGCAGCCCGATGTCAGCGCAAGAGAAATAATATACATCCGAAGACAAAACAGCAGAACCAGAGCACTATTGTACAGTCATCAAACTTATTACAGTCAACGCAGTTGGACACGTTTCATCTTTGACAATCGACCGCCTGACTGACAGGATGGCGACATTCCTCCGCCACACAACCCCACAATCTATTTCCGCTCTTTCCTTGCATTCTCTACGCCTAGTTTGGACCAACGCAGGGTCACATCCGAATCAGGGGACGGATTTCTGTCGGGAAGTTCTGCGGCGCCCTTATGTGTACCAGATTCATCCATCAAGCCTAGCCCTCTGTGGCTTCCCCCTCTGCGACCCATCTCACCGGGTGCATCTCCATATCTCACTGAGGCACTTTCGCCAACGCCGTCTGCATTTCTTGGAATAGCACGAGTTGTATGAGGGTAAGGGACGTTCGTGCTGCTTGCACTATGTTTCCCCTCAGGGTTGGGTGCATCCGTGAGTTTGAAATCGGCATAAGGCGCCGTGGTTGGATATGCGCCCGATGGCACCGCATAAGGGGTATTGGCAGGGTCTGGCTCTGAGACCACATAAGTGCGCATGCCAGCTGATGAGATTTGGGGTTCAGGGGAGTGGTCATGTTGTTTTTCGTACAATGACGCTGACACTGGCAATGCGTTCGAAGCCGGTGACGATGGTGAGTTGAGTACCACAAAGGGCGAGTGAAACAAACGCCCTAATACGACAATACGGGTTTTAGACGGCTGTGACAATGAGCGCGCATGTTTTGAAGAGACACGGAGAATGTTGGACATTGTGAACTGGTCGGTGATGTGGCCTCAGTGAGCAACGTACGTGAACCGAAATGTCATTAGACAAGTTCGTGAGAATATCGGTGACTTGTGACGTAATGCAGTTTCTGACATTTGCTTCCGCGGCATGTCAGCTTAGTCTTTCGCAGGTCGGGAGCGTGAACAGAAGAGAGTTCCCTGGCACTGACAGCGACCCAAAGGTACGACTACGGTGATTGTACTGGAATGGACTGACCGAAATTTTAGTCATTGTCAATCTTCTCTTCATTTCGTCTTTTCCTCACCTCCCAGGGTGCGACGGTCTCCGCACCATCAACGCAGGTTGGCGTGGAATATAGTCGGCACAACATCGTGTAAAGTCGTATACTTAATTGAGAGAAATAAGTTAGAACTGATGCTGTCAATAGCACTACTCGGGCTCAGTTACGCGGTGAGCGAACACCCTGAACTGGTTTCTGGATCAGCCACCAAGAATACTGGCTGCGCACCACGTCCGAAGACATCGCTCGTTTCCCCTGGGTATCTGGTGGTCAGATCGAGCGGCTTAACTCTGCATAATTCCAGGTCGAGACATGTGATTACGCCTTTGATGAATTGTTTTCTTGCTTGAGAAACACATCATGATGCCGTCGGGGATGCAGAGATCTTCTTACACTCAGGTCATGCCCGATTTGAACCTGACTAGCTCAGTGTACGCTGACCTTTCCCTAACGGGCAACGATCTTCGCTTCTCTAAATCCGTTGCTTTAGGGTTCATTCAAGTTGTCCCGTTGGTCAAACCATATCAGCAACATGTAACGCGTTCCACAATCTCACTTCGTAAGATTCGTTGAACCATGCTTGGTACGCACGAAGGGAACCCAGCCGCACGGATCGCAGCCTTCATCAAATACGTATATTTAGGCTTTGACATACGGAGTGCGTTCTAACAAATGTTTAATTGTTGAATATTTACTAGATCATATCAATGCCCAGTGTAGCTTTTCCAGGGTACTCCGCGGCCCCGAACGTTCAGACCCACTTCCTCATCCTAACATGAAACTTTTTTCCGGCGTCACATTGAGTTCACCCCATTGCGACCGCTTTTACCCCCATGAAAATGGAAATATGGCTAGTCTCTGAAACACCTGACACTCTCCTCTAAAGGAAACATTTGATTGTCATGATAGACCCTCACTTACGAGAATTGTCCGCGTATCATGACTATGGCTCCTCGGAGAGCTTTGTGGTACATCCCGACGCCGTTGGAAATTCTTTGGTCGCTTTTTGCTAAAAACAATCCTGTCTCTAGGCTCTTCTCTGCGCTCTGCGCGGCGTTATTCCTCTGTCAATCCAACCAAGTAGATAGGCCTACGATCCATCCAAGATACATCATGACCAGGGCCCCACATGAACGTTAAAGCGGCGACGTCGCGACTATCTAGGAGATGTGATGGAACTTGAACCCTGTTCCAATAGAATGGCGTGATATGGAGCGATCATCCTTCGTGGCCTTTCATTGACCGTTCATTGCCGCTAGTTAGCGCTTCGTGTTGTTCATTATTCTGACTTATCACTTATCAGACAGACCTCGACCAGCAATCGTGATTACGTCGATGCTATAATGTTCCTGTTGCCGCATTCCGCACGGTGATCTGCCAGGATGCTTGAGGAAGTCATCTTCCTATCAATTTTGGTTAGTAGGAAAAAAACTTACTAAGTTCCCTCGAGCGTCTGTTCATAATCCTGGACATCGTGTTCTTGCGTTTCTACCGCTGTTATGGGATCATAGTTTGTCATAGTGGCACTGCGGAGCTTGTGTTGATCCAGGGGGATCAGGGCACAGAACCGTAGCCAGTCAATTTTGGCTATCTGGGGCGGTGCGTGTTTTTTTTTTTTCATATGTCAGGCTTCCCATTCTGACTGTGTCTCGTTAATAAGCCGAAATGATATCGGTATCCGATCAATTCTATACATGGTCATACAGGGTCACTCCAAGCCCCCCCCGCATCCACTATGTTGAGGCTTCCATTCCAGATATCGAGGCCTATCGTCGGAGCCGAGACAAAACGTTTGCATTCCAACGCACGCGGTTGCAGCTACCACTGATGCCATGTTGCATAAATGCTCATGATCTAGTGCTGTTCGGCACTCACTTTTGGCACATCAGTCTTCGGCGAGGGAAACACTTTGCGATGTGTATCTCAGATTGTTATCCGCAATACTGGCACTCTATACACGTCATGATCTGAGTGTCACCCTCAATCCAAATGTTCTACGTAGAAGGAATGACGTCACTGCTTTTCAGCGACTGCGATGATTAATAGCAGAAGACAGTTACCGGTCAGTTAATTTCTTGGCTCTTGGACTACTTGGTCACTCGGCGGCCTATTCCTCGGGTTGATAGGCTCATGAGATCCAATCCAGAGACCATATCTAGGTCCGGACCTTGTCCACCCAAGTTAGATCATATTATTTCGGGTTGGACTTGAAATAACGACGCCCATTAGTTCAAAGTTCAAACGACCCACACATGCGTCTCTTTCATCCCCGCCTCTTATAAGATAAACATAATTTGTACATAAAATTGCAGAGTTGCGGCATATTCCGTAAAGGACCTAAAAAGGCAATACTCAGTAGAAATGTGGTATTTGTGAACAACCCACTACAGGCAGGAGGCTGCAACCCTGGTTTCCGCCTGTTGAGCAGCAGAGGTGATCATTTCAGACCAAAATGAGCCCACAGCTCATGCCGATCCCCCGGAAGTGACAACCTAGTAGGAAAGTGGCACAGGCACGCGAGGACCTGGAAACCCTGCACATTAACTTAAGTCCACGGACATCACTCAGGTGAGCGTACATCCTTCTCGGCACTTGTCGTTTTCCGTCACCGCGGCTTTGCTTGCCTAATACTGTTCGACCTAACCGAGTTTTGCCCCGTACGTTCCATTTGCACTTGTCGTACAGGCTAGCTTACTCCATATTCATTTGATTGTTCCGTTCTACTAAGTAACCAACTCCCACCCGCTCCTTGTGGGGCTAAATCTGCCATATCGACTTGCCGGATGGTTGTTATCTATTTCCATCCGTCATGCCGCCATTTCTGTTTAGATGTTGATCTCTGCGAGTCAAAATCTTCATCTAGCCCTTGGCTAATATGTGCTACTAGATTATGTCGAATTCTTCTTTTGATTCCGATTTCCGAAAATTCGCCAGCCTCTTAAATACAGGTCTCATATCGGCTTGCAATATGTGTCCCAATGCCCACATACTCGATCGACGCAAAGATGTCTTCGCTGCCCCTGCAATGTGGCTTTCTTGTGGTGGTGGCCGCCGCCCTGGTAAGTGGCTTATATATGCCGTGTATTATTATATCACGTTCTGACCCTGATTGTTGGTAGCTTTGTCATTTTGTATTCAAACGTCATGAGCCCACTAGTCCGCTCTCCCACCTAGGCTTGCTCGTTGTAGTTCCAGCCATCCTTACAACCTTGTTTTTGCCTAACGCATCAACTTTTACGCATGCATTCAGTTGTGTCTACATATTGTATTACTCTACTGTTCTCGTTTCTGTGACCCTGTATCGTCTATCCCCTTGGCATCCACTTGCGAGATACCCTGGCCCTATCCCTTGCCGCATCTCCAAGTTCTGGATGGTATGGGTCTCTCGTGATGGAAAGCAGCACATTTACTACTCAAGACTGCACCAAACGTATGGCGACGTTGTCAGAATTGGTAGATAACCTCTTAACTTGTTACCTATTGTTTGCATCTGATCACCTTCTTGGTCTAGGTCCCAACGAGCTATCAATACGAGACGTCAATGCTGTGGTCCCTTTGATGGGTAGCAACGGGATGCCTAAAGGACCTCGTCAGTGATTTAATGCGCTCTAACATGTGGCACTAGGTCCTAATTTAGATACGCAGACTGGGATGGACGCATGGCCGAGCAATCAGCCACCAGAACAGTCATTTCGGTAAGGGATTCCGTAGAGCACGCACGACGGAGAAAGCCTTGGCATAGGGCTTTCAGTGTTGCTGCACTGAAAGGTTACGAGGAGATTCTTGGAAAGCGAGTCCAACAATTCGTAACGATCCTCGAGCAACAGACACAACCCTTCAACCTTGCTGAGCGTATAAATCATTTCACGTGCGCCTCCCTACTTCTCTACTTTTTTTGTTCCTGACTTAAATGACATAGATTTGACTTCATGAGCGACATGGCGTGAGTACGCATGGTGTTTGGATGTTTCTAATCGAACTAAATGGTTTCCCAAGATTTGGCGGAGGCTCAGAGATGTTGCGTGACGGTGATAAGGACAACACTTGGCATCTGCTGGAAAGTGGCCTTCCGTGAGTACAGTAAAGGACAATATTGCCATAATGGAAGACTAAAATACTTTTTCATTCTAGAACTGCCTTGGTTCTGTCCCACGTGCCTTGGCTCGGAAAGTACTACGCCAATTTGCCAGGAATCGGGGAGGGCCTCAAGACATTCAGAACGTTCTGTCAAGAACGCGCTATTCTCAGGCGGTCCGCAGGCTCTCTGTCTAGAGATCTCTTTCACTATCTGGTAATTATTTCAATTATTTTCGTAGTTTTCAGTTTTGTTGATAGTCCTTAGATTGACGAGGCGGGTCTTGAGCGTCATACGTCCCCTCCAACATTTGCGGAAGTGGCGTCTGATGGAGTCCTTGCTATAGTAGCCGGGTCTGATACCACAGCAACCACCTTAAGCTCTCTGTTTTTATCGCTTCTGAGAAATCCTCAAACGTACTACCGGCTCCAAGCCGAAGTCGACAGCTTTTTCCCTCCTGGCGAAGATCTACTTTCTACGGTTCATCACCCTCATATGAGTTACCTCAATGCCGTAATGCACGTGCTCAATTTTTTTTTCCCGATTCCTGACATCTGACACTAGTTTTCAGTAACGAAACTCTACGACTCTTCCCACCAGTTCTCAGTGGAAGTCAGCGTGGAGTACCGAGAGGCGGTGACGACAAGTTTGTCGGCCCTTAGTAAGTCTCAATTATATACCAACTCTAGCGAATCTAACATGCGGTTGCCGTAGCTTCTTACCCGAAGGCACCAATGCATTCGTTCATACTTATTCCCTTCATCGTGATCCTCGCAACTTTTCCCCGTCACCTGACACATTCTGGCCGGAGCGGTGGCTCAAGCCTGAAGAGCGCGCGGGGCTCCTATCATTTGATCCAAAGGGCCTTGATAAATTCCCAATCGTTCATGACACCAAGGCTTTTGTTCCGTTCTCCTTTGGTCCCATGCATTGCGTTGGCAAGCAACTCGCATATCAAGAATTGCGTATGGTAGTTTGTGCGATGATGTGCCGACTCAACTTCAGCTTTGCTCCGGGATACGACCCAGAGTCCTGGGAACGCGACTTCAAGGATTATTTTGTTTCCACGAAGGGGAGCTTGCAGGTTGTCTTATCTCCACGGAATCTAACTGCTTGAACGGCCTGAGAGTTGCACAGACGCGATGGTTATCTTACAGCGCTTAGTTATTGATCATGCATCCATCTAATCTCGTTATCACGGATGTATCTATCTAGTGACCAGTTCTTTTGTGATCGTATTGTATTTGTTCAGGAGCCGATCGAGGTCGTATCTTCAAATTTGCATCAGGAATCTGAAGGATGTTCAGGGCGTCCGGCGTCATGGATCAGACTCGTCAGGCCCACCGGTTGCACCCAAGTGTCCCAATATAAAAACCATAACACCGGATGAGGAAGCACCGAGACAAAATATTTCTATCTCCGCATCTCAGAATCCCTCACAAATCAGTAGATCATCCATCAAAATAAAAATAACTGAAAGCACATGGGAGCTTCGAGATATCCACCAATGGCCAATAAGACAATATTGTCGGGCACCGACGCGAGCAGAAAGAGTTAAATGTGTTTCATTCAATCTGCTCGATCATGCGTTGCTGACTTCACAAATAAAGACTATCAGCGATGGAGCTAATTTTGTGTTATCGCTTGGCAAGAGATATCGATCAGTCCCGTGCACTGCGGTGACTTTCGAAGGCGTTTGGACCCGCAGCGACTTGGCCAGGAGAATGAGATCTGAGAAGCAAATCTGGTTTCACGGCACCGGGAGAAGTGTATAAGGATGTTGTTCCTCGGAGAAGCAACGGAAGGGAAATCAGGTGCACGCAAGGACTGCAAAAGGATATAGGTTTCTCAGTGAATTGCGAGTCAAAGGCCCTGACCTGTTTGAATACCGGCCGGGGCGTTCCAGGGCACAGCAGAGTATCCCCTTGAGGGATGATGATGCTTGAGCGGCCGGAAGTTAACAGAAGTTACCAATGATCATAGTGCTGCGGAGCCTCGGACAAGCCTTGGGCACCGAATTTCAACCCGAACGTAAGAACATGATTTGAAGCAGACAAATACTCGATTTTACTATTTGATTGAACCTCGACTCGGAGCTGGTAATCAGTAGTCGGCTCAGCGGTCGACCGGTAACGCTGGTAGGCGTTCATGACGTTCTTGTAGATTGTGAATCAACCCAAAATGAACCTTCGAAAAGCCGCATAATCCCTCAGGCATCTCTGGGTGAGTTCTAGTACTACTACTATTGTAGTATAGCGATGTAACGCACTATCCCAAACTCGGCCAGTCAAATTGGAACTTTGGCAAAAACCCCATTGGCAACCGGCGCTCAAAATTGATATTCAAATGAGAGAGCTTGGGGCCGTGACCTTTGGAACCGCACGCGTAAGTTCCGGTATGAAAATTCGTCGTGTCGTCAGAGTTATTCGCAATTTGGCAAAAAGAGCGCAAGAGTCAGATCCATTGAATAGTCAACGGTAGTAGAGGGGGAAGAATCCATCTAAAGAAATGACTTTTCAAGGGCAGTTCTCCAGTATCTGTGTTCGAATAACGTTGCAAGTCGCGGACGCGGGATCCTCGGGCGAGGTGTACCCGAAGATTGAATAAATCGATTCTGGGAGTAAGGGGAAGAGAAATTACGGAGAGCAAAGTAAAAACGGTTGATTAATAGAAGCAATATCTGTGTCTAAACCTATTGAAGGAGTAAAATGGAACTAGTCCAAATCGTGATATCACAATGCCACGACGATCCAATTGAAGGATCCCGAAAGCTGGAAACAAAGTTAGTGACGGGTTGCGTTGTGCTGTCTGGCGCGATAGCGACAGTATGGGACGCTTGAGACGCAGATGGTGCTTGGGTTTCAGAGATGCAAGGGGTCCATAGGGAGACCAAGTCAAGTCAACCAAAAGATAGGCCCATTAGCAAGATGTCAGACGGATATTCTTGAGGAACGTGCGAGCTTTGGCACGCTGGGATGAAGATTACGAGTGTCACAGTGATTGGGAAAGGCTGCGGAAAGGCACACTTGATACACACATTGGCACACCGATGATACTGAAAGCTGAAACAAAAACATGCGCGACACCTGGGTGGCCGACCAACTGTCAGATGTGTGGGTGGTGATTCTGAATAACATGTGACGGTTCAAGTTCGTGCGCGTATAGTCGGCCGGGAAACGCGGTCACGTGCATGTAGGTCAGCTTATTCAATTCTGAACGTTAGTGCACGAGCTGGGCCATAGTACCAGAGTTACTTACAATCAGTGCTACCATGTCGCTTGTACTGGCTGTGAATGCTGGCTCATCGTCGCTAAAAATTTCACTCTTCCGTCGTACTGCGGATAATGCTGCAAATCCAGCATTACTCCTATCCTCGTCCACATCATCCATATTTGCCCCTCCGGCCAAGTTTAAGTTCAGTTTTGTCGCACCTCAACACAGGTCGTTGAACGAAGTAGTCGACTCAATCCATGATCATGCGTCGGCATTTAGGCACTTCCTGGATCGCCTCAAGGAAGAAGCGAGCATCGACCCGATTGACATTAAGCACATTGCACATCGTGTGGTGCATGGTGGCGACTACATAAGCCCTGTTATAATATCTGAAGAATCCTATCACCACATCAAAAGACTGTCCGACCTTGCTCCTTTGTACGTCCTCTCCCGACTTATATTCAGTCCCTCGTTACGAAGTCTGTAGACACAATGGGTCTGCTCTTTCCGTCATCGAGTCAGCCATTAAGGCCCTTCCGCACGCGAAATCCATCGCATTTTTTGATAGTGCATTCCACAAAGATCTTCCGATTCATGTAGCTACCTATGCGATCAATCAGCAAGTAGCGCAAGAGAGGGGGTTGAAGAAATACGGCTTCCATGGTTTAAGCTGTATGCACTCATCTGACCTTGCTAATATGTCACTAACACTATATCTTCCTAGACGCGTTCATCCTGCAGGCAGTAGCTGCGCATCTCAACAAGGTATCTGGTATCTTGTTGTTTGATTATGACCTTCTGACCTCCTCAGGCTCCGGATACCGTAAACATAATCGCTCTTCATATCGGTTCGGGGGCTTCCATGTGCGCCATCCGCAATGGCCAGTCCATCGATACAAGTATGGGGTTGACCCCACTCAGTGGACTGCCTGGAGCTACGCGCGCTGGTGATATAGACGGGAGCCTAATTTTCCACTACACCAGTCGGTCTCCAGCGCGTATGAGCCACGACCCTAGCATTTCAAAGGAAGTTAAAGTGACAGAAGTGCGATGATTTCCTTTTGTTTGAGAAATGGAAGCTCAAGCGCTCATTCTTGGCAGGCTGAGGACATCCTTAACTTCAAGTCAGGTTGGAAGGCACTCACCGGTACAGCCGACTTCAAAGAGATCACGGAGAAGGCAGATATGGGTACACTTTCTGATGCCACAGACCCAAATACGCTCGCATTCCGCATCATGTTAGATCGCATACTCCATTTTGCCGGGGCATATCACCTGGCTCTCCACGGAGATGTTGATGCTCTGGTTTTTGCAGGAGGCGTGGGAGAACGAAGCGCCGAGTTGAGACGTGCTGTCGGAGAAGCTGCCGCGTGCCTCGGGTTCGCGGTGATCGACGAGACGAAGAACGGTCAAGTGAATGATGAGGAAGGTATCATTGTAGATATCGGGAGCGGTGACGGGAGAAAGAGGATGCTAGTTTGTCACACTGATGAGCAGCTCGAAATGGCAAGAGAGTGTTCTCTGGCCAATGAATTCTGGGTTTAGCGAGGCAGGCGGTTGTCGGGCCGCACTATGTATACAAATAGGACTCCGTGTTTCAAAGTGGAACTGCAACTTGGGCTGAACGTTCTCCCAACACCAACTATCCAGAACGTATGATCATGAGTTAACTGAATATCGGCGGATCTAGCTTGTCGAAGTCTCGACTCTTGGCATTGAAGGCCCCAAAACAGTTCACGCACCAACTGACTGGCCACCCGCGGACTACGAGGCAGCGTCGAAAACCGATGTCAATGTAGGTGAACCAATGAAAGGAAAACAGTCGTTTACCCGCCGGGTCCCGATTCCCTAGACCCTGGCAATGAACAACTCTAACATGGCGGCAACACATGGTTCATACAGTGCAGCGTGCACTTGTCATCTGCAGATCATTGCCGTGGCCAGATACTACAGGACTGCAAGTGAATAAATACACGACAAGGTAAGGGGAAAAAAAACTAGTACTCTGTCGTACATGATGCATAAGTTCAATAGATTAAGGACCAGCGCTGGTCAATCGCAAAGCGCTAATCGAGGCTCACTTCCTCATCTTCGTCGTTCCCCACCACGTCATAGCTGCCTTCCATACCACGAACGGCAAATTCGGCATCAGAATACCTGGCTGGGGCAAGCTATGTTCGAGTGAACCTTGCTCCTCGACGTCAGTCAATCTTCTTTCGTAGTCTAGCTTTGCCAGCTGAGCCCGCTCGCGCGCCTTCGCCAGCTCCTCCTCGAGCTGCTGACTCTTCTTCTTTTCTGTTGCTTCTCTCTGACGCGCTTGTTCTGCTATGCTTGCGCTCTGCTCTTCCGATTGAGCAACTAGCTGTCTCAGCCGAGCAAGTTCTTCCTCCGTTTGCCTTCGGTGCTCCTCTTCCCGTTTCTTCTGTTCTTCAAGAAGTCTTGTGCGCTCTAATTCTTGCGCCTCCTTGGCAGCAGCGGCTTCGCGTTCTGCCTTTGCATGCGCCTCCTCCAGTTCTTTGCGTGCTCGTACGACTTCTTGCTCCGCTGCCTTCCGTTGTTCCTCCTCGCGATGCTTGGCCAACTTTTGTAGCTCCACGAGACGCGACTGGGTTTCTTCTTCAACTTTCTTGGCAGCGGCAGCCTCCTCCTGCTTGCGTGTCTCTTCGGCTTTTGCAGCCTCTTCCATCTCCAGCCGAGCACGCAGGAGCTCGTCTTCGAGCCGTTTCCTGTGATCTTCTTCCTCGCGAAGTTTGGCTTCATGCTTTTCTGCGAGCAGTTGTACGCGTGCATCTTCTTTGGCCTGCCTAGCCAATGCAGCTTCGCGCTCTCGGGCGGCGTGCGCCTCTTCCATCTCCCGTTGCAGTTGAGCAAGCTCTTCTTCGCGTTGTCGTGCTAGTTGTTGCTGTTCAAGGAGACGGATTCGGGCACCTTCGACCGCCTGCTTCGCTGCGATACTCTCGGCCTCTTTTTCTGCGTGGGACGCCTTGACTTCCTCTAATTCTTTCTCTCTCTGCGCAAATTCTTCTTGCAAACGTACTCGTTCCGCTTCCTCTCGAGCACGTTCCCTTTCCGCGGCTTCCATGGCGGACTTCTGTCGCTGCTGCTCAGCCTCTAGTGCTGCCAGCCTGTCCCGCTCTCGCTTGACTTCTTCGGCGTGAGCAATATCGGCAATCTCTTTTGCGATGCGTGCCTTCTCCATATCCTCCAGAAGACTTTGGAGATGCTTCTGGTGACTTTCTTCCGCTAGCAATCTAACCTTGCGTTCTTCTTCCAACTCACGAGCGCGCCGTTTGTCCTCTGCCTGCTTGGCAGCAAGAATCTCGCTCTTTCTTTGAGCATGCAGAGTTTCCTGTTCCTCTTTCTCAATCAGGACTTTGGCGACCTCGCCTTGAAGGCTCTCCATCGTCTGGAGTTGCTTCTGCTGCTCGGATTCCATCTGCATAATCAGAGCCTCGAGGCGCTCGCGCTCAGCAGCGAACTCGGCAGCCATGCGCTGAGAGTTTTGCTCGATGCGCAAGCATTCCTCCTGCTTCTTCTCGAGCTCTTCCTGAAGCTCTCTCCGTGTCTCCTCGTCTTTGGCGCGCATAGCGGTTTCCATCTCTGCTCTGAGATTACGGATCTCCTCTTTGTGGTTATCCGCTTGCTCGCCGAGGGCGCGCCTGAGCTCAGCGCCCGCAGCGGTCATTTCGATGGACTTGTGCTCGTTGACGATTTCCTGCTGGATGCGGAGCGTAGCGGCTTGGTTGTTGATGAGATAACGAAGGGTAGTATGTGCGGACTCGAGAGTGCCATCGTGACGGAGCATCCGAGCGCCCTTCTCAAGCACGGGCTTAAAGAATTTGTCCTTACTCGCAAGTTCAGCCTCTCTAGCTTCGCCAATCTCACGTTTCACCTCTGACCACATGTTGGTCACGATGATAACATTTTTGAGTGAGCTCTCTCCGCAAAGCTCGCGGAAGATCTTGAAGTTGCGCTTGGACGTGCCACCCATCCTGAAGTCAGAGATACGGTGCATGTAAATGACGCCAGCAAGCCTGGCGCCATGCTCGTAGCTGAAGAAACGCAGACACTTAGCCTAAGGAATTATATTGCAATGGAATCACGTACGTCTTGGAGAGATATGCGGCGATCATGGTCAAAATGTCCGTATCACTTCGGCTCGTATCATCAAAGCCGGGCGTATCGATCAGGGTCACGATACGCCCGCTAACGACAAATGGCCGTGAAGTTCGTACTTCGCTAGTGCAGCTCTCGAGGCCGCGACCGACGGGAAGGTTCGACCCGCTAGCCTTGTTGATAAACTGTGCCCGGCGAGAGTAAGCAACGCATAGTTCAGAACAAGGAGACTTTACATACCGTGGATTTACCACTACCGGTAGCGCCCATGACGCTAGAAGAGGCGTCAATATATCAACCTGAAGACACTGAAAGGTACGTACGCAATCCGGATTTCTCTGTTTAGATTCGCCATTGTTGTAGCTCAATAATTAGCGGATATCGATCTATGCAAGAGGAGGTACAGTTGTATACTGAGATGGGCAATACCGTGACGTTGTGCAGGCACTTTGGTTAATGTGAGGAACGCGAGTGTATAAATACGCCTGCAGGCCTTATCGATCCAGTACCCACTTCTTGCGGCGGCATGGTCTTCACGAGGCGCAGCCCCTGACGTGCCTAGCGAAATGTTGAGCCCTAACTCGTTGTTTGGAGCCTTACTTGGACGTGATCACCACTGAATGAATCTCGGCGTGTTGGTTTGGCCTGGAAGCAGCCTCGCTTCGTCCTCGCTGAGCGTAATGTTAGTCCATTCTTGAGTGGCGTCTCCGTGACTGCCCTTTAACATTGTCAATCGTTTGAAACAGCACCACAGCTTTAGGATTCTGATGCTGATCAGGGGTTTGTCGGCTACTTACACAGGGATGCATATGGGTATCTTTTTAACATAACCGCAGTCTATACTACGCTACAGGCAGGGAGTCAGGATTATCCGTATTGTCAGCCAAACGATCGCCAGGGCAACTAAATTGCGCCAGTCATACAGCACGCGCGTGGAGTTGCTCTTCTATTCTCCGAAGTTCTGCTTGATATTCGGACGCTAACGTTGTAGCCTCGTTTTGCACGCGTAAAAGCTCCGCCTCCATCTTCTCCGACTCCTCTTGGAGCTCCATTCGCGTCTCCTCATCTTGCGCCTGAGCGGCTTCCTCCAATTCTACTCGCAACTTCTCCAGTTCTTGGCGGTTCTTCTCCGCCTGCTCCATGAGTTCGCGGTTCAGCTGCGCATAAGCACTCGTCTGAGTGATGTCATTCATTGCTGCGAGTTCGCTTTGGATGCGCAAAGCTACGGGTTTTATGCCAGTTAGATTGTGAATGATCTTGTGCGCACTTTCTTGGTCATTCATATGGCGTAGGAGATGAGCGCCGTTCTCGAGGATTGGCTTGAAGAATATGTCTTTTTCGCGCAGTTCTTGTTCCCGCGCCAGGGTGTCTTCGGTTACTACGTCGCCCCACATGTTCGTAACCATGAGAACGTTCTTGTACGCCTCTTTACCGCACAACTCCTGAAACATGGTGAAATCACGTCTTGATGTACCTCCGACTCTGATATCGGAGATTCGGTGCATGTAGATGACACCAGACAGGAGCTTTCCTTGCGTGTGCCTGGAGGTCAACGTGTTAGTGCGCTAGGTTACCCAGATGATCTGACGGGTACGAACATAGTCTGCATGTAAGCAGCAATCATCTTCAGCACGTCTGTGTCGCTCTTCGTCGTATCATCAAAGCCAGGCGTATCGATGAGAACGACACGCTTTCCGTCTAGCATGAATGATTGGGACGTCTGTACTTCGTTTGTACAGCTCTCGAGCCCCATACCAACTCGCAAATTCGAGCCAGATGCGATGTTGATGAACTGTTCAAATCATTATCAGCGTTGATGACTGGAGCACAGGAAATGTCGGACCGTTGTCTTGCCACTGCCTGTGGCGCCCATTACACTGTGGGGCGGGTTAATCACCGCCCGACATATCGATGATGGCCACGCACGCTATGTAGATAGTCTTGGGCTCCTCAGGCTCTGAGCGTAGTGGTTCTGGCTCTGGAGTTCGTCCAAGCCTTAGTGACTCAACCTCAACCCGGCCTGCCTCTAGATTCGGGAGCTTCTTGCGTCTGGAAGGAATGAAGTAACTGATACATCCACCCATGCTGACGTCGAGGTTGGTGCTGTCTGGTTTTCGTGCACTATAGTGGTTTTGTAGATCGTAAACGCGTTGTTGTCGTGAACGAACGAAGCCTACAGTTCAACACGTGTCCAACGCATTGTCGGGCCTAGATGCATTGAGGACGCCATGCACATCGGTCAGCCTAAGATCATTATTTCTTGGCATGATTGTGATCGTGATAGTATAATGAGGTGCCATTGGGTGGGGACATGCATAGGGCGACGAACACATGTGACCCAAATGCGATGCATGACCCGGGCGCGATACTCGAAGCACGCATGGTCAATGCCCTACTGATACGAATGGACCTTGAACACATGATGATCGTGCATTTAGGGCGGACAACAAGAACGTCAAAGTGTCACTACGGCACTGCCAATGAGGGAATTACCGCAATATTCCATGGCGCCTCGCGAGAAGGACGTGATACATGCGGAAGTTCACCGACCCTTGGTGGTTCCTCGTGGCTACCGCAGCCGCATCAACTCCAGTGTCAGATCGCCGTGTGTGTTTGTAATAACTTTGTATTCGGTAACACAGCCAGCGTCGGCGGACCGCGTGTACATTTGCGGGCTCCCGTGTTGTTTTTCCGGGTTCTCGAAATTTTACAATATGGTGTGAGCTTGTCACTGAACGTGCCATAGTTAGCTTGGACCACCCACTTGCTGTACTTCCGCTGTCAATACTAGAACCACTACACGCTGGTGAATCCCACAGTTGTGACGAGCCGGCATGTCGAAGAAATGATCACGTGATGCTGCAGTGTCAAAAATGCGGCAGGAAAAAGTTGGACGTTCAGGGGATTGAACCCTGGACCTTATACAAATTGGATGCTTAGTGCAAAGCATACGCGCTACCACTGCGCTAAACGCCCTTGTTGTATCGATTGACCTCTTGAATTATGTTCTTGAAGTTTTTCGGACTCCAACTTTGTTTCCGTTGCCGCTGAGTTTTATTTGACGTGAAATTAAAATTAGACAAGTTAGGATGCTTTGTCATGCCGTCGGTCAAAAAAGTGGTTCGATGAGCATGTCATATAAAAGAGTTGACCCGAACTTCGTCAGTTTGCTCTCGGTACCTGCTGGTTAGGTCAAGTGACTTCCATAGCTAAAAATCGCCGTCTGGTTTTGATTTTTAGGCACTATGGATCTTGTTCTGCACCTCGCAGATGAATATCTCCTCGACAAAGTATGGGTGGGGCTGCTGCCTCCCAACGATCATCCGTCATATGCTTCCCTTTCCACGTCTGCAAACTTCACGTCAATCACGTATCTTCAGCAGTCTGCCTGGCCTCGTGATTACATCCCTAGACAAATTATTTCTCTCAGTGTAATCACCCTCATGGGCATTCACTGCCTTTATTTCTTGTTCGCGTGGCTCTCATACAAATTCATTTTCAACCATGAGATGATGCGCCATCCACGCTTCTTAGAGAACCAAGTCAAACAGGAGATACAATGCAGTCTACGAGCCTTTCCCTTCATGACCCTCCTTACCCTGCCTTGGTTCCAAGCAGAGGTAATGGGTTACTCGAAACTCTACGATAGTGTAGAAGAGTACGGTTGGACTTACTTGGCCCTATCAGTACCACTGTCAGTACTTTCTCTCTCAACCGCGACATCTACTCAACAATTATTATCAGCTTCTTGCTTTTCACCGACTATGGAATTTACTGGGTACACCGACTATTGCATCACCCGAGTATATATAAAACATTCCATAAGCCTCACCACAAGTGGATAAGTATGTTGCTCTGCTTTGCATGCCGTCGTCTTGCGCTTAAATATTTTGGTAGTACCGACCCCTTTTGCCTCTCATGCTTTCCACCCCGTGGACGGCTACCTCCAATCTGTCCCATATCATCTCTTCATATTTATATTCCCTCTTCACCGATGGTTATATCTTGGTCTCTTCGTTTTCGTCAATTTCTGGAGTATTTTCGTGGGTGCCCTGCATTACTCATATGGACTACTCTGACGTCAACGACACTAGATTCACGATTCCGATATGGTTACCGGACATGCCCTTGAAAAAGTGATAAATGGACCCGCCCATCACACACTCCATCATCTTTACTTTACGGTCAACTACGGTCAGGTACGCATTACCGTTTATGCTTTTCTCGTAGTTATCCCCTAATGCCTCTTTCCCCTCACGTTCAGTACTTCACGTGGGCAGATCGTGTCGGTGGTTCGTACCGCCAGCCCGAGTCGTCCCTCGATCCCATGCTGGAAATTAAGAAACAGTCATAAAGACGATGATGATGATCGCGGCGAACCTATTTTATCATCCAATTATAGACTGTCATCCACCCTTGCCCACTGATGGATCATCCTAATACATTTTTACGCTGCTTGTTTACTTTTTTCGTTGAACCACTTGGACTATCAATGGTGTATTCATTTGGGATTGCCTGATCCCCAACTCTAGTCCACTAAACAGACTGGTTTTATTGGCTATGAGTCGAGTTTGTTTCTTATATGTTGTCAATGTCTGCTTTCAACTCCACGGTTGCAAGTGCGTCTAAGATCCACTAACTATCCAGAAGAGAATATTATCAAATGTTGTGTATGCGATTGGTGCAACACTCCGCAGGTTTCAAGGGCATGTCAGTAACTACGAACACCAAGCCGATACGGACAACGGTGCGCATTTTGGTGTTGGGTGCGTTTGGAGGAATATTTCGCCCCTATCCCACGACGCTAAGACGGCGCCAGCTACCAGGTTCCATCATTCCTAAGGGCCGAGCGCTAAAGCCCAACGAGTATAGTCGGAGAAACACAACTGCCATGCTATTAATGCAACACATCGAGACATCGACATATGTATGTAGATAGCGTACTACTCAAGAGCAACTCAAACACTGTCCTGATGCTTCAGCGTCACCTACTTCTTTGGTCGCCTCTTGACCTCATCGTCCTTGCAAGCATGTAACATGAGTTTGTTGGGGTGTCCTGGCGTCATGCCGCTGTGGCCTTTAGACCAGTCATACGAGATAGCGTATGCAAATATCGTGCCGTTTCGGTTGAACGCAGTAGCACTGATTGGCCCAGGGGCGGCTTCGAAAGCTAGAAAAGTATAATCAGTACAACCAAAGAAGGCCGACAATCAGAGTGGGGATACTCTTTAGCCGTGTGCGGGCATCTTTGTCCCAGAAGTGGATAGTCCCATCAGAGCCTGGGTCGTCCGAGTTAGACCAACCACACGGAACTCGAGGCTTCGAGGCTTACCGCAAGTAGAGAAAATCCCGTGCACAGGATGGAAGGATATGTCATTGACGGCATATACGAGGGACTGGTCTTTGGCGTTCGGTGTCTGGTCTTTTCGATGGCACTTGAATGAAAAGTTGTTCCTGTACAACACGTGAATGAAGGTATGAGCGGAACCATGAAATACCCATACGAGCTGTCTTTTTCTTCGACGTATCTGTGAAATGATGAACGCCTGAAGACCAATCATCTGACAAAGTTACGCACTGGATGGCCACACGGCCTTCTACACTACCCACAGCAAACCCACTGCTGGCGGAGTTGGTGAAGCATGAAACAACGCGCGTTTGCCATTTCAGCGGGGAAATGATGGTCTAAATGGCATGCATAGGTCATTTTGAGGACATCGAGTGAACCTCGTTGACATACTTTATATGCTGTGTTTGGGTTTGTGAGATTGAAAATCTGGATATGGCGCTCGGCTGTGGCGACGACCATAAGCGGATATTGTACATCCATGCTGTAGCAGCGCTCAGGGAGTTGAACGGTGGCAACAGGAGTTGGCGATCGCATATCCCAATACTATGATCGTGGCGAGTGATAACGCAAGTTATGAGACATGTGCACATGTTACGAAGATTACAACAAGCTTACTTTTACGGTTTTATCCCAACTGCCAGTGGCCAGAATGCCACCCTGTGGTGTCTCGATCCACTTTACGACCTTCACAGGGGCATCATGCTGTGCCACTTGCTGTGATTGTCCATTCGTAATGTCAAACATGCGTGCAGCATTGTCCGCACCCCCCGAAATAACTTTGTTACCTTCCTAGAGGCCGAAGAGGCGATTCAGCGATATCAAATGGTGCCAAAGGAAGTACAAGTGCACCTTGTTCCAACACACGCTCAACACAGGTCCTTGGTGGCCAAACATTGCCTTGCCTTGAGTCTGCCCTCCAGCGCCAACTTCATACAAACGCACCTATCGATGCATAGATTACGCGTCAAACATAAGGTAGATAACTTCTGAAACTACTTACATTGTTGTCCCAGCTGCCTACCGCTAGATAATCTGCCGCAGGGGAGAAAGCTAGGGAAGAGATGGAGTCAGTCGGTGGCTCCGGAACTTCAATATCCTTCTCTGCGGGCGCCGCTGGTGTTGTCGACGCCGTGTTAGTTCCAAAGAATGACATGACGTCTCAAAACAGTTGAAACTGAGAAGATTGCGAAGGTGCAATTCGAATCTAAGGAGCAATTCAGTTTCAGTGCAAACAAGTTGGACGTAGCTGGCAAAGTGTGGCGTGGTAATTTTGGGTCACACTGTGATGAATGTCGGGGTCTTGGATGAAAGCATGGCGGGTTGGCGTAATGGTAACGCGCTAGTTTCCGGTTAGGGATCGCTAGAGATTCTGGGTTCGAGTCCCAGGCCTGTCGCTTTTTGTTTATTTCGAGAGCAGAGCTACATGAATTGGACAAATGATACAGGATGTACACATAAAACTCATGTCAGGCGCTGTTTTCAGTCAAATTTGGGAGTGTCAAATGTGCCTTCAGGATCTGAATATGCACAGTCATGTGTGGGTGCAAGTAAGGTAACCACTAGGTTACTCACCCGTTCCGTGAGTAAAGATATACTCCTTGTCTTTCGCGGCCATGTGCATGATGTGGGCTGCGTCCGCGTGAGCCCCTGTTGAAACCTTCGTATTGAAAAGAGCGCCAGCACGGATGGCGGCTGCGGCAACGTGATACCTAGACGTATCATTGCAAAGCATCATCTGTGGAAACCATATCAAAATTAGGGATAACTTATTGCTGCGAATGACGCACATCGAATGGCGAGGTTGTCGTTCCCTCCTCACGATACCCCTCGATGGTGATTCTGTCCACGGCAGGCCTACCGAATATCAAACCTTTCACCTCGATGGGGTAGCTATGGTAGTTAATGATGATATTCTTGTCCTTGGTGAAAAGCGTGTCAAAATCATCGGCGCTTAAGGCATGCGGATGGCTGCCATGGGGTCCCAGAATCATGAGGTCGGTAACGTTGATGATGCGCACTCGCAAAGCAGGAGCCATCTTGCGAAGGAGTGCAGCAGCCGCTATAACTTCGAATGTCACTTCGACACCGATACCAACGAGGACACTGATTACCTTAAGTCAGCCCAAGCTGCACCACTGCAAGGAAAAATGCTCACACATCCGGGTCCACGCCATCGTCGATGCTCGCAAATTTCCATATGGATGCGCCCGCAATACAGTGCTGTCAGACTTTAAACAAAATGCAAGCAAAAATTAGGAGGGATCACTTCACCTTGTTCGCCTCCTCAGGACTCAGCCAGACGGGCGTGGGCTGCTTGCTACCAACCATCAAGTTCACATAGTTCTTCGCCCTCAAGCAATGGGCCACTGTGGACAAGAAACAATTCGCATCAGGCGGCAAGTACACGCGCGCCAGCGCCGGCTTTAAATTGAGAACGGAACCAATGAAAGACGGGTTCTGATGAGAGAAACCATTATGCTCCTGACGTGCCCAGGTGGATGTCTCCAGATAATTCACGGAACCAACATCGTGCCTCCAATTAGTCTCGTGGGCCTGGGGAGGAAGATATGAGTCGCGTTAGTTAGCCCACTTAGTACATCAACGGACCATCTTCGTGAACTTGCTATACTGCACCATCATGGTGTGTACAATGCCAAGGAAGGCCTCATAGCTCGGGAAGAGCGCAGTCCTGCCAGTAAGTGTGTACCCTTGCAACATGCCTTGGCAGGTATGCTCAGACAAGATTTCGATGACGCGCCCGCCCTGAGCGCGGGAAGCAACGTCCCACTGGAGATTGCGTCCGGTGACATCAAATACAGCATCTAGCTTGTTAGACACGAGCTCATCAGGAGAGAAAATCCGGAAAGTGGTTGGGTTCCTACAAGAGGGTGAATAAGAGCCAAATACGTAATTGAAAAACATACTCCTTAATCGTATCCCTCAACAGGGTTCCGACTACCTTCATGCAACTTGCCTGCGATCCCTGTTGAACTCCAAGACGAGTCCATTCTGAAATTCGAATGGGGTGGAAGGTGGCATATGCTTCCTTCCTGCAACCAAGCTTTTTGTCCTTCTTGTCAGGGATGATGCTTAGCAATTCTTCAGCAGGTACACCCTCCACCACCCCTCTGCCGCCTTTAGTAACGAAAAGTTCATGAGGTCCATAGCTTTGAAGCCAACCCTGGAGGGCTTGAAGCTCCTCCTGTGACGTTTTGGCCTGTGGAAGTGGGACTTGGTGTGAGTGGAATGACCCTTCGATGAACTCTCCATGCATCATCCTGGGACAGGTCCAACCCTTTGGGGTACGGAGGATCAAAACAGGCCAGCGCGGCTTCACAATGGGGTGTCCTGAGCGAGCTGCGTGTTGAATACGGGAGATTTTAGCCAAGGCCCATTCCATAGACGCAGCCAGATCTAGATCAATATGTTCCAAGTCACTGACAATGCGGACCATATAACCATAACCGCTGAAATGAATACGTCAGACTTGAAGAATGCATGCCGTAGTTCGCCCCAGACCTGAACAGGGCTATGAGCTCTTTGTCGTCCATGCATCCGTAAATGGTACGTTCGGAGATCTTGAACCCATTCACATGCACAATAGGGAGAACCGCGCCAGATTCAGCAGGATCGATGTACTTGTACCCATGCCAAGCAGTGGCGGTCGGACCGGTTTCCGCCTCGCCATCACCAACAACACAGGTAACAACAAGATGAGGGTTATCCATGACAGCGCCAAACGCAACGCTGAGAGCGTAGCCAAGTTCACCACCTTCATGGATGGATCCGGGGGTTTCGGCGTTGATATGGCTGGTAAAAATGATGAGATAATAAGACCAAGCCAGTAGCAGAAATGTTCAAGTTGGCGAACCTTGGAAAACCTCCAGGGGCACTAAATTTTGTAATGAGCCTTGTCAAGCCAGCACGATCACGCGTGTAAGGCTCCCAAAAGGGAGACAACGAATCTTCGAGCCATAAGGACGCCAAGACAGCAGGTGCTCCGTGACCTGAAAGAAAGAGTTAACAACTGTGTTATGACAATCACGTGATGCACGAATATATGCGCATTTACGATCATGATGGTGTGCATGTATGCGCATTGCATAACATACGTTGTGGCTAGGAGCAAGGTAAGGACATTTGACTTGCCTGGGCCGACCACCAGCAAGGAGTCGAGATCGGTCTTCTTAATGATCCTGTTGAGATGCGCATATACCAAGACTAGGCCGGGGCAAGTACCCCAGTGACCAAGAAGCCTCGGTTTGATGTCATCAAAAGTTAACTGGCGCTCAAGCAGGATATTATCCTTCAAGAAAATCATCGCTATCGACTTCATTGAATAGTTTTTTTTTACGCGCTGAGGGTATTGACATACCAGCAGCAATGTAGTTGGCTGCTCGCCTGAACTTTTGAATCGCACGGAGCTCGGACTCCGTAAGGACATTGTTCGTGTTAAGTTGAAGAGCATAGCCGCAAATCGAGTCAGGGAGATGAGAGGGGTCTGGGGGAGGGTTTGGCTGGGCAATTATCTGGCCAGGCATTGTATCCGACGTAGATACTGACAACTTGAACGGGCTCTAGGTGTGTGGATTTCTGAGTCTATTGTTTACACAACTTGAAGTAGTTCTTGGTCGTGGTTGTGAACGAAGGTGCGTTCTCTCCATCTACCTGTATTATAAGGAGCAATTTAAAGGGGCTCCCTGAATGGGAATTTGACGCAATGGTTGCTTCATCGTTTGCTCTGACTCGGAATCTCATTCGAAAGCTACCATAGGCCTCAAGGCTAGATACTCTTCCGCGATGTCGATTTTGTTGTTGGATTCATTCTCGCTAGTCGACTTAGCAGTTCTACAGCGAGACCTTGCTGATAGGGGCTGCCTAAACGTTTTGGAAATAAATATTGCCTCTCCTGCTCGGGCCTCTCCGACACGCCGGAGCCCAGTGGCGTACCTGAAAGCTGCAAATAAGCCATCGTACGCCATCTCTGGCCCTAATCTCTCTCGTAAAGGGCAGACATGGGTCATAGGCTCACCACCGAAACAAGAATGTCCTTGTTTATTCTGTCAGCAACTTGAACATCGAAGGTTTCCATAAACATTGTCCCACAAACTACTAAATCTACATATAAAGTACATCTTCAAAAAACGAGGCATGTGTTTATATTAGCGTGATCGGTGATCTGGATGTGACGCGAGGTAAATATACTAGTAGATTAGATGTAAAAGCAACAATGTCCTCTCAAACTTCGAGTGATTCTGCGTGACATGAGTGACCTTCTAACAATATAGATAGGAAAGCGGACTACTCACGGAACGGGTGTTTGTTCACAATGCACAGGTGCTCTGCGAGTATTATTCAAGGTCCTTACGCCCCCTCGAATGAATGAAGTCGGTCTGCCAGGAATGCGGTCCATTTTATCGAACAATTAAGACCGTATGCTCCAAGTATATCCGCGACTGCTTCAGTGAAAGTTGTTGTAGCAATTCAGCAAGGCAAAATTTCTTGCTCACCTCGATAACCTAGAAACCTGAAAGAAATTTGAGGGTAAAACAGAGATTTTTGGTTTTTGAAGACGAGACTTCCGCAGATGCCTTGTGGGATGACTGCAATGCGCATCAGGCATTTTATACTTCACACAGAGAGAAGGTGGATGGCATGGACAAGATATTAAATCATGCACTATGCAAGCAGCTATGTGCGGTGGCTGGCTTGCTGCTAACGATGTCAACATAGAATGAAGGCAAGAGAAAGCCAAACCTTCTGTGAGACGCCTCTGAGACTTTTTTAATGATCACAGTAATTTGGCCACCCGTTCGACCTGGCTGTTGCTCCTTCGATTTAAGGCAGGTGCACAGTTGTAATAATACCTCCTCCGATACGGGGAGCATCCGAATCGTAATACAGGAGAGCAATGTCTAACTCTCAACCGAAATTAGGGATATCAGGCTCCTTGCGTTATCGGCCGCGGCCACACTAGGCGCTCGCCTATGCCTGCCCATGCTGGGAAAACGAAAGTTTGCAATGAATGCAACGTGAAAAATCGGTCCGTAAAACCTCCATGCAGATCAGACCAGACCAACCCGCCAGGTTCGAAATTCGCGCGTCAGACGAGAATGATGCCAACGTTATCCTGGCGGGCCAAATATAGCATGCCAGACCAAAAGATTGGCCTGCCACCAAATTAATAGGGCCAATCCACAATATGGCATGTGGCAAGCACCGACAGCCAGGAGTCTTGAGGAACGCATACAGGCCTCCGTATCAGGGTTCGCATCACCCACTCTGAGGACCACGACCTGAAACATCGGATATGAGGGATGGCATTACTGGATGGTTGTCAAGCTGTGGCTATAGATCTAATCGCATCAGCACAGGAATGACTGCCATCATAGATATAATACAAATGTCTGCCTCACCCTTGAGTCCTAGTGAATCTGCCAGTGAACCCGCGGTGTGAGCTGTGTGATGAGAAATGGTAATAGCAACACATAACAAAGTACTTACGATCGAGCACACTACTCATCTATATACAGCTACTGAGTCCCGAGACTCAAAGAGCTCAGCGCTCACCGGAGCCAGAAGGCTTGGCAGAACACAATGCGTTATGCATAGCTCAGGCCTCGATTTCATGCCCCTCATCACACACATCTATAGCACGTGTTCACATTGATGTAGTGCAGCGTGGATTCAGCGAGGACCGTTCTCAGAATCCACATAAGTCAGACAAGGCCGTTGTCTTGAACGCGCAATACGCCGTCCTCTGTCCTCTCCATACGCATTGATCATGACTGAAGCACTGAGCATCAGAATAGCGTATGCGTTGGCCGTTTCCCAATAATTTCTTCCACTCAGTCTCATATTTGCAGTGTCATGGGACCCTCTGGAAGTGGCAAGACGACATGTGCGTCAGCAACAGGGAGAACTGTTTCAGGGAAACCACTGATCGACCACTCTCAGTCATCAATGAGGCCAGCGGATCTGACTTTGCAATTGGAAAAGGTCTCGAGAGTTGCACCGGTGAAGTGCAAGCAACGAAACCATTCAAACTTAACGGCCGGGAAGTGACATTGATTGACACTCCCGGCTTCGACGACACCAGCCGCAGTGATACAGACATCTTAGCGATGATAGGAGCATACCTCTCGCAGACGTCTGTCTTCCTTATGATGCTTTTTCTTGTTCTGACCCAAATGATACAGATATGAGCACGGTGCCAAACTTGCTGGTATCATTTACATGCACCGCATATCAGATTTCCGGATGGGAGGGACAAACAAACGGAATTTCAAGATGTTCCGAGAACTCTGTGGGGAGTCCACTCTGCGAAATGTGTTGATCGTGACGAACATGTGGAGCGAAGTTGCTTCTGACCTTGGGGAGGTGAGGGAGAAGGAGCTAGAGAGTAATTTTTTCAAAGGAATCTTCGACAAGGGTGCGCGGATGTTGAGGCATGAAGGCACGCGAGAATCGACGCACCGCATCCTACGACACCTGATCAATAACCAACCCGCCACGCTCCTCATTCAAAGGGAGCTCGTGAAAGAGCACAAGAATATCATCCAGACCTCTGCAGGATCTGAGCTGACGCGAGTTCTGAATGAGCAACGAGAACACCACGAAGAGGTAGTGGCTCAGTTGCGCAAGGACATGGAGGCAGCGATCCGTGATAAGGACCACGAAACGAGGGAGGAACTTAAGGAGGAGATACGGACCAAGCACGAGCAGATCTTGAAGTTGCAAGGCGAAAACGAGCGGCTAGAGGCAGAGTTCAAAGCCGCCAAGGAGAGGCTTGAGGTTCGGATCAACGCAATGGAAGAGAAACATCACGAGCAAGAACAGACTGTAGACGCCTTGAAAGAACAGCTGGAGACGGAGAGAGAAAATAGGGAAAAGCTGGACATCGAACAGGAACAGAAGGAACAGCGATTGCGTCGCCTGGAAGAGGACAATGCAAAAGCTCAGGAACTGGAGCGCCTGAATAACGTCTACGAATTGGATAGACTTGCCGCTGTTCGTGCTGAACTCCAGGAAGAGCTTCGTAAGGAAGAGCAGCAGAGCATGAAGGAGCCACATGAAGGAGGCGGCGGGCTAATGGAGGATGTGATCACCTGGGTGAAGTCGTGGTGGTCATGATGTGAACCGTGACAATATTTGTATTTATTGTAATTGTAGTGCTACCGACTAAGTCTTACCTCTGATGTTCATCCATTTCATTGACAAGTACATTTCGCACCTTGGGTATTGTTAATAAGTCATGGTCCACGTCCGCATCAACGAGCGCGAAGCTAACCCGAACCCACACGTTAATTTCATCTCCGTTCTGCCTATGGTCGATGCCACCCTCGAGGATGACGCTCGGCAACTTATGCGGGCGCTGGCTGCGCAGGTGAGGCCTGTCATGAAGGCTCACGGTTTCACCGTGAACAGCTTGGAAGAGGTGCGTACATAAATGCTTCCAGTGTCCCTAGGTTGGGTATACTACGTTGAGACTGTCTAGTACGAGTATAACAGAGTGTTCGCAGGGCGGAACTGGAACAATGGAGAGACAATTGGTACGCACACTACTACGGAACGAACTTAGGGTGCTCTACTGAGGGTGTCAATGCAGAGCTGGTTCTAAAATCTGCTAGCGGTTCATTTGTACCAATCCACTGGCTCATGAGCACATTATGCCATGAAGTGAGTCTTCCTTTGCAACCTGTGTGACAAGTTGATTGACATTGGGCGTGTTTGTCGCGTTAGCTCGCCCACATAAAGGTCAGTCATACCGACTTGCAACTATTCGATACCCTGACACGCGATGCAGCACATGAATCACGGACCTGCTTTCCAAGCCCTCTGGCAACAGCTACGCAATGACGTCCGTACCCTCCAAAACAGGGAATATTATGGCGACGGTACGCCCCACAACCAAGCTTCTCTTAAATACACCTTATAAGTCCCCAGGCTATTGGTCTTCAGGGACCAGATTAGCAGATTCCGCGAAAATAGCTGGCCAAGGCATTGAAATGGGAGACCTTCCTGAATACATGGTCGGTCGTCCTCCATCTTTCTCATCTATGTCTCTCAGATGGTGCAAACAGTGTGGTGGTGCTCACTCACGCACCCGACCTGCCTCCTACCAACGACGTAGAAGGATTGCTAAATTTAGTGGGCCCTCTGTGCACACAGGTGCCCAATCCGAAAAGAAACGCAAGGCTGGCTCCAGGATTAACAACGCTAATGCATTCGGTTCAGGTGGAAAGGCACTGAACGATGGTATCATTGGCGAGAAGAAAGAAGCCGGAACGGGATTTAGGAAGAAAGCTGGAAGGTATATGTTTCGGCTTTCAAATAGCAGGGGCTCATGCATCATGGTTGGTTAGTAAACGCGCCCGGGAAGAACGTGCACTTGCTGCCGAGAGACGTATGGAGACGCTCAAAGGTTGGTTTTGTCTTTCCCCCATTTCGTCAGGTGATTCACTTTCTCCTTCGGTTGCATTCGTCTCTTCAGCGTCAGCATCCACTTCGCGCCTGAAGACTGAACCTACAACAGATTCCGAATCCGAATCCGATGCTGATGCCGAATCACTAGAAACAGATCAAGACCGTCGCAGAACCATGCTTGAATCCGTCGGAGGACAAGAGCTTGACGATATGAAAGCAACTAGATATGACTTCTCAGATGACTTCAGACTTCCCGGAGAAACTGGCGGTAATACATGCAGCATTCACAAAATTGAACGTCCCGGAGCTGCTGTGTCGATAGACGCGCAGCCCGGTTCATCGACCCGACCCGGCAAGCATCGACGTGTGGAGGACGATGAGGTATCTGTCACCAAGAAATTACGGATTTCTGGTGCTCCTAGACCTGGCAAGACAGAAGATCAGCCGGATGGCTGGAACTGTCTCGTATGTACCCTGTACGTCTTCTTTGAGATGAGGTTCAGGTCGATGGAATTAATTTGGTTATGTCATCAGAGCCAATGAGCCAGAACACCTAGCCTGTTCTGCCTGCAGCACCCCCAGAGGAGACCCTCTCTGGGTGGGCAGAGGTTCATGAAAATCGAACGTGGACTACCACACAAGTATACCCAATGGTGCCATTTTTTTGTGACACTAGAGTGATTAGATGCGTGATTTACAACGGACAAAGTTCGGGGTGAGATGACAAGTACTACGTTATGAAAAGCGTGCAGTGTTCAACGATGGAATGTAATGAACGATCAAAACAGTCCGTGAATGGAAAGGTATGACACAAGGCTAGTAAGTAACAAAACAAATAATATATTGTATGCAAATAATCCTTATACGATCCATGTGCCAACGACCAGAGTGATCAGCATCGAAATAGCTACCCCTACTCCCGGAACGCTCCGAGAGGCAGCACTACTCCACCCAGGGGGGACACCTAAAGTAACTGACGGTTGCGAGATGTGAGATGTTGATGTCACCACTGCACCGTTCGAATTTGTAACAAATAGTGTATATACACCAGTCACCTGAGGGAGGGCGGTGGCGTTAACGGCAAGTGTCCCCATGAGGGGACTGTACGTGCTCGTCGCGAGCTCGGATTGCACAATCTCGCCATAGACGGCTGGAACCGACGTGTTAAATACGTATGACGGCGTCGTGTAAGTGGGTGTGGAGAGTACGAAATTGGGTAGAGTGGTAGCAATCGTCGCAGAAAGTGAGGATTCGACGACTGAAAAAGGCTGTACAGGTGCTGAAGCGTTGTTGCAGGGATATAACCCAATCATCGGGGGCTCCTGGTAGTCGATTCCATAACTACATGGAAAAACTGATGAACACTGCCTGGAAAGATTTCAAGAAGTTGAACATACCTCCATATTGAGTAGACAGTTCGCAAAAACGGAGTTCCTGGAAGCGATTAGTAATATGAAGCGACGCGGAAGTATACCGTAGACTGATGTACCTAATAGCCAGTCGACTCCATCGGCACTGGGAGGTGCAGCTTTAGGCCACGATAAACAGAGGTCCGGATTCCCCTCAGCTGGACCAATAATGTAATCGGTAGGTTCCAAAACAAATGTAGTTCCATCCCTGGAAGAAAGGTTTTAGCAGATAAGCGGGCTATTTAATCAACCGCTAGTCACCCAAAGCTGAAGGACATGGTTGCTGAAGAGTCACAAGGTATGGCCCATTGGCCACCTTCAGTATCATTGCTTTGTCAACTCCAGTAGTATCCAGGATAACATTGACTTACTCTCATCGACTAGGCGGCTACTGGGAAACGAACTGTACAATCGCGTTACCTAGGAGAATATGAAGATTAGTCGGTTGATAAGAAGGTTGAGAGCTAACATCTTGATATGGGCCATACAATCCTGGAGTGCCGCTATGGCAGAGTTAAGCGCGCACGCGGATAGATTGTTGATCACTTACATGTCCAAAAGAGCAATCGATGAATTGTCACTTGGGCCAGGGTAGGTCGGTTGAGGAGTGTATTGAGTTCCATTGACCTTGCAAAAAAAAAAATTAGTATCGTCCCATACTATAATTGCAAGATCAAGAGCCTCACCGTGAAACTACTCATACGAATTGCCCAATAGAAATAGCCAGATGTATTGGTTTTCGTACCGACCGGAGAGAACGGTACGACCTCATTCCATACAACCTGGCTAACGTTGTGCACGACAGATACATCAATGGCCCCTGTTTAACACAAAGACATGAGTATCGTAAACCAGGCGCCCAGGAGAGACTCACCGAGGGCAAACGTTCCAGTTGCATTCCTTGTAAGACTCAGTCCAAAAATAGGATAGTTAAGTATGCCTTGCTGAGCCAAGGTCGAAAAAAACGGCGTGGCTAGAACGGACCAGATCTGTGAGGCTGGCACTCACAATGTTGCGCAACTAACATACCGTTTACAGCACTCGCGGATATCTCTGACTGTCGCGAGAATCCTAAGCCGAGGATACCGCTGACCTCGCTGACTAGCGTAATATTAGAATCCGTTACAACGCCTGTGAATATGTGAGCGTGGAGTGTTTCCAGTCTGAAGCCTATCCTTACCAAATGCCTGATTTGCGACCGTTACGTTTGCAACTTCTACAGTCTCTCTGGCAACGAACCCGGATGCACCTTGTCACACCATCAGCATCGGAGTGGTTTGAACGGATTGTCGCACATACCAGTCCCATCAGCGTAGTCAACGGTGAAAGTGGTCTCGTTATTGTTGATGGACACGAACGTGGGACTGTCATAAGTGAGAGGGTATCTTGGCACAGACATGCATGTGCTGTTGGTACAATCCGTGGAAGTAAGCCAGAAGTCGGCAGAACCTGCAACGCGCTTTTCATATGGAGTTTTATTGTTAAAGAAGCGCGCGTCATACCTGTGTCGAGGGCAGCTCGGAAGCTTATTTGACCAGCTTGGAGAACAACGTAGTATGTCCTGACACGATGATCCGGTGAGAAAGGTGAATATTTGAGATGTAAAGACTCACCCGTCAGCAGCGATGGATACTGGCGAGATTCCGAAGGCATTGAGCGCAGTTGAGTTTGACGCCTGACCAGCAAGCAAGGTAGGTCCATCCTGCAAGGATGTACTTGGAAGATTATAGGTACTTGCCGCGAGAGCATCTTTGAACTGCAGGGCAAAGTTCAGAACAAGAAACAGGACGACCGTCGCCAACCGGTTCATTATGCGCTCTTCAAAGGAACCTGAGTCTACCAGGGCAACATTCGAGCACTATAAAAGCTCGAGTGGGAAAGAAGAAGGGCCAAGGAAAGAACCTTGGGTGTTTGAACTTTGTCACGACGACGAAATGATTAGGCTGGACCAGACCCGGGCGGCATGCCGTTGTGGCTTGACGCTACACGTCACATGTTCACTACAGAGAGTAGAAAAACAGTTATTCAGACATACACATAACTACACAGAGTAATACATCTACATCCGAAAGAAATCGAAGAGTCATAAGAGGTGACAGAAAGAGGCTATAGAGTAAAAGAGACTAGAGGTAATGAGCGTCACAGTGGTATCACAAGAATGGATAGAACATATAAAGATGAATGTCTTAAAGATAGGTAGAATAGGACCATCATGTCACCGCTTGGCAAACACCTTTTTCAGTAGCGCTAGAACCTTCGGTACGTTCAGCTGAACGTACTCTAAATCCAGCAAGTGTTTGTTGTCTTTTTGCTGTTGACAACGTAAATATTGATGGTGTGCATAAAAGAGGAACCAACCTTTTCCAATAGGTCGTCAATCTTTAGATCCATTTCAAGAATGGCTTTCTCCCGACCCTTGTAGTGCAATGAAATGATGAACGTCCCAGGCGTGGGTGATGTTATGTTGAAGTAAATGTTGGGTCGACTGAAAGCAGGTCAGAACACCATATAAGAAGGAATCGGGAAAGTACGCACCGGTTATCAGGAACGTTACTCTCCACGATGATCCCTTCCTTCTCGAGTTGCGCATGGGTAAAGCGATATGGACCAAGAACCGCCGATTTCGATGGCTTCCTCTCTTTGCCTCCGACCGTGACGACACCCACTCCAGTCGTACTGCCCTTGTCTTTCGACGCAGTCAAACGGACATTCTGGAGATATGCCTTGTATTGCTCAAGCTGCGAGCGCAGGTAAGCATTGTGGTCGCAGATCGTTTTGTAAACCGCTTCCAACGACTTCGTTTCTAATACCACCTTCTCCCGCAGATTACCAAGGTGAGCAAGCTCAGCAGCAACCTCATCCTGCATGAGCTTATAGCCGTCTGCCGCCTCGATGATATTTTGCTCCTCCAATTCACGAAGCATCTCCTTGACTTTAATGCCTTTGCGCACAAGCGTTGCATCCTTCGTCGTAGCCGCTCGTTCAGCAATCGCAGCCAGGTTGTACGGCCGCTTCTCGGCAGTGTGGGGTATAGAACGGATGAGTTGTACAAGAATAGACTTGGTTTCCATGTACAGCATGTCGCTCGTTGATACCGAGTCCATCAGAGCACTCTGGATATCCTGTACAGGTGTTTCCCAGCGGCTGTACAGATTCAGCTCGATAGCACGGTTCTCCTTTCGTGGAACTTGTGATGGAGCGGGTCCGAGTTCATCAGTTAAGATACGTAAATGCTGCTTGTCGTTTGGGGACTGGAGCACAGCCGCATCAGAAACCAGTAGAAGGGCAAGTAAGGTATACTTACGAGAGTCTCCACATGCTGTAAAATCAAAGAGTGGGTGTTGTACAGCTCGTTCATGGTTATGTGGATCATGAGGTCTTTCTTGGATAGAGCCATGTATTGGTCCATCTAAGATACAACGTTGGTCGCCATGAATGATGAGATATGATCGGACGTACTTCAAGAGTGTCATAGAAATCCCCGACCTCGCAAAGACTGTTAAGGAATTGGTTGATCCGTGCTTTATTATTTTCTACAAATGGGTTCAGAGTGATCATGTAGATCTCCTTCGCATACGAGGGCTTGTTTGCAAGGTTCTGCAGCATCTTCGCAATCTAATGAGGTAATTTGCTAGCTAAGAGTATGAAAACGGAAGGGCTAATACGGGTACGTACCAGGGTCAGCGTTCGGCGAGGGTGTTTAGCTGGGACGCCTTCAACGAGCATGTATGCTTGGGGGGTGACAATAGCAGGATTGATGAACCGTAGAAAGAAGAAGCCTCCTATCAATGAGCAAATAGCGTAATCAGTTGCCTCGGGATACTTGCGCTGTGACACACCAGAGGGTTAGTGTCAAATGAAGGGAAGATGAAAGTGAACCGACCCGAGTCAAACTTCGGATCTGCTTGCAGATCCATCGAATACCGTACGGCACACTTTCCATACTTTCTATTATGGTTACGAGGAAGCTATTCGCGATTTCCATTAGCATAGTAAGTCGTGGTGCAATGATAGCTTGAACATCGGCGTTCTCGGCGGCGACCTCTGGGGGTACTCCGCGGGGTAGATTGGGCGGTAGTGTACCTGTTTCTTCTTCTATTTGGTTTATCATTTGCTCGTACACCTGTGTGCTGGTTAGAGATCTCGACATGCCTCTCGGCACCAGTTATGGCTCACCTTTACAGGATTAATTTCAAGGTTCAAGTCTTTGTGTTCTATCAAGCTATTGATGCGTTCTGCCAGTACCCCCTTGAGATAACTTTGCCCAGGACCTCGTCGGGTGTAAGTAGTCATCATTCGGGACACAGGAGTGTTAGCACGCAGTAGCGACCCAAACTCGGTTGCTGTCTCAAATTGCGCAGACAACACTGACTGGAACATCGTTAGAAGAAGATGCTCCTCACGACTCTCGTATTGGTTTCCATATAGCGTGAACATAACCGTCTGCAAGAGTGTGTCGATCTCTGACAAGCTGACAAGCCGACATAGTGCAGCAATATGACGGGGTTCAGATTGGAGAAGGAAGAATAGGTTGGAGTATTGTTGCAATTTTCGATCATCGGGATAATGGCCTTCGGTTGGATCAACTTCTTCTAGCGTCCGTTCCACTTCACGTTGCTAGCCCATATAGGTGAGCCGAAATATAGAATTTAACACAGCATCAGAACACGGACCTCATCAGCGGCCATACGATTCTGAATAAGGAGAGCGATGCGAGAGTCAAGGTAACGGACGTCACGCTCGAGCACAAAATTTTTCTTGGACTGGGCGGATATTTTGCCCTTGAGGTCACGAAGACGTTTTTGTGCTGTGTTACAAAGCCTTCGAAATAAGGACATGTAAGTTATAATTTGGACGCACCTCTAGCCAGGTCATCCTCCACTTCAACATCCTGCTCTGCAGCCATGCTGAAAAGGGCGGTAACACTATAGCGATTTGTATTCCTGTTCGTGAGCCTCCTCCCCATAACTGCGCCAGGGGAGGTTGGTTGATCGCCATAAGACATGATGAGTTGAGAAGAAGGCTGTTGATCTTTGGATCGTGAAGCGAGGGCCTATATAGATTTTGAAGTCTGCCCTACAGGTGTGGAGAGATTTCCTAGATTCCTAAGCTAGCACCGGCGCAGCCTGGCAACAAAAACAAGAGGCCTGTTGGATATCGAATTTTGTGGGTATCAACAAAAGAAAGAAAGAAAGAAAGAAAGAAAAAGAGGAAGAAGGCGGAGGAAGAAGGCAATGCGGGGAGATGACGAAGAAGACAATATATCCGCCAATGCGGCGCGTAACACAACTGCAGCTGTGGCAAGACCAACGAAACGCTGAGAATATCTATGTAGCAGGTGGCGTGAAATTACCATAATCGTATCAAAGTCGAATCAAACTAATCAACAAATTGAAGCTTGGTGAGTAACATCCAACCACCTTGTCTGGTTAGTACATTCACAATCCTCATAGTCCGTTTCACATCTTTTGCTGATTTAGAACAACACGTTTCACATCAGTCACTGATCTGTGTTACACCCAAAATATTCCCTCAGTGCCTTACACAGATTCAGGTGACTGATGGGTAGTCCATTACCCGGGTCTTTAAGCTCAAGTCCGGCGCGCTCAATTGAGCGTTGAGAATTGATCGGCGTCTTACTCAATTTCATTGCCGCGTTAAATCGTAAGCGATTATAACTCACAAAGCCCAAAATTTAGCCGCATCGATATTCGGCCGCGGGTAAGCTTGTCACTCTTCTATAGCGAGTTTGATTCATGAAAATGGCATGTCATTCCTCGACTGCCGAGGATAGTTCAATTACAACTATGCCTCGTCACTCGGGATTCACGAAAATAGCCTGGTTCTCCTGGCATACCATACCTAGACGGTTCTTGGGATTATGTCCAGCACATTCCGCTTCGCCGCCCAGCAGTAGTGGACCCACAGGTTGTCAATGTGTCATCACAATGGGGAAACGCGGAGCATCCTCGTGGCTCTTCGTGGTCAATAAATGATTGATGATCGTATGTGAATGGAGCCACGCTGGCATTTCTTCGCGGGAAGTCAAGTTTGGCAATTCGCTGCGCTGACACTGGAAGTAAAACTCATTCTCGCTGGCCCTCGCACATCTATGACGATTTCCCAAACGCGGCAAATTGGTTGCTGCAAGGTGATTGTGACAAGCGTATACTTATCCGCTCTTGATTATGAGCCCTTTCTTTAATCTGACGTCCCCCGAATATCGTTTTGGGGTTATCGCCGCGGACCGTTGCGTGCACTTTAACATAGTCCGTTTTGAAATTTATAATGATAAGAGTTCTCATATTCCTTTCTGGTGCAGTTTTGGTCGTGACCCAGGGTGAAATCGAACATGACCAGACCATGTCAGTTCTCGCACAGCGATGACGCCGCCTTGCCTTCATCCCCGTGACAACATGCAATCGCATTGCCCAGAAGCCACAAAGTCGTCGCTAGAGGTAGGGACGTTTGGCAATCCTGTGGAATCCAGAAAAACCAGCAACGACAGTTGTTAGTCTAGGGTCAACGAACCATTAATGGCACACTCAATGACCTCCTATGGGAACGAGGGCCAGAAAAGCGTTTCTCGATCAGACTCCTCTACACTTGGAGTTCTAGCTACCAAAATTAACTTGCAAATGCCGCCCATGCAGGTGATGTACTGATCCATGATGCTTCATTACATAAGTACGTGTCAGAGAAGTTTTGTTAGTACTCATTAATATTGTTCTCATTCTCGTGTTTGGCAGATATTGAATGAATACTAGGTTGGCGGTGCCACTTCTAACCCTTCTAACTTTTCGGCGGATATGAACTTCTAGGTGTCATCAGACAGCCTGTTTCAACTACACAATGAAATCGCACCAGGCTTGGCCCGAGCCGGTTGAAGAAACCACGTCAGTATACGCATGCATGAGCCAAACTGTTGAACTTTTTCTCGAGTCTGCGGAGTGATATTAAGTGGTGCTCGGATATGTTCAACTTCCGTAAACACGCACCAGCCAATCAGCCCCTTCTCGTTATTCCGTCCGTGCATGCATGTGGCCCGCGCTTAAAAATTGCTGTCCCGACACTCCAAGTCATATAAATTGGGCTCTATCCATCCAAAGTCCTCTTGTCTCAGTCCCCGTCTCATCGTCATGTTTACCAGGTAAAAATTCTTTACTTGTAAACCTTTAACTCGATATTTAATATTTTCTCAGATGCTTCCTACCCCATTGTCCATGTGAATCTACGAGCCCGCAGAACTCCGTCATTATAGACGTCGAGCCAAGCGCTGCCGTTAACGCGCGGAATGCTGAGGTAGCCCTCGTCTATCGCTGCTGCTGGGATACCCAGCATTCTGCATGCGGAATGTTCATCCAAGGCTCTTCGAGGGATATTCTCTCGCATCTTCGGGAACGGCACGGTATCGTGCACACCGCCGACGCGGACCTTGAATGTCGCTGGAGTTCATGCTCGATGGACAAACGTCTGAAAATGAGCAGTATCGCGAGGCACATCGAGAGGCATCTGGGCATTCAGTTCAGATGCTCGCGATGTGGACTCACGGCTCGTGACGACGTCGTTCGCGACCATATCAGAAGGAATCCTGGCTGTGCTGACGCTGCAGTACAGCTTGTTCCCGGTTCAGGAGCTCGGCTGATAGTCTCAGCGTAATCTTTCAGGGTGGGCGCAATGATTTGACTTTTAGACAACATATACGTTTGGTTCCTATATACGTCTATGTACGTACCATACTACAGTTAATACTAATACTTACGATACCGCGTGGCTGGGACGCAGCATGCATCATTTACGAACGATTTATGTATTGAAAGTGAAGGCAATCTCATTCTTCCACCTCATAGATTTAGAAATGAGTGAAATAGAATCGTTAATAAGTTGGGTCGGGTGAGATAGCAAGTTGCGATAGGCATGATGACTGTCTTTTAAATATTCTTTTGGGTAAAATCATTAACACGGCCACATGTGCGGAACCCTGTTTTACATGTTCACCTTTTTGGGCCAAGTTGGAAGGTTGCCAAGAGCTGTGGTAAAGTTAAGTTTCCCCTTTGATTAAGCCGACTACTGAGGGGTAAAAGGTATGCAGTGAAGCGGAATTGCGATGATAGTACAAAGTCATCTCGGTCGGAGACCGACACCAACACCGACACTAACTCATAGCGAAACATGTGATGGACTCTTGTCTGAGTTATTCTAATCGCTGACGCGCTTTGCAACGTAAATCCGACGAAGGTTCCGGGTACATGTACAGAATGCAAGGAAGATCTACGACTGTGACATGCCCTCACGCCACATCAAGCCACACGACGAACATCCTTGGGTCTAAAGATGTCGCGTTTCCGTTGCCCGCTTGGGGATGTAAACTCCACTTCGTATCCCCAGCCTGCGAGCTAAAATAGGTATCAGCAAAAGTTGGAATACTTGGTCAAAACATACTGACCATGCGAAAGAATTGTAGGCCGCCAATGACGAAGCCTACTGCCCAGAAATTTGCACGGATGTGCACTTCAACAGGCTCATCCTTACTCTGCCGATAGGCAAGTGGAGTGAAAGCGCAGCTAACTAATGCTTACGATTTCTTCGCCGCCCTCTTGCTCAGGACGTTTGTAGGGTTGGGGATGTTGGCGAGACATTTTGCCTGCAGTTAAAGAGCTTTTTGGCAGCTAGGAAGGGATCCACGGTACTTATACGTCCCGTGAAGCGCTGGTCCAAGACAATCTGCAACCTTTTGGCCCGCAAGGCCAGGGTGTAACAACGATCTTATTGTGGAAGTGGAATTCTAACTCCAGAGCCCACAAGAAAAGCACGGATCTGAGCGCCAAATAGAAACCGAATGTAAATATCACAAGTCAGGCAAAGTTTCGGACACAAAGACGGATTTCATCATTCCGCCGCGTAACAACTGCAACAAAAAACGTGGTGAGGAAAGATCCGTGGGCCATGATAAGGAGAATAGGAACTTGACAACAAGTACATAGCTCCTTCTGGATACGACAGCAGGTTTGAACCTAGTTGGAAGCTGGACCTGAAGCTACTAGTAAGCCTGAACTTTACTATCAAGTTAACATATCATACCAGTACCAACAACTCAGATCTATCGCAGTAGACATAGCAATATTTACCTAGAGCAAAATTGTATCCTTCTATAGTTCTCACGGCTACAATATCACGGACTCATGAATTCACTGATGAATCCGCCGCGCAACAACTGCAACAAAAAAACGTGGTGAGGCAATATCCGCGGGTCATGATAAAGAGACAAACAGTGATCAAAAACTTGATAACAAGTACATAGCTCCTTCAGGATGCGACAGCAGATCAGAACCTGGTTGGAAGCTGGACCCGGGAGTTACTAGTAAGCCTGAACTTTACTATCAACTGGTATCATAGTACGGGGGAGTAAAGATAGGCTTGAAAAGCACTATAAAGTTACTGGTAGATTGGAAGGGTCAAGTGCTCTTGTTAGGCTTTGCTTGGAGTCGAGCTTCGGGGCTCTGCTAGGTGGTTAGTTGTTAGTGCCCACCTGTAGGAGGAAGACTGACAAACATAACTTATACTATGTCAATCAGTGTGATTACATTTGTCCATCGACGCTAATACCAAAAGCAACATTTACCTCGATAACTCAACTGGAAAGAAGGAAACTAGAGCGGAGGAAGAAGAGCTGAGGAAGATTCATATATATGTACGAGACAGGGTACTTGTCACGTGCCACCTCATCGCGACCCTGTCCTCTCAGAGGCACTGCACAATTCGGTTGAACTTGACAGAACACCCAGCACAAACATAAGTACTGGCACGGGCAAGTTTATTAATTGTGTGCGAAGCCCGACTGGTGCGCGTACCTTGTCTCAGACGTTATCTAGAATTCCATTGACTTCGAATTCATCCGCCACGAGGTCATACTAGGACACACTTACTAGGGCATCCATTCTTCCAATATGCCAAACCACCTCAGCATCCCTTTCAAGAAGACCTATTCATGCCCTATACCTATTGCTACACGCGATTACATTCGCAATCATACAGAAGATCACCCAGATGCGTATATTCGCGACATCAATCAGTGGAAGTCATTGCGTGATATTGGCACTGGGGGCGTATTACATGCTGACCGTATCAATTTCGCAATAAAGTGAGTCCAGCACCCGATTATGACTAGCAATCTAACCAGAACCAGTTATCATGCTCAACTTGTATTCATTCTAGCCAAATTACCGCCCGATGTCAGTTGCCAACCTCGTGCTTCTTCCGCAGTACTAACAACCTCAGATTAATTTGGAATTCTCGTACGCACATGCGTTTGCTTCGGGCCCGTCCTCTCTCCCTGTGACGCTGAGGAGTATTGCGTTTGAGCGGGCTTCAGTCTTATTCAATATAGCCGCGCTATATTCCCAATTAGCTGCCTCTGAGGACAGATCCAATCAAGACGGCCTTAAACGTGCAAGTGCTTATTATCAGGCAAGTTAAGCGATTGGAAAAAGGAAGCTACCTTACGCTCCACCTGAAGAATGCAGCTGGCGTTTTGGCCTTCCTATCCGAGTCAGCACTGCCGAAACTGGGTCCCTTTGTAGACTCAGAAAACACACCTTCCGATCTGACCGAAGATTTTGTAAAAAGTCTGGAATGGCTTATGCTGGCCCAGGCCCAGGAATGTGTCTGGCAGCGTGCTGTCTCCGGTAACGATTTCCCTCAAACACTCTACAGATCTGACTAGTGGCTTAGATCAATACAAGAATAGCCTGATTGCAAAATTAGCAGCCAAAGTTTCGTCTCTCTATAACAATTCCTTACTATCAATTCGCTTGGCCACCGCCGACACTCGTGATGCCTTACCACATGTAAGCATGATCTCACAGCTTCCACCATGGGTATTGATCCAGGTGAACAGAATTGGATCCCTCACTTGGAGACGAAGTACTATCATTTCAATGCAGCATCACAATACAGGAAAGGCATCGACGAACTCGAGGCCTCTAGGTTGGTGAGGGATGACACGTCCCTTCATCGCTGAAATTGTCATAGATACGGTGACGAGATTCAACGTCTAATGATTGCCGAAGCAGATGCTAAAAAAGCATTCAACATTGCGAAGCGTGCTGGGGTCGCCCAAGCAGTCATAAGCGATGTTAAGGTCCATTTCTCATCTCGCGCCATATCTAGTCGCCGTGTTTGACATCTCGTTTCAGTCGCTGCTTGACGTTGTGCAGAAAAATCTCTCCCGTGCTGAAAGAGACAATGATCTGATATACCATCAGAACGTTCCGGCACCTTCTGGTATCCTCGCAATTCAAGAAGTCTCTATGGTACAGAGCATCATTCCTCCTGGGCTGCGGGATCCCAAAAGCGTAATCGGCGATGACAGCATAATCTTTGGTGAGATGCTTGGATGGGGTGCTCGGGAAGCTATCAGTGGGTCGAGTTTAAGCGACAATGTGACGCCTTGTGCTGATTTATCAATTCAGATATATATAATGACAACAAAGGAAATTTGCTGCGAGAGAAAATCGTCGAACCAGCCCAGAATTTCAACGATGAAGCTGATAAGTCAGACGCGCGTCCTTTCCATGTTCCTGACGTAATCGATCACGCACAGGATACTCCAATCTCTGAACCTGCCATCATCGTTGGAAGCCTTGGAGCGTCCTATCGGGTTACCTCCAAGTCTCTTGAGGAAAGCTGAAGAAATACGCTTAGAGCAAGGGCCTACGAAAATTGATGTCTATCTCGACGACGTTCAGCGACTTTCTCGACATGTGCTCGGCATACTCGACGAGGTATCTTCTTTTTCTGTCTACTTTTGGATTATCTTTTATGGGATGGGTTTATAGGCTATGGATATCTTAGACAGCGAGGCATCTGAGGACGAAGCTGCGCGCAGAGAGACGCCAATGAACCGTCCTCCATCTCATGAAGCAAACCAAGAACTCGTCATGAAACAACAGCGGTATCGGACCATCCTCACTCAGGCAGCAGAAAGCGACGAACTCGTGCGCAGGAAATGGGAGGAATGGGAAGATCAAATTTCCGAGCTTACTCGTGACAAGGTGCGGACAAGGTGCAGCCGTACATGATTGCATACTAATTGCGGTGCACAGGATGAGCTCGAAGCCTTGGTGCCGTCATCGACAGTTTCTATGACAGGAAAGGCAGTGTCGACTAGTCAGACTCAAATCCACGCTCGCGCCCTGCGTGGCTTGCTAGAGTCTTTGGATGATATTCGTCGTACTCGAGACGACCTTGTTAGCCGTGCTCAAAGACGAGCGGAAGGCGACGACATACGGCCAAAGGTGCTGGCAGCAGCGGCAAACCTAAAACACGGAATAGAAATGAGCGCCGTTACGTTTGAAGATGTTTCCGATAATGAACTCGCCAAGTACGACAAATTTATTCAAGGTCTGACCGAGGGGCGGAAAAAACAAGAGGAAATTCTTTCGTCGATCAAGGTCATTTCAATCAATGCTCGGTTCAAACGTTTTCCTAACAATATCCTAGTCCACGAATGACGCATTCATTCAGTCTAGGAAACAAGACCCTGTTGTCAAGGATCGAGAGCAGGCCCTTCAATTTCTTGACCTCGCGTATTCTCATTATAGAGAGATCATCCGGAATCTAGACGAAGGGCTGAAGGTTAGTTACTAACAGTCCAGTCTCGGGAATTCAAGTTAATTGTCTGCTAGTTTTACAACGATATGGCCGGTATCTTAACTAACTTTAAGGAAGCATGCAAGATATGGAGCAGTGCGCGAAGTCGAGAAGCCATGTACAGTCGCTCTTGATTAACTTCTTTCCCTGACTCATGGCACTGTGCTATAGACTCATCCATCGTAACATGACGTCTCTATCGATCCGTGACAACGCCTCCGATGAATCTCACGAAGTGCCAGTGTCCACGACGTCGCCGTCAAGGACAGACGCTCGGAAACAGATTGCTGGTATACCCACGCTGTCCTCGGCTGATTGGGAGGCTCAAGAACTGGCTCCCCCGCCAACAAAACGAACAGAAAAAACCACAAAACATCGATGGTGAATACTGTGGTCAGATGAGGGTCAGTAGCTGCACGATTATGTTCGTGGATGAATCCACGGGAGCTATGTGTGTATTTTTCATGTGTTGTGGAGGGACGAGCTGACTATACTCATAGCATTTCGTATGATACGCAGTGAACAATGACCCTACTATTACACTCGTTGCATCATATCCGACGCATTTCTTAGTCCATCTATGCTTGAGCTAGTACACTGGGTACTGTCTAACCCAACAGACGGAGCTCGATATATACTTCATAACAGTAACGTAATGATGTCAGCAAATAGAGAGTTCAGCGGTCTTATGTATGTCATAAAGATTGGATCTCCTCAGGCTCTGAATGGGGCGGCATTTGCAAACGCCCAGCTGATTCAAGGGAAGACTTGAATCCTGCAGTGACGTTGGTGCATAACACACTGATTCACAGGTTACTAGGCACGATGAGAGAAGGCTACGTCAAGTCCCACAGCATACACAATTGACACCGAGCCAGCGGTTATTAATATTCGCGGTTATATATGTTAGACATAGCAACGTTGTAGTACTGACCCATGCAGCTTATGGCAAGCACAATGGAAGAAGACTACAAGACCAACAAAGGTCCACCCCCGCCATATCCGACTCGTCCACCTCCCTCAGGCACCCGAATCCCGCTACAGTCAAACTCTACCTTCCCTAATCCCGCATACACCAAAGCCCCCCATGCCACGATGCAGACGGCATCTCTCCCGTCTTCATCGGATCCGCAATCTTCCAGCGCTCTGTCCATCCATGCAAGATTGCGCCTCATCTTCCAAATCCCTGCCGTGTCCCATATGGTTCCGCTGAGGTAGAGCATAATGGGCGGTATGACCTTTTGCCATTTGACCCGGAGACCATGGAATGGGTCCGTACGAGTCTTGGTCGTATCCCTCATAATCGGGATCCTGTTGCTGGAGGTTATGAAGAGAGTGGACAGAGTCTGTATCATGCGATGGGTTGCGTGGATGGGACCTGGGTTCCTGGTAAGACGGGAGAACATCTTGTGCGCATTCTCATTCTACTTGAAGCTATGCCATGATATCTGAGTTCATAATAGGGGGGATGCCATCTCGCATTTGGTGGGGGAGAGCGGATCATCACAAATGACTACGAGATATTGTGAGTCCAACGCTTATCTCACACGGTGATATCGATGCTAACGAAATGCAGGTGCTGGAGGAGTGGATATCTCAGGGAATGAAATAGATTGCTTGTGTTCAAATACGGAGTGTGGTCGTTCCATATTTACCTTGATAATTTAACTTTGCAGCAAAATTTGTCAAAACTGAGTGGACACTGGGTAAGCAAGAAGACAAATGTATATTCTACAAACCGTGAGATATCGCCAAAGATGATAGCGGTCGTTTTCGAGTAGATACACACTACCCATGAAGTACGTACAAGTACAGATAAGCTCTGATCACAGAGCTCCCTCAACAACACTGGGCTGTGGCTGGCTCTGTTGTGGCTGCTGCGGGCTGTGAAGCATACCAGTTCCCAAAGCCTGCGTCCGGAACGCCAAACCACGCGTCTTCTCAATGACTGATTGATATACTGGTAATGGTGAACGGTGGATCTCGATGACGTTCTATAAGAAGAGATGACAGTCAGTGAATGAACGGTCGAGTGCGATATCATTAATGACACTGAAATAAGATCCACACCTTTTCTAGGTCGATCTTCGCTTCGGCGCCCATACGGGTTTCACGGATGAGGTTGACGATCCATTTCTCGCCTTCATCTCGTGATAGATTAAGACGTTCCGAAAGGTCGCTGAGCACGTGGTTTGATAATAAAATAGTGTAGATGTATACTTTACTTACCCAATATCGATACGTTGGTGTATACGGCAATATGCTTCGCTAATCAGGTAGCGTGCGTTGTCGAGGAACTCCTCTCTGAACTCCCAAGGAAGAAGTCATCTCCGACCACGCGGTCGGCAAGCGTTAGCTCACGCTGTGCGGCCTCAAAGTCAAACTCGACATAAAGCTCTTTCAGGAAAGATGTAACGGGATCCTGATATTGGTACTCCTCCGTCTGGATGACTTTGACGATCTCGCGTATCGAGTGCCGTACACGCGAGGAAGCAGCACTCCCACCTGCGGCTGACTTGCGAGAGAGGATGGCAGCAGTGGCTATGTATCGAAGGATCCAGGGACAAGAGGTTTGGATAGTGTTAAGGTAAGTGGGCGAGAGGAAAGTCTCGAGGAGGAGTGTTCGACCCTGGGGGTGATTGAAGTAGACAAAGAGAGACCAGTGAACGAGCCATGTCCGCGAGTGGAGTTGCGTGAGGGCTGCGGGCTCGGCAGATGCCGTCAAGAGTGTTGAAGGTGAGCGCGAGTCAACCACATCGCGTAGGGTGTTCAACTCTTCGAGAGCCGTCTCCCATTTTCCAGTGAGGATGTCGGAAGCGAGTTTACCCCAGTGCGCGGAAGTGTTGAGATCGTTATCAGTTGAAAGTACACGGAAGTGATACAGATAGTCTGCAGCACCACTGTAGTTGCCGTAGGTATATTGGAACTGCCCAAAGTTGTATAAAACAGTGATTTGTTCAAGGGTGAGCTATGTTAAACATAAATATGTTGCAAGACGGTCGATGGTAAGCGAGGACGTACGTTGTAGTTATCTTTGAGGTACTGCAAATTCTGATTTTTATCTTGACGCAGTGCTTGTGCAACATCTGGGTTCTCGATCACATCAAGGACAGCTTGAGCCTCCAGCTGTAGGCGTTCATTTGTTGATACAGCCTTCTCTCGTTTCCCGAGACTCTGAAAGGTTGAGATCAACATGTATCGCCGTCGATGTGAATTATAACACAATGACACACCTTCGGGGATCTCCTCGTCAGGATGCAGCTGCTCAAACAAGCTGACTGCATAATCCAGCATGTTCGTGCCTTTGCAAGTTCATACTGTGCTGCTTGAACCTGTTCGACCGGGAAGAGCGAAGTTTCGACCAGAGGGCTAACAACGGAAATGCCAGATGCGATCCAGGTAGGGTATTATCGTTTTGATAGATCGTATTCCGCCATGGTGGTGTGCAATGCTGCACGTCCTTCGAACCTTCAAGCTTGTAGAGCAGAAATTTTATGATCGCTCAAAGAGGAAATCGTACAGCCACAGTATGCCAGCAGCTGAGGATGCGCTTCATACAAAATTTTTGCAAATGTTGTTGATTTATGCGGCCACCAGTCATTTAACAAACTAAGCTCACAATAAATATAATATAGTTTCTCGTGTTCTTACAGCACAAAACACTCGCTGATGATCTCTAAGAGCATCATGATTATAGTAATAGCAGAATATTTTAAGACAGCTGAAAACAAGACGATAGATCGAGATACAACGAGAGTGCAGTGATGACCGGCCAGGTCTACTAGGCATGAATGCACTCGGAGCAAAAGTCAGAATGGAAAACAAACAGGCCGGAATTAAACATATCCCGGTTCAGGACCGACTCTGGAGTCTAGCCATCCGAATATTCAGTCACTAGGCCTGTACATCGACCAAACGTCGATTGGACGCTATCGCAACATCTAGCAAGGCGAGTGAGCAGATATCAAATGGTGTGGCTACGAACCACTTTTCAACGTATGCATGCGATGTACGCCTTTCCACGTTGAAGAGCCGCGAGAAGGCCCAGCTGTAGTTGCTGGTCACTGACGGTAAACTAGTCAATGTTGCGCCGGGGGTACCTCGTTTGCCATATGTAGTACATGCCTGCAATTCGAGTCGACGAGGACATCATCGGTTCCGCATAATAGCGGCGACGGAGACAGCCAAACTTACACCGCTGGGAAGCAGCTCACGCAGTACTTCACCGTGATCGGTGCTTGTATCTGTAAATGCGTGATGATTGGGTTAGCAGTGTGGTAAAAATCGGACCAACACATTGCAATCACCTTTAATTATTGTCATGAACAGTATACCTGCGGCAGTGTCTAGTAAGTTGTGCCAGCTAAGTGTCATGACACTTGCCGGGACGGTCTTGCTGTGACATCATCACCCCCTAAGATTCGAACGCAATTTACCCATTAACCGATTCCTACGGTGCGATAGTTGTAAAGGACTGCAAACTAGCCCATCAGGGAACTTGCTTTGGGACATGCCAGCGGCTGAGACAGTTGACAACAGTCGTCAGCGCAGCCCCTGTCAGATGTTCCCCACGCTCTATATTGTGCTGATGACATGCGTCAGGCAGGGCAGGAGCTGGAGAGGGCTATCTATCACCTCCTTCGATCATCCAGTAAGTTGCCCTGATTTGATACTGGCTGCTTGGTAAACACTAACACTTCATTTAGGCTTCCGAGTGCAACTCTTGTGATCGCCCTCGTCCATGAGTTGGCTCATGCAGTCCACGCTACGTTTGCTGAGATACCGACTCCGTCATGTATATCTGGTCGTGGAACATTGAAGTCCACAATGGCGTATAGCATTGACCGTCGACCATTATATATAGTCGGGGAGTCAGGGGATTTCGCTGAGAATGTCCTGAGCGGAGGTGAAGGAGCATTTCACAGTCTTCGCCGATCAAAAAGACTACCTTTCCGTTACCCACCTGGCGATCTATGAAAAAACAAAAAAAGTACCAGTTCACGAATTCCTTTGTAAGTGCGTTTGATTGCTATGAAAGATGGTGTGCTGAGATGTGCCAGCGGACGAGGCATTTCTGCACAACCGGGACGTGGATGGCCAGCACCTCGGTTCGCCCCGGCCAACACAGCACGACCGACAAGACGATCTCACAGAGAGGGCGCTCTTCAGCCATATCAGACTTCACGTCACCTCATGAGCCAACGTGTTTCGATTCCCGAGTCTCCCGCCACCCACGTCCTCCAAGGAATCCGAAAGGGTTCATCATTGAGGATGGGTTTTCATTGCGTCTGTAGTCTGTTAGGTGGGCGAGAGGGAGGAGTGTTTGACCCTGCGAGTGGTTGGAGTAGATAAAGCCTAGATCGATGGATGAGCCATGTCCCCGGCTGCACAATCATTATCCGAGTCAACATGTTCGCAAGTCTACACTGCTTAGCCTGAGCAAATCTTGACCGGAAAGAGCAAAATTGCACTGACAACAGAAATGCCAGATCAGTGGCGGTCCAGGTAGGTATTATCGAGTCAGTTTGACAGGATGTAACGCCTTCATTTGCAGCGCAAGCTTCAAGCAGAGTAGGGTGGCTAAAAGAGGAAATAGCACAGCCATGACATGTGTGACGAACTGCGATATTCATGAGGCTCTTGTGACTTTTCCAACAACTCAACCAGTGTCATCATGACCGCCATCACGCAGAACCTGCCAAGATTTATATCAGACCTTGGAATCTCAATAATTGGAGATGTATGTTAATTTTTACTATTTTAGTCAACGTTGGCACACTCAACATATTGCAGAAATGTTATTCCTCGCTGGTCGAGAACCTCAATGTCGGAGACGTGGATTGCCTCAAATATTCGCTCTCCAAGGGCTTGGGCATCGGCATCGTAGTAGGAGGTTCTATCATGAAAGTTCCTCAATTATTGCTTAGTGAGTCTGTCAAGCGCCTTTCATAGATGCTAGGTACTTAAAGTTATGACGCGCCAGTTCTTAGCGGACGCTCCGCTCGTGGTCTCTCCTTACCTGCATATGTCCTTGAAACTCTCGCATATGCCATCACCGCTGCATACTCATACAGAAATGAGTTCCCATTCTCGACTTACGGCGAGAATCTATTCCTTACTATACAAAACACCATAATTACTCTCCTGATCATCTATTTCCCAACCCATCGCTCCGAAATACACAGGCAATTGGTTCGCAGTTGGCAATCGCCAGTGCAGCATCCGTCGCATCTACCGTTGCGCTGTATATTCTCCCTAAAGACATCTTGTCTCTGCTGCAAATGGCCACGTTGCCGCTGTCCCTATTCTCGAAGCTGCCTCAAATCACGCAGAATGCACGTGCCCAATCTACGGGCCAGCTCTCTGCCTTCGCTGTCGTTTCACAAATTGTGGGCTGTCTTGCCCGATTGTTCACTACCGCAACGGAGGTCGGCGACCTCATCGTCACTGCCGGCTTTGCCCTTGCCCTCGTCCTCAATCTTGTGCTCGGTGTGCAAATGTGGATGTACTGGGGGAATGACCAGAAAGAAGACTTTGGAAAGACGCAGATTGGATCGCTCAGCGAGAAGGAAAAGGAAAACTGGGCATCGGAGAGGCAGGGGAGAGTTGATGTTGTCGTTACTCCAAAGTCTCCCGCACCGCGTCATAACGCGTCGCCTTCCGGTAGAAAATGGGCAAGGAAGATTGATTAGTACTATACCTCTGTTATTTAATGAACTTGATTTTATTCGATACGCTATCTGAGTGTGTCACCGACAAAATACCCAAGTACTCGGTTTTGACTTGGGTCACCAAGTACTTCCGCTAAATTTGGTGTTTGTGTTTGTCGCCGCCACTCTGGCGAAAATACATTGACAGAATTCGGGACGACTGCCCCTTCTCTTACTATTATAGGGTCTGCCTAGGCCTACGGGTGGCCTCGGCAAGCCGTAACTCCATTTAGTCTGGAAGCAGACTCCATCGACGATTCGACGCACAACTAATATCGATGCATCAGGCTCTACTTGTCCCCGAAATTCTCCTGGACATATTCGCGCATGTGAATGAAAGTGCGAACCTACCATCTGATGAACATAATTGCGAGAGATTATTGTCTCAACAATCTCTCGCATCGCTTGCAACGACATGCAAAACCTTCCATGAGCCTGCGATGGATTTACTGTGGGCTAACATAGAGGAGTTAGAACCATTGCTAGGCTGTGTAACGAGGCTACATCCAATGATATATTGTAGTGACGCAGGGGTCAGTGCAGACTAATTACAATCCTCAGTTCATGAGCTCACCGAGCATCTAATCGCAGCCCTCCTGGTCTGAAGGCGTCGAACCACTATCCGAGCACGAAGCTCATCAATTCTTGCGTCATGCCACCCGTGTCCGCTCAATCGATATAGCGTCTGACAAAATTTCCACCTCCTCACAGTCTTCCCCACTGAGACGTACATGTTCCCGAGATTGCAGTCACTATTATGGCAGGTCGAGGCTCCCAATAACATATACCTACACCTCTTCCTCTCCCAAACGCTACTTTTTATCTATCTATCAGCAATCCACCCAGCTTCGAAATCATTCGGGACCCACTGTGCTTCTTTGGAGGCCTTAACCATTGGTGATGCGGCTGAAGATCTCACAGCGGACGAGTCGCTCTTGCTGGCCGAAACTGTCCGTTCATGCACGCAGCTGACACATCTGGGTTGTCCACCGCTCGAATGGGAAGCATGGAACCACCTCTCCAACCTCCCCACCCTTATTAAATTGGAAATTGGTAGCGGAAGCTGGCCATTAGACCGACATGATCTCAAATTCTCACCTTTCCTCAATGTTACCATCCTCAATTTCTATGTACACACGGCTTCATACACTATCACAGCCTTGCAGCGCTCAGAATTCCCTCATTACTGCAGTTCGAGATGCATGTCCATGTCATGCCTTTGGCACAGGCTGAGCAGCTTTTTCGTGCACTGTCACGATGCAATGCATCCCACACCCTTGAACACATCGTCATCTTCTCCTTTGATCCAGACGGTGACTCGGATGAGGAGCCCTTTGGCAACTCCTTGACAGCAATCACACAATTTCTTGATTTTACACAGCTGCGAACCCTGGGCCTCGTTTTTGAAAATTACCCCGTATACCTTGACAACGACCTTCTCCTGGAAGCCATGTCAAGTTGGCCTCACATTCGCTACATGACTTTAGCAAATCACCAACTTCGACCACCTACCATTACATTCCGCGCATTATTCGACGGACTGCGGCTATGTCCCCACTTGGATTCCCTGCAATTACACATTGATGCTATACATATCGACATTGATGCTGAAACCGAGTCATTTCAGCATACATCCCTACAGAAATTTAACGTGGGCTTCTCTAACGTAGAAGATGTTGAAGCTATCGCTCGCATCATTTTCTCCATGCTCCCTTGTGTCGAACAAGTTAAACACGGGAACGAGGACGAGTGGATTAAGGTCAATGAGCACCTCAAATATCTGAAATCTTCTGCGGTCCCTGGCCGTCATATTACTCCGGAACCAGCCCCGACCACCTGAATTCGGTATTATTTATGTGCCGGGGCAACCTTCCTTTAGTTGTCTTTGTCACTTTCGTTCGCCGTGGTCGTAATTATTTTCTCCCCTGACGCCGTTTTACTGTGCTATCATATCCTAGGATTATTTAATGGCATCCGAATGGTTGATTATCGTGTATCTAGGGCTACGCCGCTCGCAGTTGCATATGCTAGTATCTTCTGACATGATATCTGACACGGAAATGAATACTTGACTATCCGGGCCTAACATTTCCCAAGACCACGATATAAGTAGGATGCGCCTGGTACACAAGCAGGCGCGTATGCACACTGGATCTTCTAAGGATGGTTGTGAGAAAAGCAGATTTGTAGGCAAACGGTCACACCATGGGCAGTGCTAAGGAAGATACAAATGCAATGCAAAGCGTCAAATTCCATGGAGAGATACAATACCGACAATCCGCGGCTATTATGACTTTATTACAGGCATGCATTACGCAGGGGTTGCATTGATATTAGAATTCGCCATAGCACGAGATAAACGTTGTTTTGGTCTGTTGTGCAGAGGCTTCCAGGAGTTTCCTTATTCGAAATTTGCAAACTGAGAAATCGAGGTCACCTACTTCACTCTCGACATACTCCAGCGTCTTCGCGTAACTGAGATCCTGGAAGTGATTTTTTGTTTTGTGCTCAATGACAAACGACAACGTTTCTGCTCGCACTTATTGCCTGATCACTGGAAACTCAAGATCGATGTTCCATCTTCCGACTTGCACTCACCTGCCGTGCATTTCGCGATTTAGTATTCGATCTTCTTTATTCTAATCTGAAAAACTTTTGGCCTCTTATTCTCTCATGCAGAACTTCCCAGTTCCATCATACACTTATCAACAGCTCCATCATCGATCATTATCATCTTGCTGTACTAACCCAAAACACCTCATCAGCATCATTCTTAATTCTCACCCTCTCCTCGTCGCACCCACCAAACGAGAATACACATCATCAACATCGTTAATCCTTTCTATGCAGCCATCACCTGTTCACCCAGCAACCAAGCTCCTTAGCATGGCCTTGCAAGCTCAAGAGTTCAAAGTACGTCCTTCTCTATCTCATTTCTTGTCTACTTGTTAACTTGATCCAGATGGGTGTCTTACTACAAACATGGCTATCATGGTCGAAGGAGAGTTAGTCAAGAAATTAGAGAACCTTCTTGCGATGGACCTCCACCCTGGCGAAGTCCGAATCAGGCGATACAGATTCGCATGCGGTCAGAAGACGACACTATCAAGCTCCAGGATTTGCCTCATCGCATTACCCAACTCGTGCCGACTAGCTTACGCGGCGGTGATTACACGATTTACATATGCAACACTCCACCCGATATCCTTGCCAAGCCAGTGCACTCAAAGTACTCAGTGATCAACTGAATGTACGCATCTCATCTTTTACGCACAACTCATCTATCACCACGACCACCAGTATCCCATGTTCATTCACCTCCGAAAAGATCTTCGCTTCTCTCCGCAGTACGGCCTGTTCAGAACCATCAACCTCGTAATCCCTCAGATGTATCTTTGGAGGTGCCGGTCCTGGGATGCTTTGTTGCGAGTATCAACAGCTTATAAGCTCCATCATCAATCTCTTAATTCTCACCCTTCTCCCCGTCCACCGAGCGTGATATACGCATCATCAATTAATGTCTTTCTACGCCGCCGCACCCTCTTACTCCACAACATCATTGTCAGTTCGTCCCAGACTACGACGCGTCAAACTTCGCATTCTCTCCAACTATGATCGTTCCTACATTAACACACCTTTGGAGCAGAAATGGAAACACCATTACGCCGAACCCCGCTATTTTTGCGTTGGAGAGGATAAAGTGGGCCACGGAAATTGCCAATGAGCACCACCCAATAACTACGATTTGCTACCAACGACTCCGGGCCTGTGTGTGTTGACTCAGACGCACGTAGTAACTGTATTATGAACGGCTTCCCAATAGCTTCGTGAGTCGCAATTTACTTCTCCTAGTCTCATATACAAAGATTCACATGGTCACACATTTATCACAAGTTCAATACAAAGTTATGAAACTCAATTGTAGCCCTTGGACTCTTCCTGCTGAGTCTCCAGAAACTGACTATCGAAGACTCCTTGACGAGGACGCCCGTTGCGATACCCTGGTGCACCTGCGTCCAATATCACCCTCAATTCAATGTCATCTATCGTGCGGAACATCTGCTCTTCATATCGCCTCATTGTCATCACCCATTCGCTTGCTCTTGCCTAGTGCCTTTTTCCTCCAGCTATTTTTTCACACCTCACAGCCCACAACATCCTTACACGCATCGTTTTCATGTTGCTCTCGTTCTCACCGCATTTGTCGTAGATATCGAGGTTATAAGCTGCACTGTATAGCAATGAGCTACATATTTCGTCGCATCCTATTTTTAGCCCACTTTGAATGTACTCAGAACTTGAACGACCACAGATGACCGCAACAACGATGTCCTTCTGTTCAGCTTCTCAGTTTGCCATGAGAAAGTTCCGATGATATACATCACTTTGACGCAATCCACGGCGCACTCGCAAGCGCATTTTTGATGGAAACGGCATGCCTTGTCCGTCGTTATGTGCTCTCACAAACCAGCACTAATATCATGAGTGCCATACCGTCACCTCACGTCGTTCACATGGACAATCCTTAATTTACTGGATATGGAATAGAACACTAAGTATGATCCACTGTACACTCGCTCACGTCTAATTGTATGCGAAATCTCCATAATATATACATTGCTGAATGCATCGTCGGTACTAAGGTCTGCAAATATTGATTTTAGTAAGTGCGAGTAACAGAAAGGGCATTGAGGAGACTCACTCTTCTCGGCATTCTTTCCAGTGTTGTCCATGTGCCATGCGACTCAAATCAAGCTCGGGGCCTCCTCTGGGTATCACCAATGCAGTCACAGGGTTATATAGTAAGTGGTGAGAAGCGGGTGGCACCCAGAACAAGAGTCGATGTTTGGGTCCTGCCACCCATCCACTGTGAACATTCAGGAAAAAGGGGGTCGAACTGTGATCGTCATGGGATGCTCCCTCCGTTAATTCGGAAGTGTTGCGCAACGCATGAATGGAGTTGGGCGAGAAGCAGACGAAGTGATTGTTCCAAGTATTCAATGTCATGGGAGTGGTGGACTCGATGGGATGCAGGACGCGATGTTGATCTGATACTGCTGAAGGACCCGACACAGCGCAATATTGCGACGGCTGGCTCATCACTGCATCCCACAGCCGAACAGTGGAATCCAAAGAACCAGTGACAATGCGAGTGCCGTCCGGCGAGAACGAGGCTGACAAAACTGGATCAGTGTGCCCCCGTAAGGGCTCACCGACTGACTCCCTTGTCCCTGCATCCCACAGCCGAACAGTGGAATCGTTCGAACCAGTGACGATGCGAGTGCCGTCCAGCGAGAACGAGACCGACCTTACTGAAGAAGTGTGCCCCCGAAAGGGTTCACTGACTGGCTTCCCCCTCCCTGCATCCCACAGCCGAACAGTGGAATCCGCAGAACCACTGACAATGCGAGTGCCGTCCGGCGAGAACGAGACCGAGTTTACTGAAGAAGTGTGCCCCCGTAAGGGCTCACCGACTGGCTCCCCCGTCCCTGCATCCCACAGCCGAACAGTGAATCCGCAGAACCACTGACGATGCGAGTGCCGTCTGGCGAGAACGAGACCGACCTTACTGAGTCAGTGTGCCCCCGCAAGGGCTCACCGACTGGCTCCCCCGTCCCTGCATCCCACAGCCAAACAGTGGAATCCTCCGAACCAGTGACGATGCGAGTGCCGCCCGGCGAGAACGAGACCGAGTTTACTGAATCAGTGTGCCCCCGCAAGGGCTCACCGACTGGCTCCCCCATCCCTGCATCCCACAGCCGAACAGTGGAATCCGAAGAACCAGTGACGATGCGAGTGCCGTCCGGCGAGAACGAGACCGACATTACTGAATCAGTGTGCCCCCGCAAGGGCTCACCGACTGGCCTTCCCGTCCCTGCGACCCACAGCCGAACAGTGGAATCCCTTGAACCAGTAACGATGCGAGTGCCGTCCGGCGAGAACGAGACCGACGTTACTGAATAAGTGTGCCCCCGCAAGGGCTCACCGACTGGCTCCCCGTCCTTGCATCCCACAGCCGAACAGTGGAATCCGAAGAACCAGTGACGATGCGAGTGCCGTCCGGCGAGAAGAGACCGAGTTTACTGAATGAGTGTGCCCCGCAAGGGCTCACCGACTGGCTCCCCCGTCCCTGCATCCCACAGCCGAACAGTGGAATCCCAGAACCAGTGACGATGCGAGTGCCGTCCGGCGAGAATGAGACCGAGTTTACTGAAAGTGTGCCCCCGCAAGGGCTCACCGACTGGCTCCCCCGTCCCTGCATCCCACAGCCGAACAGTGAAGAACCAGTGACGATGCGAGTGCCGTCCGGCGAGAATGAGACCGACGTTACTGAATCAGTGTGCCCCCGCAAGGGCTCACCGACTGGCTCCCCCGTCCCTGCATCCCACAGCCGAACAGTGGAATCCCGAACCAGTGACGATGCGAGTGCCGTCCGGCGAGAACGAGACCGACGTTACTGAATCAGTGTGCCCCCGCAAGGGCTCACCGACTGGCTCCCCGTCCTGCATCCCAAGCCGAACAGTGGAATCCTCCTGAACCAGTGACGATGCAAGTGCCATCCGGCGAGAACGAGACCGACGTTACCCAATGAGTGTGCCCCCGCAAGGGCTCACCGACTGGCTCCCCTGTCCCTGCATCCCACAGCCGAACAGTGGAATCCCAAGAACCAGTGACGATGCGAGTGCCGTCCGGCGAGAACGAGACCGAGTTTACTGAACAAGTGTGCCCCCGCAAGGGCTCACCGACTGGCTCCCCTGTCCCTGCATCCCACAGCCGAACAGTGGAATCGTCCGAACCAGTGACGATGCGAGTGCCGTCCGGCGAGAACGAGACCGAGTTTACTGAACTAGTGTGCCCCCTGAGCACCGTCTGAACAGCTGGCCAATTCATATTACGTCCAGAAGCCACACGAAGAGTGTTCGGAAACCGTGCAGAAAACGTTCTCGATAGCAGACAGTTGGCAGGCAAGAATGGGAGTGCTGATACATACAGATGTGGCGTGCTGTGTAAAATCATGCCGCCGAAGACTTGAATGAACCTCTGTACGTCCATTGCGGTCGACAAGACATCTTTGAATTTAGGATGGCCCTGTGGTTGCGCATGAGCCCTTTATCTGGCACTCAGTAGCAATGCACTCACCTTCAGCCACTGGGGAATGAGTGAGAGGGCAGGAACTGCGCCGCTGAGCGCATTGATCAGGGCGAGCGACTCGAGCCAGAAAAACAGCCGCTCGTTGTCGAAGAGCAATTTCACTTCTTTCGCGAGCTCCTTGTCGAATGGTGTGGTTCGTACGTGCGAAGTCCAAAATCGACAGGAATATGACAGATGTTGGGGGATGCATTTTTGGACTCGTTCTTGTAGCCCAGGATCTTCGCTATTAGGCAGATACGACGACTTCAAATCACAGATATTGAAGCGAAGACCGTGTTCCATCACTCGAAGTGACGCGAATGCAAGGTCGCATTGCGCCTTTGACAGGTCGATGAAAAACTCTCCACTTGATCGTTCGTCCGTCAAGAAATCATGGAAGGATGCGTGAAGGGGTCGGATTGGGGAACCTGGGTTGGTGGTGCCGCTGAGCAGGGACCCCATGCTTTTCACTACAAGCTCCACGTCAAAATGGTCCTCTCGCTTTGGAAAATGGTGCCTCATGGTATTCAGAGAAGCTAAAGGGAGGGGTTCAGCTGTGCCTAGTATTTGTCCCATCACTGAGCGAAACCTCGCCAACGCAGTCGAACGCAGTTTCTGCAAATGCGGAGATGCATCCCCGGGCATGACATCTTTTAAAATCAGGCGATACATGTCGTGCAATAGCGGGCTTCTCTCAGCGGGATTGCGTGACACCACAGCTTCATAACATTCCATTGGAGATAGCCCAGTATGGGACTCTTTGATGTATCCGCAAGCGAGACGCGCCCACTCGAAAAGTCCATCGGCTTTCTCAGCGAGGAGCGCGAACTCTCTGTTCTGGAAATTCAGCCCCTCCAACTCCTTGGATACGTAAGCACGGATGTCGCGCTCTGCATCTGCTCGTGGAATCTCGTCCATCGACATCTGTTGAATATGCTGAACGTCACCAAACTTGTCTTTGATGTCATCAAGCGGACGAGAAGTAACAATGAAGCGTAAGTTGCCCGGGAGGTCTGTGATTTTGGGAACGGCGGGGTTTTGATGTTTGCCAGCTAGAATGCGGAGGAGGTCTTTCCGTGTCTCTACTCCACCGCTCTCGTCCAGTGCATCGATCACGATCACGATGGGTTCTCCAGCTGACCCAGATGACTTCTCCAGTGGTTCGATTAGAAGCTTCTTCCACTGCTGGATGATATCCGGTGTATTCTTGAGCGAATTCGCGGTCTTAACTGCATCTGCCAATGCCCGCCTCATCTCCGGATCACGGTCAGCCAGGTCGCGCGCGATCGTGGAAAAGATCTTTTCATGGCGACGATCTGCTTCTCGCTGGCGGTCGAAACAGTAACACGAACCAAGCCCTCCTGCGTCCTCGAACCACTTAGCAATGGTGTGGGCGATGGCCGATTTTCCCTTGCCTGCAGGGCCAGATAACCACAGCACACGTGGAACGTTGTCCCCAGTGCTGTTGACCCATTCCGTGATCTGGGAAAGGATTTCCGTGCGTGTCCCTTCGAGGCATTCTTTTCTGGTATCTAGACCCGCGCCTTTTGCATAATTCACATCGCTGAGGTCTAATGTTTCTTCTGAACAGGTATAAATATATGTAAGGTCACAAGGATATTCGAACCCTCACCCATGCGGTGGACGTGTATGGCTATGTCGTGGACGCGTATGGCTACGTCGCGAGTAACCTGGTCCCGGAAGTTTTGCATGAGCTTATCGAACACGTCATTGTACTTTGCGATCGTATCTTCCGTTTCCGATAAGATGTTCTTTCCAAGTCTCTTCCCTGTGCGACGGTGGAAGCTCGAGACGATACAAAGCGCAACAGCTTGTTAAAACTCACAAAAATTCTTGGTCTCCGAATATTTTTTGATAAAATCGGCACATTCACGGGTCTGCTGAGAAATCTTTCCAAGGAAAGGATCCATCGACGAGATTTTGCCAAGCATCTCGTCTTGTGTGAAGCTGTAAACCTCGCCTAACTTCTTGAGAAGTTCGTGCACCGCGTTGTCGCGATCCCTTTGAGCTAGAATAATCTGTACAAATGATTGCTGAGTAACAGTGGGAGATAGGGAGAAAGAGAATGAAAACATACTTTGGCTGCACGAGATAACGCGCCCAGTGCTATCTTTGCATATGGATGTACCTGTGTAAACAGATTAATTCGGTTCTGATCGTGAGGAGGGTCTGCATACATCCGCAATCTCTCCGATAACAGCGTCGAATATCTTGAGGGGTTGGAGATATGTGTCCTCGAAATTGTCAACGAGATCGAGATCCTCTTGTGCGCCTTGAAGAACAGAATCCACAGTTATCTCAGGTCCCGAAAGTAAATGCATGTGCCTTTCAGCCTCTTGAGCATCCTGAAGTGCCGATTGGGTATCAGCCGCTTCCACACCAGACGGAGCAACCTGAACCTGCGTGACCACCAAAATTTAGATAGAGTACAGAGACTGAAGGGCAAGTTTAAGAACCTACCTCGACGTTCGGGGGAGCAGGACTACGGCTACGGGGATCCTTCGAGCGCTTGTTGCAATGTTAGTCGGATTGCAGGATCTCATTACGCATGCTCGTGAACTCACCGAGATCCTTAACTTGTTTGCACCGTTCTTAACCTTTGCCAGAAATCGACCGACTCTGCCACGGGGTCGGTGCTAGATGAAGGATGAGTCAATGTTAATGTTTGGAGCGGTGTGAACGAAGTGATCCTCAAAAAACACGTACCGAACTTTCACGAGGTGTTCCTTTGCTACTAGATGCGTGGGTTTGTTGAGTAGAATCCTTCGATGAGTTACCTTTGCTCATTGTGGATAGCAATATCAGTTGAAGGGAAGTAAGATAAGGACCCACATACGCCTCGAGGCAATATTTGTTCCAGTGTTGCAAGCGCTAAGCATTTGAATTTCGACCCCAGCCGACTGCTCAAAATCTTCGTTTCAGCTTATAAATGTCGTATAGACATCATATCCTCACTCCCAGTCCTTATCCTGGCATTTGGGTATGGATTTCTTGGTGCAGTTCTCTATTATGGTTACCTCGCTCCAGTCGGCAATTTATGGAAGCAATATTACCCCGAAGACTTGACAATGGAATGCGTCGTTCTTCATTTTCACTCTTCCCCTCGTCTCACCCACCGAACACGACATACCCATCATCAACGTCACGCAGCCACCGCCCCCTCTCAATCCTCGACCTCCAAGCCACATCCACTTTCCACCAAGAGGGCTGCCGCTCCCTTCAAATGGTCATTTCCATCCGCCACCTCCAGCGTGTCCTAGATGCATTCCCGTCAGTCAGGCAGGTACCCAAGACAGACAACTCTACCATCCACGTCATCAGCGATAGGGTGCAAAAGTCGAACGTCATTGCCGTATCCGTGTGTCCTGGGCTTTCAAGATCAGATACCATTGCACTGCTATTAACGCAGTTTTAGGATATTCATTCGACTCAAATACCTAGACATTCCTCAGGTATACGATCCCTTCTTCCGCCCTCTTACATACTTCACAACATCTGCTACGACATCTTTGCTGCATGTCCTTTTTCTCCCAACGTCTTTCAAGAGCAATGCTTACCAAGGCACCGATCCTCCAGAAGAAGTGCTCAAAGCAAGTGCACTCTACCACGAGTGTGATACTGTTAACCTACGGATACCAAATGTTACGATGACGGACGCTGCCGACGCGCAGTTAGGTGAATCAGTTTGGTTGGTTGGTGGGGTTGTTAATGATACGCGCAGGCCTCGGACTTGGTGTATGTGACAGAGGGCGAACAGCACTAAACTGCCAGGAAATCATACAACACGACAAAGTGCAAGCACACCACGACCGTATTGGTTCCTTCCTTCCCGCGATAAGCAACCGCCTAGTATTACTTAACTCAATTCCTTGGAACCTCCACACCACCCAAACCCTCCAAGCACGCATCCAGCACTCTCCAGGGCCCCTACCCATCCTACACACCCTCACCCATCGTCACTCGCGTTTCCGACGCATGCTGAATTTGTCGTGGTTGGCTCGGGTATTACTGGGACGGCGTTTGTGAGGAGGGTTTTGGAAAGTGCAAGTGCTGATGGGCATGATGTTAGAGTTGTTGTGTTGGAAGTGAGAAATGCGTGTTCTAGGAGGTAAGTATCGCATTGATTATTTCATAAAGCAACGCACTAGGCATACCTCACTGTCTCTATATCACTGACTATACTTCGTTCAAGCGTGATCACGGACAAGTTGCCGCCCAAAGTTGAGGTTGGCGCATCTCGAGGAACTACGAAGCATTGCAGAGCAGACAGGCACTCTTGTAGAATCTCAGCGGTGGGAGGTAGAATCAGTAGATGTGTTTTATAACTCGAATATGCTCGAGAAGGCGAAGACACAAGTCCAAAGTTTCCCATGCGTCTAAACTGTGCCCATTCTCCTGGCTTTCTCCGGTTTTCTTCCCAACCAACTTCAAGTTTACTCTCGTGGTTAGTACGGCCGCCATCTGTCGTGTTGCAAATGCTCAAGTGCATTTATGTGTATGCTCACTCACGATTTACTTCCTGTTTCTTCAGTTGTGTCAGATGCTGACCTACTGTTTCAGTGTACGGGCTTCACATTCCTTTGTTCACAGAACATGAAATAGCTAGGTTCTAGGTGGGCACATCGCCGTGCGATATCCGTTAAGTCAAGCTCTGATCTCTCCAATCATCCGTGTGGTACTAATTCAAGCTCAGAACGAGCTAGCGCTAGGTCTGACAGATTGGCATCAGCGGGAGATGACCAGCAAAATACAGTATGACATTTGGCTTCATTTGTATGTCAGCGGAGTGGGTCTTTTTTCATTCGCGAGATTGTGCTAATGAAGGCGCGATTCAGATCAGGTTTATCTTGAACGATTAGGGTCCTGTCAACCTGTTCCGCGTTGTCATCAATCCCCGAAGCTTTTCTCAATCTGTGGAAAATCTATTCTATCTTTCGTATCTCTTTCGGGACCAGATCTGCGAGCGCCATTGTTTCTGTTGGTTTGTTTCGATGTTTTGTACTCATTTAGGACCTCGTGCTGTTCGTTCTGACATCTGCCTAATGGCACTCATTGATGCACCCGTCATCTTAATGTATCAGTCTGTCAAGACATCCAGACAAATGTGATGGTTCGAAGAAAAATGTAGTCTCCAGGTTTGTGTATCATTTCCACCCTAAGTTAATGTGCGCTGCCGTTGCGTCTTCCTCGAATCAGCCAACGCTTTGTCCACACCTGCTCATTCGACAAGCCTTCGTTGTCGCATTTATATATCGTCTGAGCTGCGTCTGAGCTGCGTCTGAGCAGCAAGCTTTGGGACACTCAAAAGTAAGCCAAGCTGACACAGCTACTGATGTGCTCTCCTCAATCTAGAGTATAGCAGGTCATCCCTGACGCGCTGTAGAGTACTGAGGCTAAGTGGAGTGTTGATTAAGATCTCTTCCAGCGATATAATGAGGTGCTTGCTCTTTCTCTCCGTCTTGTATTTATAGTACTTCTCCAGGATACAGAGCTGCGTTTCGTCGATCACACCCACTTTTGGGGGTTTCTCGCATACCTCCCTAATCTCCTTCCGCAACCTTGACAATCACTCGTGGACAGTTCATCATAATGCCCTTCAACAGCTTCGTGAGTCACAGTCTGCTTCTCCTAATCTCATGTACAAAGATTCACATTGTCACACATTTATCACGAGTTCAATGCAGATCAATTGTAGTCCTTAGACTCTTCCCGTCGGGTCTCCAGAAATCGACTATCGAAGAGCTCCTTGACGAGGACGCCCGTTGTGACAGCCTGGTGCACCTGCGTCCAGTATCACCCGCTGATATCTATCGTTCTGGAACCTCTCCCACTCTTCGCATTGCCTTAATTTCATCCTCCTTTCGCTTACTCTTGCTGAGTGTCTTTTCCAACCAGCTGTTTGTTCATGTCTCACAGCCTATATCATCTTTACACACATCGTTTTCGTGGTGCTCTCGTTCTCACTGCTTTCGTCGTGGATATCGTGATTGTATGTTGCACTGTACAGTGAACACAATGAATTACATGTTTCGTCCCACCCGATTTTAGCCCACTTTGAATGAACTCGCTGCAACGGGAACTTGAACGACCACAGATGACGCAACAACGATGTGCTTCTGTTCAGCTTCTCAACCCGCTATGAGAAAGCGCCAATATATACACTTCAACACGACCATCATCCACGGTGCACGCGCAGCCGCATCTCTGATGGGATCAGCATGTCTGGTCTGTCGTTACGTGCTCTCACACAAAGCTCATAGCTTCACCCACATTCAGGAATTCATCGCTCATCAAGTTCATCGGTCCATAAGTTTGTCGCTGGTAACCAGAACCTCTGGTAACATCAAATTCTCATCTGTATCTCCAGCACGGGATGAATTGATGTTGACCTTACCAGACGACCCATTTTCAAATCGCCGCCACCGTCAGTCAGATAGCAGATTGACAACGAGACCTCACCTTGGCACATTCTCAACGCATCCACATAATACCTTGCCTATTTTACGGTTTCGCTCATGGAGACACAGCGATGGCTTCCACGTCGATGAAAGCAGTCGCTATGAAATTGATTCTGACACATCAATAACATGGAGAACGAATCCCTCCTTTCCAGATGGCAAGCGAATGATCAGCGGATCTCGGGACGAGGACACTCAACAATGGGATCTGAACGCGGGTAAGGATATTAAGGAAGCGCAAGGTATTTGGGGGGAGAGGGTGTTGACAGTGGTGGTGGAGCGGTGCATCCGCGACTATGCCTGCGTGTAGCAAGCGAGGCAAGAAGTGTGTGAGCACCACGACAAAGCCCGCAAAACACCAAGTGACTGACTAAGCTACGGCTTCCTACCCTACTCCGGCGGTATCAAGGGATGGTTGATAGGTTGTCGCTACTGATGTGGCAACTTGAAACTGGTGGCTCCTGTTGGTTGGGTGGGCGCGGTTCGATTCTCCACTGATTTGAAGAAGCTCGCAGTGAAGTTACATACGAGGGACTGCCTTGATGTCTGGGATATCCGATCACAGAAATCGGTTGTGAGGATAGGAAAATCCCTTGGATACTTGGATTGACTTGCAATGAAGCGCAGAGAGATGATGACTCTGACGAGCGTGAGGTTCAAGGACAACGGCACAATAGACGTTCGAACAAAATGATATCATTAGTCTGACTCATTCAAACAACAGTAACATTGTAACTCTACGACTAATGATGGTATGCAAGACCCAAGGAACAGCGAGTATCAGGTAAACGTGGGAGCGGGGAAACATGGATAGAGAACGGGTAGCAAAGTACTCGATAGATGACGACATCAAGCGACTGTAGAAATAACAGCCTGTAGATGAGGGTAGTTAAGAACCCGACAGAAATGAGATGAAATAAACGAAACAGATATTGGGCAGTGACTATTGGACAATGCTACCCTCGAACGAAGAACCAGTGACGATGCGAGTACCGTCCGGCGAGAACGAGACCGAGTCAACTGAATGAGTGTGCCACCGCAAGGGCTCACCGACTGGCTCCCCCATCCCTGCATCCCACAGCCGAATAGTGGTATCCCGAGAACTAGTGACAATCGCTGCGTCACGATCCACTTGAACCTGCACAAATGATTGCTTAGTGACAGTGGGAGATAGGGAGAGAGGAAATAAAAACATACATTGGCTGCACAAGAGAACATGCCCAGTGTTATCTCTGCATATGGATGTACCTATGGAATGAGATCAGTGTGGTTATGATCGAGACGAGGGCCTGCATACATTCGCAATCTCTCCGATAACAGCGTCGAATATCCTGAGAGGTTTGCTTTCACGAGCTATTATTTGGGTGTCTTGAGTCAAATTGCCTTTGCGCATGGTGAAGCGAAGTAAGATGATTAGAAGGGGTCTTCATCTTTTATACATGCCAAAGGGATTGTATTGAGTTTATCGTCCAATAATCGTCCACGTTCTGACTCATCGGTACCAAGAATACGTCATCTCCATCATCGATTAACCCATCATTCACCCTCTCCTCGTTGCATCACCCCGACAGCCAAGCTCAAGAGTACACAGTACGCGGTCCTTCTCTATTTCATTTCTTATCTACTTGTTAACTTAATCCAGATGGGCGTCCTACTACAAACATGGCCATCATTCTCGCAGGAGGAAATCAGAGAACCTTCTTGTGATGGACCTGAGCGAAGGGGATACAGATTCCCATGCGCCAAAGCCCTCGGTGAACTCGAAAGTGGGTTGCTTCCTCATTCTGTTTACCCCTTCTTATGAAGCGGCACAGATCTATCGGCCTCTGACCTTTCACACAGGGACAACCCTCAAACCCGTTTCACTCGCGTCGAGGAACAACAACTTGAAAGAGTATGTTATCCTCTATCCGATATCTACTAACTATCACTCAATAAACATATCTTCAAGGAAACTGCCGATTCAGATCATCGCAGGTTCATCCATCAGTGGCCTCGTCCTACGCTACCTTAATTGCTTGAGCATCGCAAAGTCCTCTCCAAATGCGACCTCTGCTGCATAGCCCGTGTCGTCAACACCACACCTTTCGCATGCATCGGCGCACCCACCCCAGAGGAAGCAGGCTACGAGACGACGAAGATCAGTGGAGACTACTACGTCAGCTCGATCCCATGGGTATCAGGAACACACAAAGACGCGCACGGCGATAATCGTGCTTAGTGGAGCAACAGCCAACCATCTTGACGACCTCGACAACAGCGTCAATGTGATCGAATCCCTTATAAAAGATCCACGGCTAGTTCCTGGTCCAGGCGCAACAGAACTAGCGCTAAACAAGTGCATCGAGGCAAACAGGAGCGGCATGAGGAAGCTGGTACAACATGCTGTGAAGCGGTATGCCACAACACTCGAATTCAACCCAGAACACTCGCTGAGAACGCGCTGGGAGATGCTAAGGGTAACGAAGTTCTCACTCGGTTGTGGGCCAAGCACGAACAGAAGGGCAGCGAAATCTGGGGTGTCGAAATAGGTGAGGTTCACCAGCTCTACGATCACCTTGATCGATCACATGCCAGGCTGAAGGAGATGGCACTCTAATATAGCTACTGACTTCAAGATCCTCGACCTACTAGCCACAAAACCATGGGCTATCAACCCCGCAACAAAAGCCGCCATATCCGTACTCAGCGTTGACATCATCATCACGAGCAAACCCGTAGGACACAGTCCCTCAACAAGCAAGTGACTGGGATGAAGATCAGGATAGTGCTACGGTAGCATGTAGACTGCTTTACAGTAAATTTGCAGACCAGAAATGTCACGAATAATGAGCATAAAAATTGATCAAGCCAGAAAGAACGTCAGGATGAGGAGCAGGAATGTTGTGGGGGGCGTGATACTGTGCAATGTCTATGGGTGCAAAAGAATTATGATGACAACAAGAAGCCCATTGTAGATGGGGGTTAGGTGTGACCGTACACACGAGCATTCATCATTTATTACTCATCGACTGGAGAGTCTATCTCCTCGTCTTCATCCTCCCCGAGGATAAGCTCCTCCATAACACATTCTTCTATGTCGTGGTTGGCTTCAAGCTTGCGTCGAAGATTAAATAGAACTGCAGCGAGTATCAGTGAAGGAACGATGAGTGGTATCACACCACGTACATGGGCGATCAGGGCGTTCACAAGTTCGTGGGTATGTCCCATGCTCGACAAGGTCATTCTAAGTTGCGCGAACGAGGTTGGGGCTGAAAACGGGTGCAAGAGTTTCAGCTAACATTCAGTTGTGTTCCTCATAGTCGGTTACTCTGGAGTAGTAGCATCAATATCATTCAGCTGATGAAACAAACGAACACAAAAATCCACCTATCGCAATCCTCTCCAAAAGATCAAAGTTTGCCTGAGGAAGCCCGTGCACAACACTCCGGATACAGGCAAGCCACGAGTCAAGATTCTCGAGCTATGCAAGAACATGAACATTGAAAAAGACCATTAATAGAATGGATATTACTCATTGTTTCGATAACATTGAGATGGGACGACGATAGAAAGACAGGCTCCGGGAGTAACCTAAGCCATGACTTGACCAAGTCGCACACGGCATGAATATCATTGTCGGGGGCGATAGCCTAGGCCACTCGCCCGATGGATCAGCGGTTAATTACGTGCAGCCCGTTGACGTTCCAGATAGAAATCACATCTCTGTTGAAGGCGTTGCAGAGAGCATTAACTTCACAAGTAGTACCAGCAACACGATCTTTTTTTAAAAAAAGTCAGGCCTCAGGAAAAAGCGACCCCGGACCATACAGAAAACTCTGAAGTTCAGATGTTAAGACTCAAGAAGCTTGCAGTCAAGACGCATTCGTTCTGGAAAAACAAGGACAAACAAATAACTTATTCCTCTCCGAAGCAAATCCAGGACTGCAATCCTCGCCCACTGGACCGTCAATCTTTCACACGAAGCTCCAGAACCTGATATCGCATCGCCCGGTCGCTCGTGCCAACTAGCTTAGACGACGACGATTACACTGGGGAAAAAGGGAATATGGACCGATGGTAATTTCGCACCTTTATCTTAACTACATAACCGCGAAATGATAATATCATGATGGTGCATATTCTTCTCGCACGAACGCAGGCAGCAGTGCGCCCTGTTCAGAACTATCACCTCATCACTCAGATGTATCTTTCGAGGTTCCAGTTCTGGAATGCTTTGTCGCGAGTATCAACAACTTATAAGCTCCATCATTTGAATCTCTTAATTCTCACTCTTCTCCCGTCCTCGTTGCACCCACCGAACCTCCACAACATCATTGTCAGTTCCTCCCAAACTACGACGTGCCAAACTTCGCAGACACCTCTGTATTCTCTCCAACTACGATCGTTCCTACAATGATGAACACACCTTTGGAGTGGAAATGAAGACACCGTTACGCCGAACCCTGCTATTTTGCGTTGGAGAGGATGATGCGGGTCACGGCAATTGTCAATGTGCACCACCCAATGACTACGATTTGCGACCAATGACTCCAGGCCTGTGTGTTGACTCAGACGCACGTAGTAATTGTATTATGAACGCTCACCCAATAGCTTCGTGAGTCGCAATTTACTTCTCCTAGTCTCATATAAATATTCACATTGTTACACATTTATCACGATATCAATACAGAGTTATGAAACTCGATTGTAATCCTGCGATTCTTCCTGCTGAGTCTCCAGAAACCGACTATCGAAGAGCTCCTTGACGAGGAAGCCCGTTGTGATACCCTGGTGCACCTGTGTCTGATATCACCTTCAATTCAATGTCCTCTATCGTGCGGAACTTCTACTCTTCATATCGCCTCATTGTCATCCCCCATTCGCTTGCTCTTGCTCAGTGCCTTTTTACATCCTGACACGCATCGTTTCATGTTGCTCTCGTTCTCACCGCCTTTGTCATAGATATCGCGATTACTATATGATGTACTGTATAGCAATGAACCACATGTTTCATCCCATCCCCACTTTGAATGTACTCGGAGCTTGAACGACCACAAATGACCGCAAAAACAATGACCTTCTGGTCAGCTTCTCAGTCCGCCACGAGAAAGCACCGATGATATGCATCGCTTGGGCGCAATCCACGGCGCACTCGGAACGGCGTTTCTGGTGGAATCGGCATGCCTTGTCCGTCGTTATGTGCTCTCACAAACTAGCACCAACATCACCAGTGCCACACCGTCACCTCACGTCGTTCACATGGACAATCCTAAATTTACTGGATATGGAATAGAACACAAAGTATGATCCACTGTACACTCATTCACGTCCAATTGTATGTGAAATCTCCATAATAGATCCATTGCTACAAGCATCGTCGGTACTAAGGTCTGCAAATATTGATTTTAGCAAGTGCGAATAACAGAAAGGGCATTGAGGAGACTCACTCCTCTCGGCATTCTTTCCAGTGTTGTCCATGTGCCATGCGGCTCAAATCAAGCTCGGGACCTCCTCTGGGTATCACTAATATAGTCACAGGGTTATAGAATGGGTGTCGAGAAGCGGGTGGTACCCAGAACAAGAGTCGATGTTTGGGCCCCACCACCCATCCACTGTCAACATTCAGGAAAAAGGGGGTCGAACTGTGGTCGTCATGGGATACTCCCTCCGTTAATTCAGAAGTGTTGCGCAACGCATGAATGGAGTTGGGCGAGAAGCAGACAAAGTGATTGTTCCAAGTATTCAATGTCATGGGAGTGATGGACTCGATGGGATGCAGGACGCGATGTTCATCTGATACTGCTGAAGGATCTGACACAGCGCAATATTGGGACGGCTGGCTCATCACTACATCCCACAGCCGAACAGTGGAATCCCTTGAACCAGTGACGATGCGAGTGCCGTCCGGCGAGAACGAGACCGAGTTTACTGGATGAGTGTGCCCCCGCAAGGGCTCACCGACTGGCTCCCCCGTCCCTGCATCCCACAGCCGAACAGTGGAATCCCTTGAACCAGTGACGATGCGAGTGCCGTCCGGCGAGAATGAGACCGAGTTTACTGAACGAGTGTGCCCCCGCAAGGGCTCACCGACTGGCTCCCCTGTCCCTGCATCCCACAGCCGAACAGTGGAATCCCTTGAACCAGCGACGATGCGAGTACCGTCCGGCGAGAATGAGACAGACGTTACTGAAGAAGTGTGCCCCCGCAAGGGCTCACCGACTGGCTCCCCTGTCCCTGCATCCCACAGCCGAACAGTGGAATCCAAAGAACCAGTGACGATGCGAGTACCGTCCGGCGAGAATGAGACCGAGTTTACTGAATTAGTGTGCCCCCGCAAGGGCTCACCGACCGGCTCGCCCGTCTCTGCATCCCACAGCTGAACAGTGGAATCCAAAGAACCAGTGACGATGCGAGTGCCGTCCGGCGAGAACGAGACCGAGTAAACTGAAGAAGTGTGCCCCCGCAAGGGCTCACCGACTGGCTCCCCCGTCCCTGCATCCCACAGCCAAACAACGGAATCGTCCGAACCAGTGGCGATGCGAGTGCCGTCCGGCGAGAACGAGACCGAGTAAACTGAAGAAGTGTGCCCCCGCAAGGGCTCACCGACTGGCTCGCCCGTCCCTGCATCCCACAGCCAAACAACGGAATCGTCCGAACCAGTGGCGATGCGAGTGCCGTCCGGCGAGAACGAGACCGAGTAAACTGAACGAGTGTGCCCCCGCAAGGGCTCACCGACTGGCTCGCCCGTCCCTGCATCCCACAGCCGAACAGTGGAATCCAAAGAACCAGTGGCGATGCGAGTGCCATCCGGCGAGAACGAGACCGAGTTTACTGAATCAGTGTGCCCCCGCAAGGGCTCACCGACTGGCTCCCCCGTCCCTGCATCCCACAGCCAAACAGTGGAATCCCTTGAACCAGTGACGATGCGAGTGCCGTCCGGCGAGAATGAGACCGAGTTTACTGAACGAGTGTGCCCCCGCAAGGGCTCACCGACTGGCTCCCCCGTCCCTGCATCCCACAGCCGAACAGTGGAATCCCTTGAACCAGCGACGATGCGAGTACCGTCCGGCGAGAATGAGACCGACATTACTGAATCAGTGTGCCCCCGCAAGGGCTCACCGACTGGCTCCCCTGTCCCTGCATCCCACAGCCGAACAGTGGAATCCCTTGAACCAGTGACGATGCGAGTGCCGTCCGGCGAGAACGAGACCGAGTAAACTGAACGAGTGTGCCCCCGCAAGGGCTCACCGACTGGCTCGCCCGTCCCTGCATCCCACAACCGAACAGTGGAATCCAAAGAACCAGTGACGATGCGAGTGCCATCCGGCGAGAACGAGACCGAGTTTACTGAATCAGTGTGCCCCCGCAAGGGCTCACCGACTGGCTTTCCCGTCCCTGCAACCCACAGCCGAACAGTGGAATCCGAAGAACCAGTGACGATGCGAGTGCCGTCCGGCGAGAATGAGACCGACGTTACTGAAGAAGTGTGCCCCCGCAAGGGCTCACCGACTGGCTCCCCCGTCCCTGCATCCCACAGCCAAACAGTGGAATCCCTTGAGCCAGTGACGATGCGAGTGCCGTCCGGCGAGAACGAGACTGACCAAACTGAATCAGTGTGCCCCCTGAGCACCGTCTGAACAGCTGGCCAATCATATTACGTCCAGAATGCCACACGAAGAGTGTTCGGAAACCGTGCAGAAAACTTTCTCGATAGCAGACAGTTGGCAGGCAAGAATGGGAGTGCTGATACATACAGATGTGGCGTGCTGTGTAAAATCATGCCGCCGAAGACTTGAATGAACCTCTGTACGTCCATTGCGGTCGACAAGACATCTTTGAATTTAGGATGGCCCTGTGGTTGCGCATGAGCCCTTCATCTGGCACTCAGTAGCAATGCACTCACCTTCAGCCACTGGGGAATGAGTGAGAGAGCAGGAACTGCGCCGCTGAGCGCATTGATCAGGGCGAGCGACTCGAGCCAGAAAAACAGCCGCTCGTTGTCGAAGAACAATTTCACTTCTTTCGCGAGCTCCTTGTCAAAGGATGTGGTTCGTACGTGCGAAGTCCAAAATCGACAGGAATATGACAGATGTTGGGGGATGCATTTTTGGACTCGTTCTTGTAGCCCAGGATCTTCGCTATTAGGCAGATACGACGACTTTAAATCACAGATATTGAAGCGAAGACTGTGTTCCATCACTCGCAGTGACGCGAATGCAAGGCCGCATTGCGCCTTTGACAGGTCGATGAAAAACTCTCCACTTGATCGTTCGTCCGTCAAGAAATCATGGAAGGATGCGTGAAGGGGTCGGATTGGGGAATCTGGGTTGGTGGTGCCGCTGAGCAGGGACCCCATGCTTTTCACCACAAGCTCCACGTCAAAATGGTCCTCTTCCTTTGGAAAATGGGACCTCATAGCCTTCAGGGAAGCTAAAGGAAGGGGTTCAGCTGTGCCTAGTATTTGTCCCATCACTGAGCGAAACCTCGCCAACGCAGTCGAACGCAGTTTCTGCAAATGCGGAGATGCATCCCCGGGCATGACATCTTTTAAAATCAGGCGATACATGTCGTGCAATAGCGGGCTTCTCTCAGCAGGATTGCGTGACACCACAGCCTCGTAGCACTCCGTTGGAGATAGCCCAGTATGGGACTCTTTGATGTATCCGCAAGCGAGACGCGCCCACTCGAACAGTCCATCAGCTTTCTCAGCGAGGACTGCGAACTCTCTGTTCTGGAAATCCAGCTCTTCCAACTCCTTGGATACGTAAGCACGGATGTCGCGCTTTGCATCTGCTCGTGGAATCTCGTCCATCGACATCTGTCGAATATGCTGAACGTCACCAAACTTGTCTTTAATGTCATCAAGCGGGCGAGAGGTAACAATGAAGCGGAAGTTGCCCGGGAGGTCTGTGATTTTGGGAACGGCGGGGTTTTGATGTTTGCCAGCTAGAATGCGGAGGAGGTCTTTCCGTGTCTCTACTCCACTGCTCTCGTCCAGTGCATCGATCACGATCACGGTGGGTTCCCTAGTTGACCTAGATGACTTTCCCAGTGGTTTGATGAGAAGCTTCTCCCACTGCTGCATGATATCCGGCGTCTTCTTGAGCGAATTCGCGGTCTTAACTGCATCTGCCAATGCCCGCCTCATCTCCGGATCACGGTCAGCCAGGTCGCGCGCGATTGTGGAAAAGATCTTTTCATGGCGACGGTCTGCTTCTCGCTGGCGGTCGAAACAGTAACACGAACCAAGCCCTCCTGCGTCCTCGAACCACTTAGCAATGGTGTGGGCGATGGCCGATTTTCCCTTGCCTGCAGGGCCAGATAACCACAGCACACGTGGAACGTTGTCCCCAGTGCTGTTGACCCATTCCATGATCTCGGAAAGGATTTCCGTGCGTGTCCCTTCAAGGCATTCTTTTCTGGTATCTAGTCCTGCGCCATCTGCATAAGTCATACCGCTGAGGTCCGATATTTCTTCTGAAAAGGTATGAATATATGTCGAGTCACAAGGACGTCCGAACCCTTACCCATACGGTGGATGTGTATGGCTACGTCGCGAGTGACTTGGTCCCGAAAGTTTTGCATGAGCGTATCCAACGTGTTACTGTGCTGTTGGATCGCATCACTCGTTTCTGAAACGATGTTCTTTCCAAGTCTTTCCCCTGTGATAACGGAAGAAACTTGAGACGGTACAGAGCGCAACAACTTGTTAAGACTCACAAAAGTTCTTGGTCTCCGAATAATTTGCGATGAATCGAGCACATTTAAGGGTCTGCTGAGAGATCTGTCGAAGGATAATGCGCATCGACGAGATTTGGGCAAGCATCTCGTCTTGTGTTATGAAACTGTAAACTTGACACAACTTCTTGAGAAGTTCGTGTACCGCTTTGTCGCGATCCACTTGTGCTAGAATAATCTGCACAAATGATTGTTGAGCGGCGGTAGATAGGGAGAGAGAAAATGAAAACACACTTTGGCTGCAGAAGACAACATGCCCAGTGCGATCTTTGCATATGGATGTACCTGTGGAACTAGATTAGTTCGGTTCCAATCTAAAGAAGGGTCCATACATCTGCGATCTTCTCAATAACCTGGTCGAATATCCTGAGAGGTTGGAGATATGTGTCCTGGAAACTGTCAGCAGCATCGAGATCTGCTTGTGCGTCTTGGCCAACAGACGCCACAGTTCTCGCAGGTCTCCAAAGTCGATGCATGCGTTTTGTAGCATGTTGTGCATCCCGAAGTGCCGATTGAGTATCAGCCTCCACTTCTATACCAGACGGCGCAGCCTGATCCTGCGTGACCACCAAATAATTAGAAAGCACAGAGACTAAAGGGCAAGTTTGAGAACCTACCTCGATATTCGGGGGAGCAGGGCTACGGCTACGGGAATCCTTCGAGCGCTTGTTGCAATCTTAGTCGTATGCCAGGACACTCGCTGCACATGCTCGTTGACTCACCGAGATCCTCAATTTGTCCTTGACATCCCCAAGAAACTGACGGACTTTGCCACGCCGGGTGTGGTGCTAGATGAAGGATGCGTCAATGTCAGTGTTTGAAGTGAAGTGAATTAAGCGATCCTCGAAACCCACGTACCTCACTTCCACCTGCTGTTGCTTCGCTAGATTTGTGGATTTGTTGAGTTGAATCCCTTGACGATTTGCCTTCGCTCATTGTGAATATCAGTTGAAGGGAAGTAAGATAAGGACCCACATCATTTATATAGGCCATTAACGCCTCGAGGCAATGTTTGTTCCAGCGTTGCAAGCGCTAAGCATTTGAATTTCGACCGCGTTCTTCTGATCGTTGGATGACTGTGACAAAAATAACCTCGGCAGTGCACTGAACCCTACGCCTGGCTAACGTCACCCTCTTCTCCTCGTCTCACCCACTGAATGCGACACACGCGTCATGAACGTCAGAATACTTGACCGGTTTCTCTATCCGGGCCTAGTGACATTCCCCAATACCACGATATAAGTAGGATGCGTCTGGTGGGCGCATACGCACACTGGATCTTCCAAGGATGGTAGTGAAATAAGCACATCCATAGGCTAAAGAAGACACAAAGCTCCAGGCTCCATGGCGAGATACGACTTAAACAATCCACAGTCATTATGACTTTGTTACAGGCATGCATCGCGCGGGGGTTGTATTGATATTAGAATTCGCCGTAGCTCTCGAGAAACAACGTCACGGTTGCTTTGATCTGTTGTGCAAAGGCTTCCAGGAGTTTCCTTATTCGAAATTTCACCTGCTTCAATCTCGACATGCACCAGTGTCTTCACGTAACTGAGATCCTGGAAGTGATTTTTTATTTTGTGTTCAATGATAACCGACGACGTTTCTACTCGCACTTATTGCCTGATCTCATACCATCACCGGAAACTCAAGATCGACGTGCCATCTTCCGACTTGCACTCACCTGCCATGCATTTCGCGATTTAGCACTCGATATTCTTTATTCTAATCTGCAAAACTTCTGGCCTCTTATTCTCTCATTCAGACCTTCCCAGTTCCATCATACACCTGAACTATACCGTCCATTGGTTCTCGCTTCCCGTATACAGATTCTCTCACAACTATGTCAAGATAACACTGCATACCCTTCCCTCCGTGCATGTGCAAAAAAAAAACACCCCTCTTTCCGAACCTACGATCCCTCGCATGGCGCGATTGTTCTCTCACCTGTATCCCAGTTCTCAAACTCCTACCCACAGTTGAGACACTCTCCCTAGACCTCTCATCTCCATTTCGCAAAGCCATCATCCCTGCACTCCCTACCTCCGCTCCCCGTCTCAAAGCTCTTGAGATTAAGGGCAGCCTCTTCATGACCGACAAAAATCCCTCAGAAATTGAGTCCCTCCTCATCAGCTATCCCGATGGTCTCACAGAGCTTTCTTTGATATGTCATTGGCATGATGTCCCTAGCACCGTGCTCAATGTCATTGCACCCTGGCCATCTCTCCAATCTCTCACCTTAAAGCTAGGTCTCAAAAGTATCCCTACCGCACCTCTTCACATCCCCAAACCTTTTGCCGCACTCACTCACTTGTATATCTCATCCGATGACACTTTGGACCTTTTCATATCCTTCCTGCGCACCTTCCAGATCCTCAATTTTGATTCTTCCAACACCACATCCCTCAACCTCAAACAATCCACTTCATCGCAGAAGGTTGCAGCCCAGCCAACACCTGGTCCCAATTCCTCACCTCTCTCACTCACACAAACGCAAAACTAGAACACATCATTCTAACCGAGAAATCCGGCTATGAACACCTCCCACACTCCTTTTTTGAATTTCGTCTCCTACTTGCACACCAGAGTCTTTCGTGCCTCAGCACCCTCGTACTCTCCCCATACCGCACATCCTCCATTACACTCACCGACGCGGACATTCTCACCCTCGCTCGTACATGCCCCCGTCTCCACATTCTTGACTTGGGGTTGCGGAATACCCCCGTATCATTGCATGCTTTGAATATCCTTATCAGGCGCTGTCGTGAGTTACGCCAAGTCTCGCTCTGCGTGGACGCGCGGGTCGATGTACTCGGAGATAGTGAAAACGAAGACGAAGTAGGTCTCCAGCCTAATGCGCGCTTGATAACACTGGAAGTCGGGAACTCTCCTATCGCGTACGTGGGCCCTCTGCGCTCATCGCCAGAGCTGATGGAGTCGATCCCACGGTTCTTGCATGCGATGGCACCGAGGCTTAAGAGCGTCACGGATGGGGCGTGGTCCCATGGAGCACTCGGGAATCCATGGCAGGTGGTGTCGGACGCTTTGTGGATGATGGTGACAGACGAAGAAGATGACTGATGATGTTTTTCGAGGGATATGCGGTAAGATCAATCGCGGGAGGGTCCAACTAACGCTTTTGGAGTACATGTGTATCAACACTTCATTGTAACTTTACAAGAACAACGATTTGGAAAACTGTATCAGGTAGGATGATATACATGACAAGAAGAAATGATACTAGCCTTGACTGACACTAGGATATGGGACTGCTTATGCGTATGTTTGAGTGGCGTCTCGGTAACTGTCGATGTTCGCTCGTGCCATTAAGGACATGTAGTACGGCAATTCGATGTCAGGGAAGAAAACAATTGCAACAGGGTCGGCCGTCTTCCTCCATTGTCATCCTTAATGTGCAGACCCTGGATACTTTGGCATTACGGGGAGCGGAACAACAGTCAATATGCGCGGTGAACCCGGCGATGGCCCTAGCAATCACAATCAACAATAGGGTCGTGACTTTTACCTTTGAGCACAAGCTCTGTTACTTGTAGGGGATGAGGGGAACGAGGTGGATCACGGGTGATACGGTGCTTCAAATTGACAGACGCTAGACGGTATGGAAACATTGTCCCAGACAGGAAGGAACGTGCCTAAACTCTGATGACTTCAGTCCCTGCAAGAGCAGATCTAGACCCAGCCTCGCGAATTCAAAGTCTGGAGGAACAAGTCTTTTGGGATAATCCTCAAGTTCGAGCGGTTAGCGACCTCGAAAGTCACTGAGTCGGACTCACACTAGAGGCTGATCGCAGCTGGGAGTAGGAATGTGCCACCAGTAAAATAAGGATTAACTTCACTAACTTGAACCCTGATGTATTACCAAGTCCACAACCCGGCGCTCAACTTGTTTTGCATAGAAAATATCGCAGATCGGGAGTTATCTCCAGTGAGGTTTCTTCTCGCTCTCACTTCCAACAGCTGACCCGCTGCCGACTATCACACACCGTCGAGTGCAAGTCCTCGTACGTGCGTTCTAACAGAGGTCTGAATAGCGAGCATGCACACAGCTCAACAAGATATTTGGATAATCGAGCTGCACGATGGGTAGAATTCCCATCTGACAACGTAAATGATTGATGAGGTTTTGCGGCATGCATCGGACGTGGTAGAAAACAACTGGTGCACTATGCGTGATAAATAAGTAAATGACGGCGCAGATGAGGGAGGTGGTGCTCGTACCATTTGTTGGAAGGAGAGACCAGAAACAAATTCTTCAATCATTTTCCTAACCCACTCTGTCCTTGGTTTGCGTGCATTCTTCTGGCCCTCGATGAGTCCAACCCCATTAATGTCTTTCGTTTGGTAGTGAATCCCGACACTAGTTTGATCAATCTGACAAGAATCTAGGTTAGCACGCGCGCACCTCGGAGATATCTTATGCTTCTGAGACGACCCTCGCGAGGCGCTAGGGTGAATTCCTTTGTATAGACAGACTATCACATAAAAAGGAGGTTTCGGAGTAATGATTGGGCCTAGTTAAGATGAGGCTCCGAGTATTTATACACCGCAAAAATGTTGTCAGCAGGTTTCAAACCAACTCCAAGAGAAACAGATCTTGACTCTGTTATGGTAACCACTTGATAACTGACCAGTTGGATGGACTTGCAAGGAAACCATCCATGAGTGAATCGTCAAGGTGTGCTCCGATAGAGAAAAAAACCGTGTCGTTCAGCAGGACCCTACATTGACGATATCACCAAGTGGGATGCGTCTGGTACACAATGTCCCCCCTGCGTACGCGAACATGTTCTGTATTTTTCAAGGATGACAGTGCAATAAGCGTATTCATTAGCAAACAGTGTATAGGTGAGGTCTGGCGCGAGTCCTCTGTGAGAGTGCTTGGGGCTCTAGCTTCTCCGTAATCCACGATTCCATAAAGATTCAAGGACTGATACGCTGATGGTGGACATCAACAAAATAGTGGAATATTATTTTCACTTCCGGTTTAGCATTTCTTTCTCTTCTCTTTGTCGCCACCACTCCGGCGCCGTGTTGGCACGGGACTCCTCCAGCTTTTGGAGCTTGTCGAGCTCTGCCTTGATGAACGCCTCCAAGCCAGCAGTGACACTTTCTAATCCCTGCTTGGGATCTGAAGACGGCGGCCACTGGGTCACCTTCACAGAGCCACTTTGCATCTGATCCTCAATAGAAGTAAGATTCTAATTACGAATGAGTATATGGATCTAAACTCAGGCTGAGAACGAACCTTGACCACATCTTTCAACTGGACGATCGCTTGCCCCTGATTCATCCACTCCCGAATCGAGTTGACCTCCTCAGCGGTCCACTCGCGCACCCTGGAGTCATCCATATGCACGTTAACACCTGCTGCTCCCTTTGGATGTACCAGCTTCTCTGCAGCACCAGGCTCGCTAAATAGCCCGTCGAACCACGATGCAAAATCTGCAGAGGCGTTTCTGTCGTATTTGGGAGCGAGGACGCGGGTCTTCGCATGCGGTGATGGAGTATCGCCTAAAAACAGGTAGTCATTACCAATGTATTTTTCCAAGTCAAACCGATGTTCTTCTGGTAGTTCGGGAGGATCGGAAACTTGGATGAAAAATCGGCCCTTGTACATAGGATATTTTCAGTATTGTAGAGTTTGATTTTGAAAAAAAAAACATACGGGTTCACTGTATGCTTCTATGACGAACGTGGACTCAAACTGTTGGACCATTGGAAATTGAATCAGATAAAGCGGTATTAGGACTGGGTAGGCAGCTTCCTGTTCTGCGGTGAGGAGGAAAAAGATGCATCAGGGGAGATGGCATACTATATTGGTTTTTATGAACCGTGGCTCGAAAAGCGCATCTTCATCAGTAGTGGCATGAGTGAAGGACGAAGGCCGTGTACTGCTAATAACGTCGAGTGGGCTGATAGTGTAGGGCATGCATATAACATCAGAACCGTGTTGATGCGTGAGGCTCCGAGAAAATGGAACGGCCAAAGCAGGCTCTACTTGGTCATTTCGGAGAGCAAGCCTCCCAAGCAGGTCCAATGTAGCGCCTGATGAAAGTGATCAACCTCGCTGGTATGCCTAGTGTAGAGAGATCGCACCTGGCAAGTAACTATATGGAACTTGTCAACTTGGAAGAAGATTGATAAGTGAGCTAGTATACCAGTCGTTGAAATACGCGGTCACAATTCGCTGCAAGGCTCCCGCTTGAATAAATGTAACAGGAAGAGATACTTGAATATACCTGCCGCTCGTCATCTTCATCGGTCAAGTATGACTCGACTTCTGCGTCCAAGAACCAAGCAGGAAAATAAACAGGTTGAATGCGGATGGGTTGAATTGGCTGAAAGTTTCCACCTATATACTTTGCACCGAGGGACCCAATGAAATCGCGGAATAAGCAACCTGCGGAAGCAGCTACACCAACATGTCTGATAGCAGCCTCCTTTGAAAACGCAAATGGAATGGCTGAAACATGCTAGTCAGCAGACTGCAGCGAGTACGAGACGAATGCAGGTAACCTCTGACTTTTGGATGATATTGCGGTACGTTTTGTGAGGAGCTTCGGGGAGAAGATGTGCAATTAAGATCGCGCACAATAGCCCCTGCTCGTCGTCGCAGCATTAGTGCTTCTGAACAAAAACTCTTAGACCGGCGTGGAAGTGACCATACCGGACCCCAGAAAAGGAAAGTCGGTTATTTGCCACGTGACCCTCTGCGATATACGTGTACTGCAAATTGGCAGCTGCAAATCACCTGCTGTCTAACTTCCGTCCCTCCCTTTCCTGAAGGCCTCGGTCTGCAATGCACTTGGCTTCACACGTAGCCATTCTATGGTTGCTTTTTGCTATTCTTGTTAGCGCAACCGATCTATACAAAGTTCTTGAGCGTCAGTCCAAGGCGTGTACCAACTGGTTTTGGCTCGCGTCTAACTGATATACTTGGCATTCAGTGTCCAAACATGCATCGGAGCAGGATATCCGCAAAGCATACAAGCGTCTGAGCAAGCAGTATCACCCTGACAAAAATACGGATCCAGGGGCAGAGGAGAAATTTGTTGATATCGCCCATGGTAAATCGAGTTACATCCGTTTCCATAGAATGGCATCCTCATAATTCTGCATCAGCATACGAAATCCTTTCAGACTCCACGGTACGCAAAAGTCTCAAGGGTTTTTTGCAGTCTACTCAAAATTATTCAGAAACGCCAGATTTATGATAGGCATGGTGAAGTGAGTCCAGTATCGACTCATTATAGATTCATTCTATGAACACGCGCTTCGCATATAGGAAGGATTGAAAGCACATGAAGGCGGACAACAACATCACGCCAATCCTTTTGATTTATTTTCCAACTTCTTCGGTGGTGCTTGTGGGTTGCGGCTCTTATCACTATCTCTTTGCGCTGATCAGTATGCAGTCAATGCACAGCAGCAAGTGCGCCGTGGACAAACTGTTATCATTGAATTCGAGGTTTCACTTGCAGATATGTAAGCTCATCCCCGCATTTCTGCAACGGTCGACTGATGAGCCGCGCAGGTATACAGGTGCCAATATTGACGTTCGTCTTGACTTCATCTTTCGCATCGTTATTCAGTCGAATTGACACTTCGCCCTCAACAGTTCACGATGAGGAAAAAGATACTTTGTGATCACTGTCGCGGCTCAGGCGCTGCTTCGGATGGTGATATTCATACTTGTTCAGGATGTGGTGGATCCGGTGTGAAAACCTTCAAACAGCAAATATTCCCCGGTATGTTTGCACAGACGCAGTCAACATGTAACGATTGCGGTGGCCGTGGAAGGGTTATCAAGAAACAATGTCCACACTGTAAAGGAGAGAAGGTGGTCGAACACACGCAACAGTATACTTTGGGGTTAGAGCCGGGTACACCAGAAGGCTATGACATCGTATTTGATGGAGAGGGAGATGAGAATCCAGACTGGGAGGCTGGGGACGTTGTTTTGAGAGTGCGAAGTAAGAAGGAGAAAGGTGCTTGGCGACGGAAGGAGAGCAGCCTGTACTGGCGGGAGACCATCGGCATTGACCAGGTAAGCCCGGTTGATACCGCCGCCTCCGATGATTTATTGTGCCTGCTTGAATTGTAGGCACTCCTCGGATTTCAACGCAATATCACGCATCTCGATGGTCACGTCATCGAGATAGATCGTCAAGGAGTGACCCAACCTGGTGAGCTGCTATCGTTTATTCACCTAGCCTGTGAGGGTGGTGTTCAACTTAATTACAGGTTATATTCAAACCATGGAGGGTGAGGGGATGCCCTTGTATCAGACAGACAGTTTCGGCGACCTCTTTATAGAGTACAATGTCGTGTTACCTGTTGAACTCCACTCGGACATTCGTCGAAGTAAGTGATATTTCAACCTTGCTACGGTATTGTTCATCGTTTTGACCGCATTTCGTAGAACTCGCCGAGGCATTTTATGGATCAGGCCACCGCGATAGAGATGAACTTTAGATATATTTCTCATAATTTATTTTTTCCGTGATCAGTTTGTGTGAAAGTGTCATTAAGACTTGCTGTATCAAGTATTTGGGGCTATGGTCCGGTGTTTCTAACCTGCCCTAAGGTCAGGTTGCATATAAGATAAGCTGAATCGCGTTTTTTTCCTTCGGTTACGGACCCCTTCGGCATGGACGAGGTTGGTCATGTCCCTGTACTCTAGTCCTCTGGCTGAGCGTTTTACAGTGTTCCTATGAAGCCGTTGTTTGGTGCTAGTCCCTACGCTACGAAAGTATCGAGCAGTAGGAGACAGTAAATGTTAGCCAGGATGGTCTTTGGAAGACAGTCTAGGCAGAGCGGCCCCTTGTCTGCATCGAGGTTGGTTTAAAGTTGTTGGAATCTTCAACAAATCTCATGAATTTTGCAGTGGATTTTGGGCAAATTATGGTGGATGAAGTGTGTTTACTTCGTCTGCAGACAGTTTGTTGGCAGCCTTTTCAAGCTGGCCTTCAGTAAGTCGAGATCTCATAGACTGTGATATCTTGTTGACAACTTCTCAGCTAGTTATTGAACATGCGCCTTGGCCTGCAGCCGTGGTGATGTGCATGCTCGTAGGGCATTGCTGCATCATGTTGTGGTGTAGATTCCGAGCGCGTGCTTGCTCATGGGTGTTTTCCCATGAAGTTACCTTCAAATCAATTAACCCAGGACGAAAGTCTCTAACGGGCACACTTTCAAGGGTTACTCTTTGGTCGTGTTTCCCATTAGAGCCTACACGTTGCTTTGTCAAGTATAGCAGTATGTAGCAATGCATTTCATTGTACAAAATGTGTGTGGAAAGTGAGACTATCGTAGTGCTGGTACAACCCTAGGCATGTTAAGTCGTCCTTCCAGAACATAGTGTAAGTCAATTGTGACCCAGTGAATGTGATTATCCAATTGTCATCCAGAGGGATCGCACAAATTGTGCAGGAGGGACCATTACTTGTGATGGCTTGTATAATACCTGGTGTGATGAACCCATGCCTCATGCCTGAATGACAATAATGAGATGGGGAAACATGTTAATATTACAAACACGCACAAGATAATTATACGACTTGCGATCTTCACAGCGCTCAAGATACTCTCGCTGCGCCAGATGTAGATTAGAGCACATTAACACAATAAATGAGGATGGTTACTCACATCGATCAATCCTTCAATTCGTTTCTTGATATTCTGAGGGTTGGGCTGGAATCGAGAGGCAAGTTGTCGAGTGACTTCATTGACGAGGTCATTATGTGTCAAGTGCTTTCTATCTTTCATGATGCGAACGATGCACGCCTAAGAAACGGTGGACGTCAGAGTTCACGGGATATGACAAGATCGATTGTAAGCCTCGCCTCAATTTGATGGTGTCTTTCCTCTTCGATACGATCACGAGTTTCCCTCCGTTCCTTAGTGGTTTCCACCTTGGCGGACACCGTGCTGATTTTAATCTTTTGCATTGGACATGCGAAATCATTGTTGAACGAAAATGAGTCCGATGGATGAACATCTCGTCCGGGGGGATGTTTCTTGAGAACCTTGAATTTTGCACATGCTAGAGATTGCAAGTGCCGTTGAAGCTCAGTATCTGGAATTGAAGTAGCAGTTTTCAGCTCCTGATCAAAGCGTCAGATAAACCAAAGCATCGTAAGCCAGTGAGAACCCCCACCTCGTATGTAAGAAACTCGTCGTCTGTCAAATTCTCGAAAAGCAGCAAGATCACGAGTGCAAATGTTGACACATTGATATCGTGCTTCCTGGCCTTGAACTGAACACGAACATCGGCATTTCCGAGCGAGGGTTGCCACGCGAGGCGTCGCCCTGAGTGGCGGGAAAAATAGAAATGCTCGAATGACTTGCAAGCCCTGATTAGAACTTCGGGGAAAACGCAAGATGCACTAGAATGTGACATGGGCCAGAAAGTCGACGTCATCACGGTCACAGAGATCTCCACTTCAGGTGCCTAAAAGATCATTGAATTAACGCAGCAAAACAAGATCACTACGCCTACTGAAACGCCTTCAAGGTACTTGCGGTAGGCTTGCATGGTATCAGCGGATATCTTCATATCGTGGAACATGCCCTCCAGCTTTTGAGTGAATTGATACCCGCACTCAACTTTGAGCTTCGCCAGCATGCCTCTTTCAGCATCATCAGAGACCGACCTGCCCAGTAGCAGCCGTTTGGCAAGATGATTCTTGTAATATCGCTCGAAAGTATCCTTCTCCGTGATATACCGGAAAACCGTGATGGTCTTGTCCAAGACAGCATCGACCTCCATATCGGTTTTCTGAAAAGAATCGATGAGCGCGAGAATTATAGAGTTGGGTTACTGACGCCTTTGAGGCCCTTCTTGAGGTTTTCATCGATGAAGAGCGATATGTACTCTGGTGCTTTCTCATTCAGGTTGATGAAGTCTTCAAACGCCTTGTCACCCACATTAGGATATACAGGAGCTACAGAGCAGAATGCTGACCTCATTTAAAGAGCTTTCCACTTCTCGATTTTTATCGAATGCCCGCGCCCAAACGCAGTCGAATTTATCCTTCAGATCGAGCACAGTCTGTACCCATTTCAGGGCCAGTGTCAATGTCGGAGGCCCAGTAGCAGTGCGACCCTGACTCTTGTCTTTTCCTTTCGTATTTTCAGCGTCATTAAGGTCTCCATCGTCCATGTCTTGGCCAGTGTCAATACTCGTGGAAGCAAGATTGATCTCTCTTCCTCTCCGTAAGATTGAATCCTTGAACGACCTTCTGAGGGTAGGCATTCCGCTAGGAACCATGAGAAACAGACGGTACAAGCGGTTGAGGTCGTCAAATTTATCGAGATCTACCATGACATCGAGGCCAGAATTAGGCATGCCAATAACACTCGACAGATTATGTGTTAATAAATGGCGTTCCAGAATCTTTCGGAGAGGAACACCAGTTTGGGAGAAGAGGTAATGATACGTTCGCGCTTGTTCTGAATCGAAACGTGCCTCGACCTGCACGTCATGAGGGTAACCTGAATTCCTTGAGTGGAAAGATAACATACTCTTCGCAGATACTCTGGTGCATCACAAGTCTCCAGAAGTCGTTTACCTTCAGCGGAATAGAATGTTTCGCTGGCTGTAAGCACAGCTGGTTCTAGATCCCGCTTGTAGACGGTTTTGGCATCATGATCGACGCTCAGCTGCAGAAGGACGTCGACGCACTCCTTCACCACAGAGCGGCTGATGACATATCCGTCACGCTCAATTTGGATTAAGCTAAGGACTGCGGAGGTGACATGGTCCTGTATTGGGGGTCGTATGATGTGCTTCAAGAAGAGATCCAGGCCAGCATCCCAGATCTCTGGGACATCATTAGCCTTTGTATAGACGCGATCCTATGGACGTTTCTGTGTGAGTAACTAGTGGATACGGCGATGGAATGCTCACCATGTACTTGAGAATATCTCGAAGCTTCGACATATTGCCAGTATGATCATCCCACACACGTCTAAGAGCCTTCAGTAACGACTCTCCTTCTTGACTTTGTTGCACAGGATCCTTGCTGCTGCCACTGGGGAAAGCGGGAATGATTTCGCTTTGTGCTAACCTGTCGATATTCTCCACCACCAGCTGACAGACTCCCTTATATAGCACGGCACCATTCTTATACAACACCATATTGTAGGCGTAGCGATAATTCTCCTCGAATGAAAGGTTTGAAGCATTCTGGTTATGGATTTCACGAATATTCGTTGAGAGACGGGTCCATGTTTCATCCAATGATACTTCTGATTCGTGCTGAGATCGCTTATCAGTTGTGAGGAGCCTTTGTTTTACAAATCGCTCACTTTGCGGGGCGGTTTCTATCCAATAGATTCATTGTCAGGAATGAATGGCTGGCGGAATGTAACACGCACGATTTTTGTCTTCACCGTGCGGCGTGCTGACAATCAACCAGCTCAGTAGATTCTCTACATTCGAAGGTTCGTAACCCACTAGAAGCCATCGTTCGCCTAGTAGCTCAGCAATAATTGTAGGCTCCCCTTGAGGCAGACCATAGAAGGAGGATCAACTTGTTCCTTCCTGAATGGTACTCCGGTATCACTCTCCGACTTCTATTTTTGTAATATTTGCCTCTATTGAAACCAGAAGCTGTCGCCAAATATCTCACAACCAACTTCGAACAGAAATATGACAAACGGGTGATATTCTTGCGATAAATGCGAATGTAATTACTGGAACGAATGAACAAGCAAGCGAAATCACTCCGACGTGCTATGAGGAAGCCTGCGATCGAGATGAACGGACAAAATCAGCAAAGTACTTCCGAAATGCCTTGTTATCAAGGTCTTGAAGTTTGCCTGTGAACTCCATGGCGGTATCTGGTGGCCAGCCTTGTGAAGGAAGGAAGGCAGACAAAAAGAAATCCTGTGCTTCCTGTCCTCTAGTTTTGCAAACTATCTGGAGGAAGTTGCCAATTTCCAATAGAACCTAAACCGGATGTTAGATATGAAATGGGCGGCAAATGCTACATTTGGTACATACAACCATCATCTGTCCATCCTTGATGTTAAACTGAGGTGATGAAAGCACCACGAAGGCTGTGGGAACGAGACGCTCGTAGACAAATCGCTCAAAGCCGGGTACACCCTGGGCTTGACCGTCAGCTGCTGTAGCTGGTTGGCACCAGACCTGAACACAGCGACTGAGGAATGCGAAAGCAGATTTCTGGCTACTTGAGTCTGAAATATCTTCTGCCAATCGACTCATGCTGATCAACAGGGGTTCGAAAGTAGCTTTGTTGCCTACACAAACTTGAGACTAACCGACAACAGTCACACGGAAACTTACGATCAGAGATAAAAATGTCATGAAGATCGGAGGACATGACGTTGGTCAACAACGTCAGATAGGCACGCTTAGTTTCTGCATGTTCAACACTGTCATCAGTACCTGTAACGGGCTGATTGAGAAGCTGGGTGATGTGAGCGCTTAGAGGTCCAATTAGCTCGTCCAGAACATTGAAAAGTTCGCTCTGTTGGCATAAAGTCAGGTATAAACACACAAGTAAGCGTAATCCTCACCTGAAGCTTGTGGATCAACAACCCAATGAAGTTCATGAAGTCGACGAGCTCAGAAGGTTCGAACTGTGCAAGAAGGTTGGCCATCAAAGGTGGGATCAAATGAGTAACACTGGATCCTGTCGTGGCAATGATTCGCGCAAAGGCATGTCGTGTCTGCAGATGATCAGCCTGGGATGTGTCAAGAACAAAACACCAACTTACTGCGTCACGGACGTATTTGAAAACATTCATGGCCTCCAGACATGATAAAATAGCCTGCGCAACCTGCCGAAACACGTCTAACGATGGAAGACAATATCCCTCCGGCACCGGAAAAGGATAATCTGGAAATCCTTTCGCAACATTGCCGAGCGCCATGATGCTGTGATGAATGCGAAGGATTGGAATGGGATCCTTCCCCCCTTTTGCCGCCGTCAAATTTGAAGAAAGTTCATCTAGCAGCGGTGTCACGATCGAGAGTAACATGCTTGCTTGCTGATCAGGAGATTTTGATACCAATGATATGAGTGTGCCCAAAGTCTCAAATAAATAGAGCTGCGAGTCGAACAATCCAGGATTTTTTATCGCCTCCGCTAAGAGATCGTCATCGGGACTATCAAGAGTCGGTAGGTCTACTTGAATCGTTAGCAGATCCCTGATGCCCTGCACGAGGTTGACTGCGAGTTCCTCGGAGATGTCGTTTCTGCTTTCTTTAATGAACCGGTGGAAAAGATAATATGTCCGCGACCGAACTGTGCTGTCTGGGTTGTGGAGTCCTCTGAACCATGTATATCAGTAGTGTAACACCGTCGCATGTCGCTTCGTGCCTACCGAGCATCAACAATGGCCTCGAGCGTCGGCATAATGCACTCTTTGCGGATCTTAAAGAAATCTCCATAACGGGCCACGGTTTCAAAGAACTGCATGGCAACTAAGCGGTGAGGGAACGCGGATATACTACTCTGCACCAGAGCCAGTAACATCTCCCCATGAGGGGTCAATGGATATTCAGAATAATCTACTTCGCGGCGTTTTTCTT